CCGGCCCAATTCAACGACAAGCCTTTCTTATTCAAAAATAACAGTGGCGAGAATATTCATATGTGCATTATAGTGTGTGCGCCCTGTGGATGGTTATATTGCAGGAGCAATCAGCGAACCGGCACCATGTCTGGGATGTCCGCCCGATGGATTTTAGGAGACCTTATTATGAGGAAGTCTCCGTTGAATACGCCAGGTTCAGTCATAAACTCGTTGCGTTGCTGAACGGCTTCGTTTCGCAGCACACTCCAAGCTTGACCTTTATCGATGACGAACAGCACCACCACCAGAACAAGAAGCACAACAATATGCAGTTGAAGTTACTGCATATCACACAAATGCTGAAACTTAGGGCCTTTTGCCTGCCGATTATCATCATCAAGGACAGCGGCGATTTTGCGGACAGAAGTAGAAATCCCATTCAGAATATCACATACAATCCGCAAACCGCAGCGTATGAATGTCGGCACCTGGTGCGGCTAATTCCCGCGTGCGAGCAGCTCCTGCTAGTCAACTACACCGCCTGTATTATTCGTGGCAGCGATTCAATGATGAGCGACTTGTTCTATACTGCCGACGACATGACCTGGCTGGAGGACGGGCATCGCGTTACAGTCAACACAAACAATCCGCCCGCGGATGTGGACGTTGTCATTCCGTTTCAGCGCTTCCAGTGCATGGAGACGCCGGCGCAGCAGTGTCGACGCTTCCTCGATGCCGTCAATGACCATTGCCCGGTCGCTGGTCCGGAAGTGTATGCAAAGGTCACGGGGGTGCATGCCCGCTGGGTGGAGACCCTGGATCATCCCGACCAATGGACCGGCATCCGAATGTTCCTTGATTTGTAAGTGGCCAGGAAACTAATAACAATTTTAAATAATATGGTTATGAGCGGACTCTCCTTTTCGGTCAGGTTCAGCAACGCTCGCCCTGACGGCCAGCCGCAGCAGTGGCAGGGAGTGGATTTGCGGCAAATGGATGTATCGGAGCTGAGTCGAATGGCCCTGTATATCCTGAACGGATACTTCGAAGAGTAGCTCCCCAGTTAGCGAAACAGTTTAATACGAGATCAAGATCCACATGAGTGGCTGGCTCACGCATGGTATCATTTTAGCCGGAATTCCGTTTTTTATTACTGCTTGCTATGTAGTGCGGGTGGTTGTAGTCTGTATGACTTTATCGTAAAGCGTTGCATCTTTTTGAAAATTCTGAAATTCGTGTTGGTCTACGACTCTACTGCAGTTGTCGGGGCGCTAATAAAATTTCTGGCCATTTTATTATTCACATATTCAATCGCGATTTGAGAAAAGCTTTACAGCAACAGGTAATTCATAAATCATTCTTACTAAGTTACTTTCTACCATCGCTTTGAGCGCAAGCTTATTGTTATGTTTACTACTCGTAGCTGTTGAATAAATACTGCGTCAAAGGAGGCATAATATGTGTTGAATAAATAATAACAAGGCAACACAGTTAACACGGCCATGAGTACTGTACTTTTAAACTACTCATTGCGTTATTCTGCCCATTAGAGACCTACATCGAACTGGAAAACCGATACAATTCAGTCCAAATCCATAGTGACCTTTAGGGATTGAATCGGATTCAGAGTAACTGAAATGGATCTGGACTGGGTTCGGAGATACACTTCCCGATTTAGTTTGATTCGCGAGTGAGAACCTTATTCTACATTTCCATTTTTAAAAAAAAAAGCATAATAATCATTTTTGTGTAATTAAAAAAAAAGTTTTGACTTCTCAGTTCTCACTGCTTCTAAAATCCCGTCTCCAAGCTGTTACAGCAAACCCAAGAAAGCCAGACGCACTACCACCAGGCTACGGGCAGAACCTGGTGGTAGTGCGCCTGGCTTCCATATTGTTAGTTCTGGATTTGTAGCGCTTTATTTGTAAACGACGGTAGAGTACAAATCAATAAACATTTACAAGTTCTGGATTAGATGCCTAGATTGGGTAGCTTTCGAATCAGCAAAGTAAAACTCCCAAATTGGATTCGGAATTTCCATGTTTTAATGGCGTGAAATACGCAGATGAGAACTGGCACACCAGGAAACCGTTCTTGTAGTACGCGATTCGGAAAAATGCGATATATCGCGATTCGGAAAAAGTCGCGGTCAACAAAAATCGCTTCCCCTTTGCCGATCGAGAAGTTGTGGACCCTTGGATGCAATCTGCAGCGGTGATTGCCGATGTATAGGATCTACTCGATCATATTATAACTGCTGTACGGCCTGTACCACCAGCTGTCTCTTTAAACTGCGCCTGCGGGTACAGTGAAACCTCTCTTATACGTACACCTCCTTTAAAGAAAATTTCGTACTTAATGTAGAGGTGTACGGAACTCGAGGTATTTTTTCAAGTTTACAGTAATTTTGGTTAGCGTTTTGGTGTACCTAATACAGAGTGTGTACGTACATAAGAGTGCACGTATCAGGGGGTTTTACTGTATGTTGATACACGGTTTCCCTCGCCCAGCTGCACTTCCTGTTCCGCTCTTTTTTGTCCTGACTAAGTTCCGTACAATCCACGACGGATAAGCGCTTTCTATCGGTATTGTCAGCGGTCTTGGCCGGTAAACCGTATCCCAGGCGTCTATAATAATCCACATCCTTCTAATGGAAGATCGTTTTATATATACTGTAGTAGGCAAGTACGATGCTTTCATGAGTATAATTCCATGAGTATCCATGAGTACAGAATATACTGGAAGCCAATCTCAATGTGCATTGTATGAGCGAAACCAACATTGTGCAGAATGACAGTGCGCACTGGCTGACCAGATACTCTGTAGAAGTACATGTACTTACCCCAGCGCTAATTACACGGTAACAGTTACAAAAACAAGCAACCTCTCGAATCATTTTCATTGTGCAAGCTACGAAGCGCCGAAAGTGCGATATTTATCCACAATGGTTTTCGATACATTTAAATCAATCTGACAAAAATGAAACTAAGGATCTATCCATGGAACACAATGAGAGGCTGAATGTTATTACCTTCTGTCCTGGGAACGTGCCATTCGTGCTATTAGCCGTGAGTGCCATGTGCATGGACTTTTTTCCGGCTTCGTATCTCTTGAACTAATATCGCGTGCTGAGTGATCCAGTAGATGAACCGTACACTGATCAAATGACGGATCAAATCCAAGTATGCTTTGTACGTCAATCTACTTTACCGAAAATTACTGCACATGGCGCCAATGGACCAGTGATTTCAAAACTTGTTTCCAACAAACGTTTCTGTCGATGAATACGCAGATGAATTTCAGTTGCTTTTTACATAGACAATAAAATTTATTGCAAATACGAATAACCAAGATGCGACAAGCCACAACGGCCAATATAGCCCTGTGGATGCATAGGTCATAGGGAACCGTTCACCATCTTGATAATGCCTCTATAAGAACCTGTAGCCCGCCCGCTACCCTAATCCATCGACACAGACAGCCGACGGCGATGCATGCTGCCAGAAATCCCGTCCAACCGGCGAGCCCAGAGTTCATGCAGCACGAGAGCAAACCATACACGATAAGCCCTACCACGAAAACGACAATGCCCAGAACAAAGATAAAACGAGTAGCATCTAGCGAGCCTGACAGTCTCTTCGGAAAAGTTTCATGCTTGTCAGCAGCGTCTTTCTCGGGCTCGTTCTTCTCGGATCTGTGTCCTATTCTGTGTGGAATGCGGAGAAAGTGGTGTCACCGCTGTAGTGGGAAGCTCTTTGGGACTATTGTAGTGCTGCTGCACTTGAAGAATAGCTTTTTCCAACTGTGCGACACGCGTCCTATACGTGGCAAATTCGTGCCTAAAAATTAATCAGGTTTTATTGTCAAATGTCGAAATCAACAAGAAACGATGCACTCAAACGCAGTTATATTACTGTGTAAAAATCAATCGCAGTCGCACTTATTTTTCGCTGCCTGGGACGCGAATACGCAACAGTTCTCTTAAAATCGAGCGTTTTCTAGTAAGAATTACTTTAATTATCACTTACATTCCGCGAATAAGGTTGAACGTTTCAATGGCGATAGACTTCCGGGATTTGAACCATTTGCAATTTTCTTTGTTTATAATAGTGATGTGCTACTAAATAAAACTAAATAAATGCTATTTAATTAGTAAAAGCTTCCCTAAAATTAAATGTGTAGTAAACAGTAAAGTTTACAGGCAAAATTAGTAAAAGTAAGTAGATATTCAGCTACAATAGTAAATAGTAAGTAAATTGTAAGATTTAGCTTTCGTTAAATAAAAGTTATTTACTAATTCATTTACTAATAGAAATTTAGCGAATAACCAGATAAAAAACTCATTGCTGTACTTGGGTGGGTTCATCATTAACGGCTTTGCATACTAAAGTTGGTGCTCTAGCAGACGGTGGTAGTGCTGTTCACGTAAACGCAATGTACCGCCAACCCGAAACTGCGGTTACGTTACGTATAATTATAGGCATTTGAAACAGTGAAATGCAGCAGCAGCCTGGCAAGCCGATTGTGCAGCACAGTTGTACTGTTACATTTTGCCTTTACAGACCATATATTCGCATAAAGTACAGTAAATTTTAATTCCTTCATGAAATGCACAAGCGTCTCAGTATGATAATAACATTGAGTTACAAATTAAATTAAATTTATTTAGTATAATTAGTAAGTAAGTGGTTGGGAAAAATGGGAATAGTAAGTAATAGTAAGTATTTGAAAAATTTTGAGGTTAATAGTAAGTAATAGTAAGTAAAAGTTTTGGAAGATTAGTAAATAGTAAGTAAGGTAGCAGGAAGCTGTAGTAGCACATCACTAGTTTATAACTTTGGAAAATCTCAATTTTCGTTTAAAACTTTTCTTCACTTACAACTGTTTCAGAAAATTAGACGTAAGGAACACAAGATATTAAACGAAAAATTCAAATTAAACTGGAAAGCATTCATTTTAATTTGCAAATACATGTAATACGTAATTTCATGAACATGAAATCTGACAGTTCCCCGGTAACTATCCGTTAAGGGCGCGTTACAGTAGGCATCCAAACTTAAGCAAACTGATTCCGGCGATGCATGCGGCGAGAAAACCCATCCAACCGGCTAGCACCGGGTTTACGCAGCACCAGAGCAAACCAAACACGATAAATCCTGCCCAGTACATGGCGATGATCACACAGAGGATGAAAGTAAAATGTAGGAGCCAGCACGGCATCCTCATCGGCCACAGTTCTATGCTGGTATCCGCATCCTTTCCCGGCTCGATCTTCTCAGACTGTGCTGTGGTCGGAGTGGAACGCGAAGATCCTGGTGTTTCAGCGATGCCGAAATGCTCTTGCGGCTGCTGGAGCTGAGCGATAGTTTGCTCAAGCTGCTGTACACGCTCTGTACACTTTGCAATGTGATGACTGCAAAATAGCGGCTCGTTGGTTTCAGTGCCAATAACCGTGTGTGACGTAACCACAAGAACGTCACATGACTGCTTTGTAGTGCCATTAATTTGGCAAAGGCTATTTTGCCGCATTTTTTCCCAGTGCGGCAAAATACTGTAGCTAAAGGCTATTTTACCGCAAACACTGCGGCAAAATAGCCACTTCGCATTAATTTGGTCTTTTCTACAGTGTCAGTGTAGTGAATCTATATAATGGGCATAGCGCCCTAGAATTCAACGTAGAGCCTTAGCGTTCACCTAGATACATAATATATTATTAACAAATCAGTCATTTTCTTATTTTCTTAGAGCGACGAAGGATGCCGATCCAAATAGACGTTAAATAAGCCGATTTCTTTTGTGGAATACAGTGAAGCCTGTCTTTTACAAACACCGGTAAATACATACACCTGGAAATTACATACGCCGAAAGTTTAACCGGCGCGTCCCATAGACTGTAATATAACTCTGTGTAATACATACACCTGGATAATACATACGGTTTTGCTTTAACCGTAGGTGTATTTAGTAAACAAGTTTCACTGTACCGCCTTTCAGTACAGATACCTTGGACTTGGGAAACAGTGCATCGCCTCCTTCGTCTTCTCATCGCCATTGACGGCTATCGGAAACTCTTCTTCCATGCACAAGAGTTCATCGTCTTTCGCTGTGGTATTGGCACTGTTCGGGTCGCCGTCGAATAGTTGGTCAGGCTGGTTCATTGCCAATAATGCTGGCAAAACTGCCGCAAGGACACACAGCCAGACCTGCATAACGTGCATTCCTGCTGGGATCGCTTGGTCAGTCAGCGAAAATTACACAGGAAAAGACTGTCGGGACGATAATTATTCCCAATAATACATAATTCAACTGGTGGCTCGAGAACGGGGCGGAATTCGGTGCGCTGTGTCTATAGGGACTTTCAGCAGGGATCGTTGGTGCATAGGATCCACTCGATCATGTGATAAAAGTTTTACTGCCAGCTGTCTCTTTACACTGCGAGTCTGCGGGTATGTTGATACAAGGTTTTCCCCGCCGAACAGCACTTTATATGCAAACCAACGCACTTCCTGTCCCTGTCTTTTTTGCCCTGAGCAAATTCCGTACAGTGATCGATTGCTAAGTGCTTTCTATCGGTACATATTGTCAGGGTTCTCGGCCGGTAAACGGTGTCTACAATAATCCACATCCTTTTAAGTTATTGCTCTAATATATCTTAAATTCATGCACCATAAGACACTATAAACTTTACATATTGTACTGTAATTATAAAAAAATACTGGAGACTGCTTTTGACTAAACACATTTTATGGAGCTTTTGCGAACTAAATGCGAAGCGCACGTGGGATGTCATAAATTTCCTAAGTTTTTTCCGAAACGCTCGAGGTGAGTATTTTGCATTTAGGGTTTTGATTCCAATTTCAAAAACAAATATAAAATGTCGTTATAAAAAAAAAACGGTTTTAAGTCCACGTAAATTTCCAAAAGCTGTTGTACAGAGGGTTATTCAGCCAAGTGTGTTCACTTTCGAAAAAAAATTCATATGAATCGGCTTTTGGTTGGAGGGTCGCTGTAAACATTTCACTAAAACGACAAAATAGTTTGACTGCTTTTTGCAAATTTTGGTGAGAATCCAGCTTTAAATGCATTCCTTATCTGCTGTTGACCAGAAGACTTCGACTTCAAATTCTTGACCAGTCGAAATTTCACTTTTATTTGGCTGGTTTCAAAAGGCAAGTCCGTTTCTCGAATCTACACGTTTACAACTTTAAAAAACGCTGATCCGGATTATTTTTATGGGGAAATCGATGTAATGCTTTCGCGGGTAAGTGTGTAGGACCGGTTGAAAAAAACGCAAAAAAGGGAACAAACCCGCGGGAACCATGCCCGTTATGCGAATTCTTACACACCGAAATGCAGCAATCCTTTTCGTCCTCCCACAAACCAAGACTGTAGTGGAGGTCTTTATTGATCGCCCTAAGGGTCTACTGTTTGCGAAAAACGTCCCGTGGCTCCAGCCAGGCGGGGAAGGAACCTTCATCCCGAAGCAGGATGGTGCTCCCGGGAAACAGTGCCGACCCAACCGGGGCTACTTCCGAATCGTACAAAAAACCAGTTGATCCATCAGAAAACTGTTTGCTGAATACCCTTGACACGTTTTCGATGGAATACTTTGTGATCCCAAATTTTAAGGGATTTTTTAATCAAAGGCACGACAGTTGCTGTACCTGAACTGGTCGACTGTTGGCAACATGTCTTTCAGGCATTTAATTTTTTCTTGTGTCAAAAGATAAAGAAATCTAAACTTAATCATATTTTTATTACGACTGAATGTTGTGGTTATCCGATGAAATATTTGGAAAAGCAATATGATCTTGTGGGGACTAAATATAAGTTCGACTCGTTGAAGGTGCACGGACAATTGGCTTGGAAATAAACGTCACAAAGTGGGAACTATACGTTACAGGCGGGTCGGAGACAGCTCGACAGAAAGCAGTAGATGACTTTCTTGCACAACATCCCGGAGTCCGTGTCATGTCCAGCTCCAGTCTGACTTTGCTTGGAGCTCCCGTTTTGGACTCCGTGATCGCCCCCTTGTTTGCTGAGAAAGCGCAATCATTAACTGCGGTGTGTGAACGGATGCAGCTGCTCCCACGACACCACGCGCTTTTTCTTCTACGGCACTGCCTCGGGGCACCAAAGATCGTCTATATGCTGAGATGTAGCAACGCCTAGAAATACTCAGAGCAATTGTATAAAATCAACGAAGTTCTGCGTGCCTGTTTCCAACAGTTGTGCAATGTGCGAACCAATCACGATGACTATCCCAGCTGGCGGCAGGCAAGCCTTCCGGGTAGCAGAGGTGGTATTGGCGTTCGTCGCTCGGAGGAATTAGCACTCCCAGTCTTTCTGACTTCGATTCACTGCGTTGCCGACCTGGTGTCATTGCTACTTCCGAACCGACCGGCCGTCGATGTCTCTGCAGCGCTAGAAATTTGGAAGACCAATGCCCGGTTGACAGAACTGCCTTCACCAGATTTTCGAAAGTCACAGAAAGCGTGGGACCTCCCGTTGTGCAACGTGTCTCTCGCTACCTTGTTAGAAGTATTCCGCCACGATCAGGCGCGTCTACTCGCTCATTCGAGACCGGAAGCCGGTATTTGGCTTAATGCATTGCCGTCGGCCCATATCGGTAACCTGCTCGACGATGACACGCTAAAAATCTCCGTCGGACTTAGACTCGGCGCCAAGACCTGCGAACCGCACAACTGCGCGAAGTGTTGCAAGCCTGTCGACTGCTATGCCCATCACGGTCTCTCCTGTTCCTTTTCCGCAGGCCGGCATCTACGGCATGGTGCACTTAACAGTCTCGTTTGCCGCGCATTCGTATCAGCCGGAATCCTAGCAAAACTAGAGCCTCGCGGCACTTATAATACTGGTGGCAGACGCCAAGATGGATGCACAACATTTGCGTGGCAGAGGGGCATGTGTCTGGCATGGGATGTCACGTGTGTTGATACGGTCGCCGCTTCTCACATTAAGTCTACATCGGCAAACGGGGGTTCCGCCGCCGTCCAGGCAGAAGACCAATCTATATTCTTATTTGGTTGGTCGTTACATTTTCGCGCCCATCGCTTTTGAAACAATGGGCCCGTGGGGACCGTCAGCCATCTCTATCATCAAAGAACTGGGAAAGCGTTTACGGACCCATTAAGGAGAAGTCCGCTCTCACGAATTTCTTCGGCAGCGACTATCTCTTGAGATACAACGCGGCAATGCCGCCTCTGTTTTGGGCACCGCAGAGAGAGCGGAAATGTTTAATGAGCTCTTGTTTATTTAGCTGTTCTTAAACCGTGTACGCGTTCGGTTTGAAATGAAAATTACCCAATACGAATTTTTCAAAAAGTGAACACAGTTGGCTGAATAACCCTATTAGTTAGGAAAAATACAGTAGAAGTAGTGTACAGTATGGCTTTAGTATACTGCGTATATTAACGTTATTATAATTTTAGTGTTTGCTGTCAGACAGAAAATGGTAGTAGTGTATGTAAATGGTGTATGAACGGTCGTTTTAGTTTTTAAATCGTTTTACGACCATAGCAACAGTAATAAGTCTGTATTTCAGTAAAGTACTGAGGAACTTTACTAAAGTACTTATGGAGATACTTATATTAGGTGGTTGAGGTATGCCGAAATAATTTGTTTGCTCTGTTACAGTATAAGAATCTTTTTCTTTAGAAAAAGTAAGACGGTCTGGCCAGGTATCGAATTACGGGCTTTCAGATTATACAGTAGGTATGGTTTTGCTAATATATTGGATTATAGTTATGGTATTCTGTACGGCTAAACTGGGTTGGCGTATCCCTTTTTATTTTTTGTAGCAATAAAGAACTATTGCATTTAGAAAATGCTTGATGCAGTGAGACACCGGTAATTGTTGGTATTTGCAATACTGCGACAAGGAATAAATAATTCACAATTTCTGCGTATGGCGCACATGGGTCAGTGATTTCAATCTTTTTCCAGCGAACTGGTCACTGGTCAGTCGAAGACTAGTGAATTTCGGCTGTTTTTCGGCGCATATAGAATATTTCGGCGAATACAGACAATGAAATCTAGTGTTAAGCAAATACGGATAGCCGATACGCGACAAGTCACAGCCCCCAAAATAATTCTGTGAATGCAAAGGTTACACGGAATGCAGTCCAGTGGAGCCTCCCGGTCACGGTATGCTTTCCGGGATCAGAGGCTACTGCCAATGTGCTGCATCGCACCGGTGCGAAGCAATCTTGGCTGTTTTGTGCGGTCTAACTGGATGTCTTCGTTCAGGGGTGATCAAACGCGGAGGTACAACTGTGTAAGCCTCCGTGAATCCTCTGCAAGAATCCATAAGCCGCCCGCTTCCCTTACCCATCGACCCAGGCCGCCGAGGAAGATGCATGCTGCCAGAAAGCCCATCCAACCAGCTAGGATAGAGCTCATGCAGCACGAAAGCAATCCATACACGATAAGCCCTATGGCGAACGCGACGAAACCCCAACTAAAGATCAATCGACCAGCATGTAGCCAGTATGACAATCTCGTCAAAAAAGGTTCTTGACTAGCGACCGCATCTTTTTCGGTTTTGTTCAGCACTGACTGGTCCGCATTCCGGCTGGAGTATGGAGAATCTTGTGTCTCCGCTCTACCGACAAACCCTTTGGTGCGCTTTAGCGGCTGCTGAGGTTGAAGAACAGCTTCTCCCAGCTGTTCCATAAGCTTCTTATACGTGGCAAATTCCTGCCTAAACAGGGACAAATGAAGGCGGTGTAACAAAACAGGGATTCATTTGATATACTGGAGATTAACAAGAAAAGACAATTCTCATCGATGCAATTCGATACTCCCATGTTACTGACATCAATTTTAAGCAACGCAATCGCAGTATTTTTACTGCTTGGAAGACGCATACGCAGTTCTCTTCAAATTTCTACCGGAACGCCATTCCGGTAGAAATTACTTTCATCATAATTTTATGTGCCGCAAGTACCCTGAAGCTAAAATTTTTATGGATAGGGATTTTCGGGATTGGAGACAGTTGCCATTTTCTTGTTTAAAACTATGGAAAATTTTCGTTTTTTTCCTTTAAAATTTTTTCTGCAAAAGACCTCTCATAAAATTTGACTTTCCTTTCAGCTTGCATTACATAGCATTACAAGAATATTATTAAAAAAATAAAAAATCTGGAAAGCATTTGTTTTAGATTGAAAAACACATGTGATAATTTCAAGATGCACACAGAAATGCAACGCAAACGGACCAGCACAATCACTGACGCGGCGTTACTTCATATTTTTGCAATAGCGATTAGGACGGCTCATGAAAGACAGTACATACGGGTAACGGTGTAAATACCTTAGAAACGGGAAGCAGTGCATCACGGCCTTCCTTTTCTCCGCGCCAGTGGCTGCTCGCTGAAACTGGTCTTCCAGGCACAACAATTCCTTGTCTGCTGTTGTAACTGTAGCGTTTGGGTTGCAGTGGTGCAGTTGATTAGGTTGTTGCATAGTACAGAATGCAGGCAACAAAGCACCCAACAGTGCAAGCACACACAGACACACACGCATTTCGACTGGGATAGCTTGGTCAGTCGTAAGGTCGAAAAGGTCAGTCGAAAGAGAAGAAAGTCAGTCGTAGCGAAAATGATTAACCATAATTTAGGTGGGATGGAAATCCCGTATGTAGAAGTCAAGCGGCGATTCCTGGTGTATGAGATCTATTCGAGCAGACTTGTTTTATTGCCAGGTTTCTGTTTACAGTGTGGTTATACAGATATTGACATAATGCTGCACCGCCAAACAGAATTCTATACTAATGCATTTCCCTGCACCGGTATTATTCTTCTTGAGTACAACGATCGATTGTCAAGAGCGTGGCATCGTTATTGTCACCGCTGTCTGCCGGGAAAAGGCGGCATGATTCATGAACATGATATACAGCATCGGTTTGTTGACTGATGTTGCAGTTCGGTACAGCGATGCTTCCAGGAATAACAACGCAGTGGAAAGCATATTCATAGTATGAGGAAAAAGCATCAACCGTGCGCCACAACATTGTCCACATCAACATGAAAAACTCCCAGCGCTAGAAGATTGAAACTACAGTGTAAGGGGTACAACCTACACTCTTTCTACTGATTTTATTACGCACCGACAAATCGGTGGTCACAAAATGTGTCCTTGCAAGCGGCTGTTACGATGCCGCGAATCCAGTTAAATTTAGTAAATACACCGTCCAGACATTGAATCTGTATGCGCTCTCTTCTGCGGCCTGACAGGCAGCCGCCCACCAGTTAGGAAATGCCTTCTTCCGAATTCAGCTTTTGCGACCGGGTGGTTTCACTTACCGCTTTGGCTTGCCATACACGCTCCGTCCTGGTTATCCTAGTCACAACGATTTTTTTTAAACCATCAGCGGTTATCACAATCGTTTCTCGCGCAAACAAACCATACCTTGCAAATAACTACCGTCAATATTTCGGGCCAACCGCATCGTTTCTTGGAATACCTCGTCGGTAAACCGCAGCTAAAGTGCTTCCATTTCCATCGGGAGTCCGTATAAGATACCAACTGTTTTCAGCTTCTTATCTGCAACTTGGTGTTTGGCTATTTTGCCTGTTACCGGGAGAGGTCAATTTGTCTGTGTGTGAACTTTACGCGACGCTCAAGCGGCAGTCGCATGACGTCGCTCAAGCGGCAGTCGTACCGAAACTACATGTGTGTACAGATCAACAAGAATTTGTGTTTGGTTGGAGCGAAAATCACACACACAAATGTCAGGCTGAAGCATCGTTTTTCGGCGTGATACCACGGTCAGTTACTCTTGGAGCTTGCAAGTACAGTATATTCGTCTTGCGATTTGTGACCATTTGTTTTGCAGTACTTCGATCTGACCATTACTTTGAACGGTTGCAAGCAAGTGCAATCAGTACTTCTAAAACCCACCACACATATTTTCCCGTGTTAGTATACGATTCTCACACTCGACTGTGACCGGCAATAATGTCCCCCATGCCGGACACCGCTAAATTCGTTCCGGCAATAATGTCCCCCATGCCCGACACCTAGCAGTTCACTCCGGCAATAATGTCCCCCATGCCCGACACCGCTAAATTCGTTCCGGCAATAATATCCCCCATGCCGGACACGACAAATTTTATTGCCGCAATCGGTCCCTACATTATACAACTTTCGCAGTTGGTTTTCACTGGTAACGCTGTGGTAACGCTAGTGGCAGTTTTTCAAAGGTCACCGATTGACCTGCAAATCAGCTTTTCGTTCTAGGTCCCCCGTGTCACTTTTCTGGCCAAAGGGTTACCTTTTTGGCGATGGTGGCAGGGGGAACGCGGCAAAAATGTCCGGGGGACATTTTCGCCGGTCACACTCGACATTTGGATTGAGCCAGTCCAACAATCACATATGTTTTGGCTGCTTACACATAATTATTATGTTAAGCCATTCTCTGCTAAACTTGTAATACATACCGTTTTTCAGTATCATGAATGTACAGATACTAGTATTCTGTGACTTACAGTGTAGTGTTACAAGTGGTATTTCTCTAACGGAGATGGCAAACAATAAACTAAACTAAACTACTCGTAGCAAACATCAACTGATGGGGAATGGTTTTATTCAAGTGAAAATCCAAGTGAGAAGAGCGCGCATTTTTGGCAGCGACCGAGCGCTGCTTTTATACTAGAACATTTGGGGCAGCAGGTTGCATTAGCAGATTTTAGCAATTCTAATAAGCGTAGAACAACGTCATAATAACCAGAGCGTAAATTAACAATAAGGCGTGCCTTACAATAGAAATTAAGCATACAATGATGAATCAGTGCAATGCTCCTTATTGTTTGATGGTAACAATTAAGGTATAGTTATTAATAACTTTTGCTGGCCTAATTATGAATTTATGACGCTTCGAGGATCATATAATTATGCAGCAATATTTTTACCGTTAACAGTAGTACATAGTAGTGCCTCTGTAGTGTATTGAATTAATTTTTGTATCATTTCCATGACTGTTTTCGAAGCAAAGTCGTGTTCTGACAGCCTTATACAAGTTTGCCACAAAGCGGTCGATTTACTGGAAACCGCGCGCTTACCAAACATGGAACAAAATCCTTCATTACACATGCCGATAACATAATGTTGTCTCAAGCACAACATTGAGCTTAGCCAATAATTATGTAAACGTGGATTCTCGCTGCACGCAGACGCCGTCAGTGTTAGTGGTGTGTATTAATCTGTACCCTACTCTATGAAATTCAGAAAGTACGGTACATACAGAACCTATTCAAGGCAACAGAAAGACCAAAATATTAAATCGACACAAAAAATCTTAGAATTGACAAAAAAGTACAAGCTTTATCGTGGTGGTAAATTTTACCGGCAGTCGTCTATCAGACTTTGGTTCGCCTTAAAAGGGAGAAGAAATTAATGTTCTGTGTAGCGGTAAGGGAAAATTTTGCTGTCGCGCTTGAAGTACTGCTAATCTTATCTTGCTTTTCATTGCTCATTGGTAAATAACTGCTTGGCACTGCACGCAAACAAATGGTCAAAATAAATGGAAGAACTGTACCCAGCATCAAATATCTCACCACAGTTTAACGAAGTTTTTAGATTTGTTAAAATTACCGTAGATCTGCTTTAGCGCACTGACATACTTTTCTTAGGGTTGCCTTTAAAATACATAACTTGTCCTGAAAGTGTTTATTTACCATGAATATTTCCGAAGTGCCTCAAGACCAATCTGACTCAATTTTAAACAAATATGCAGAGTGCGAAAATCTTTCTGATCCTGACCTATATCGTGCGTGGGAAGACGAAAATCGTGGACGGGAAGCCCGCATAAAATGTTTGGAAATGTTATACCATGAATATGGTGCCATTATTCGAGCATGGGAAAACAATAACTCCTTACAACAAAATAGTGTTGCTGAGTGGAGAGGGAAGGTTAAAATATGGAGGGAACTGCTTCGAGCCCATAGAAATCCTTCTCGAAAATTGGACGTCATCGCCAGGATGAGGAGAGATGCCGATTCGCCACAAAATCCACCTCTTCAAATGTCACCGGGCTTAAAAGATCTGGTTCCGGTTGATGTGGATGCTGCTGGACTGCTGGGAGACCTCGATGGAGCCTGGAAAGACGTCAATAAGGCCTTAAGAAAAATTATGGCGGTTAATTGTAGCCATTGGCAAAATATTAGAGCCGCCCATTGCCCAGGCTACATCCATCTAACCGAACCATACTCTGAAGGAGGCCATTATTCCTGTGTTCAGAACCAAATACGAGCTCACAAATCCGTGGGGATCGATGGCAATTTTTTGGACAATTTGCACCAAGAAGCTCGGCGAGTTCTCAAATCAGACGGCATCGGCAAGACGTTGGAGGAAAGAATCAAATTTATGATTGATGATCACTTGAGAGAGGTTAGAGACGAAACGGTTATTTTTTAAGAATTTCCGGCGATTTCCGTAGTAAAATGTAGTTGAAATATCTGATTGTCGCACGGTCCACTCCGCCACATGTGCCGGCTTTGGCACATTACAAAACCTTTTCTCTATTCTGCTTTGCAATGTGCATGGAACGAATGCAGACGTTACTAGTTACGATTTAGGACCAACTGGTCGCGCGCTCTCATACCCAGTATATTATGCAGCTGTGGTGGAATGGACTGTACGACAGCTGGATACTAATTTCAACTCCGTCGTTTTGGCTGTGAAATGGCAGTTTGTGACTCATCAAATCCAACCATTCCGGGCTAAATCTTAGCTTGAGTAATGTATGAGAACTGCATTCAGCTGCACTTGTAATCCTTTTGTATCTGCTTGTAGATACGCAAGGATATCTCGCAGTTTTCAGGAACGCATTTTATTATTCTTCTGTCCTCGTTACAGTCCCTATTGGGCATGGTTTTGTTCGATATCAAATGGACGTACCTAAATCAGGTAAAATTGCCAAATTTTTAACAATTTTTTAAAAAATGCGCAAATCAGTGTACGTACATCCAGCACACAGAATTTACTTTGACAAGCAGAAACGTTGCCAATATCTTTTTGTTATTTTTCAGAACGATTTTCAAGGCATTGGAGATTGGAATATAAGTGCTTTTGGTGATGAAGTCCTTCGCAGTTTTGTTGAGAAAGATGATCAAGTTCGCTTTAAATTACGCCACGCTCTGGTGGACAGTAGATTACATGGCTTATTGGGCAACGAAACTCATTTGAAAATGGGATTTAATATGCTGTTGAAGCTTGGAAAGGGAACATTCGAAGTGTACGAGGCCGTCTGCATGCATGCGGATGTACGCTTGCACGATAACCTTCTGGTAGGTCAACCTAAACAAGCATTAATAATTATGTTTTTATTTAGGGCCTTTCCACTGACCAATTGAAAAATTATTTAGATACGTGCGCAAAGTTGGCAAGCCCAGTTTCACGAATCACAACCGATACCAGTATCCGACACCATGTTGGCTGTGAGCGAGAACAGTGAGACCAGCGGTGTTCAGGAACTCGTCTTATTTGGCCGCCCCGGTCAATTCAGTTATTCGGGGAAAAAGTATCTTGGAGGTGGAAGCTTTGGCATAGTTTATAAAGCCACGGTAAATGATAGCGGAAATACACGCGATATTGCCGTTAAGGTTGTATCAGCTATGGAGCTGCATAAAGAAACTGTTCGTGCAAAGTGGAAAGACTATTGCCGACAGTTTAGTACTGTATTAGAACTGCAAAATCCCTATGTGGCGAAATACCATAAGGTCACCGCTACCAGCGAGGGAAATATTGAGATCATAATGGATTATTACGGTAAATTCGTTTTGGCAGTTAACTAGTACGTTACGTTAACGGGACACCCATTTGCAGATGGTGACTTATCAGCGATTTTGCGAGCAAAAATCAAGCTCAGTTACGGTGTGACTGTATGCTTTGCGGGTCAGATTGCCGAAGGACTGCGCTATTTGCATGACAACCACATTATACATGGTGATTTAAAACCGGAGAACATTCTCTTACAGAATGGTGGCCAGCTATACCGGCTAGTTATTGGTGATCTGGATGATAGTGTGGTTATGCGGAGAATGATGACATGTCCAGAAGACATGGAAGAGATGCGTGGCACAATGCATTATATGGCTCCAGAAATGCTTAAGAAGATGATTGGCCAATCTGAAGACGACGATATGCCGGGAAGGAAATCCGACATGTGGAGTTTTGGTTGTATCGTCCTGGACCTGGTAAATTGTCACACGGGAATTGATAAGAAATGGCTGATCAAAGGCTCCCAGAAAATCGAAGCCGGAACAGAACTTCCAAAGCTTCGTTTTATACAGTTGATTGTGGACGAGTTGTTTGTTCCGTATGTGGACGATTCTACGCCGGCAGCTCTCGCAGAATGCATTCAGGGCTGTTTGCACATAGAGGAATATGCAAGAAGTTCTGCAGAGGAAGTAAAGCGATTTCTTTGCGAAGGTAAACTGTTAAATGCTGCAAATCCACTTTGAGACCATATGCATTAATTTGAGATGTTTTTAACAAACCTTATTGCATTCCAGAGCTTCTTACTTGGCGTAATAAGTTTGACTTGCCGAGAGCCAAAGGAAGAGAACACGGCGACAACTGGAATGATTTTAGCGATTTCGATTTTTGCTCCATGAATTTTGGAAAAATTTAATACGACGTTCATGTACCCGGTACTCATGCCGAGAAACTGTCTGTTTCTTTGTTGAGATACTTTTACTTAGAGTAGTTTTAAGGTCCGGAAAAAGTACCATATGTGTATATATATATATATATATTTGTATTTATCTTGCTGTATTTTTCTGTGACTATGCTTTTCCAGTGTAGTGTACTTTGCATGCTAGTGCTGTAGATTTGTAATGACGTCCAACCCGAGACAATGCCGAATGTGCTTTACTGTATTTACGAGCCGAACCGGGATTCTGGCGTCCGTAACGATCGCCATTATAGCACAAGCTGGTGCGCATAAAAAATATTTTGAGTCAAAATGGGCAAGAGGTCCAGCTCAGTTAAATTAAAAGACGAATCCGAGCCAAAACCACTCCACGACCTTGTTTTCAAGACTACAGAACAATTTTTAAATTTTTGAAGCTATGACTTTCAGCTCCATGTACATACATCATTTGACTAGGAATGATGAAAAACCGAAAAACGGGTGCTTTGAGCTTGGATGCCTACCAAAACAACGATTGCATTAAAAAAACAGTCAAAACGGCGGCACTCGCCCCAATTCGTACGTAGACGGTGTAAGAGATTTCAGCGTTTCAGGCAGTCTTGAAGCAGCGTTCTCGACGGTGCGGGTAAAGGAGGCAAGGTCCGCTCTGTAACGTACCAATCAAGAGACATTTGGTGCACCGCGGGGAACATCTTTGCTGCTTCGGCCAGCCGATGGTACACAACGGCGCGCTCCGCCGGGTTCTCGCGGCGAACAAATCCGATCATGTACGTTAGGGCATCCATATAAAACACGTGCAGATGCGCAAGTATTTCTTTGTCCGCAGCACTGGTGGTGCCTAAAAAATGCCCGTGATTGTTGTGTGCTCGTATTAAACACGTTGAAAATGCCAGTGCTCCTGATACATCTGCGCTGGTAACTAACTACCTTGTCGCTTTTTGCAATCCGGACATTTTCATAATACGCATTTTCGTACCGGACACCAGAGACACGGGATTCTTCGCGCTGTTCCACATGACAAAAAAATTTCAAAAAAACTGATTATATAAGACAGTAATTAGCGTTTTTCTGCAAGCTTGTGCACAAGAATAATAAAAATTTAGAAAAATTAAAGATATAGAATTTAAAATTCAGTCAGAATTCTACTACTGTCAGAAATGTTAGTAGAATTTAAAGTTTCCTAATGTGGAACAACGCAGGGAATACCGTGTTTCCAATGCCCGGTACGCGAATCCGTATTATGAAAATGTCCGGAATGTGATAAACGTCGAAGTATGCACATACGTGGATCGAAAAACACAGCGGCCAAGAGGAGATAGGTCTCCGTCAGCGTCAGCCCGATTCCGTTGAATACAGCGCTAAACCTAAGACAGAACCGGCGGAATTCCGGATCCACACCCATAAGGTCCATCCAGTAGTTGCCGGCGTGAATTTGCTCGGGACCCGGTAATGTGCAATAATATTCCCCCTTGTAGACGTACCTCATATGGTGCAGCTACGAATATCAGCCACGGTTAGGCAGAGGCAGGTCTCTGATAAGATTACTGATAATTCGTACCAAAGTACTGATGAACCCTTTTTCCGCTATTAAAATATCGCGATCCGTCTGACTGACACTATCAAATCCAGGAAGCATGGCAACAAACTGCGCCAGACGGGCTTTGTCCTTATGGCGTTTTTCGTGCATTCCCACCAGGTAACGCTGCAGTGACGTCTGTGGCTGATACTGCAAAGCACTAACTTAAGAAAACTTAGGAAGCCCAAGGTCATTTTCGAAACCTAAGAAAACGTAAAAAAAAACGCAAAAAGTCGTAAAAAGAGCAAGAATCCGCAAGTATGTCCTGAACAACTAGGTTCCTAGGTCAGTTTGGGTATTTCTATGCTCGTTTACCATTTCTTAGGGCTTCTTTCATTTTTAAATTTTGATCATTTTTTAAGCGGTCAGAACCAGAGTTTGCGATATTAAAGTCAGAGTTTAGCGCGACCCGCTAAGATCGTACCGGTTTCTGGTGGGCTTCGAGGGCGGATGCCATGAAGGCGGAGAACACAGCAATTTGATCGCCGTAGGCGATTTCGTATGCCGCGCACACTGCGCCACCGGCTTTCTGCAGCATCACGTCGCGGGAATTGCTCAGATCTGCGTACATACTGCAGTACGAAAGGGACGGCAAAAATTGACGAAATGTCGCTGAGGCACCCATGAAGCCATGAAGCTCTGTCAAAATTATTTACTGTTAACTAAGGCAGGTAGCATGAATAACACAGCAGGGGCACTGACCGCATGGAGGGACCACTTTGCGAAAGCCGGACGGGAAAGTCGTCTGTGTCGGCTGAAAATCCTCGCTGAAATGTCCACGCAACAGAGCATCCATGTCTGTTTGGTCCAGTTGCGATTTGTCAGCACTGGGTTCGTACAGAGAAGCGTCTGTTCGTGCAGTTTGCGCTGCAACGAAGCATCGACGTTTTATCGTCTAAACATTGTGCAGACCACGAAATCAAACAACATGAAGCTGTATACTTGTAAATTGGAACCGTACTTCTGCCCACAGAAGAATTCCTGACTTACTTTCATCGTGTCTTTCCAAATCTTCCATCACGATAGTACGATCGCATTAATGCTCAACCGGAATGAACTCATCTTAACCAATATTTTGTAATCTGGTATCCACTGTTTTTCGGATTTATCTGTGCTGTGTAGCACTGCGTGTCTGTTTATTCAGTGAACAGTCGGAAAAAGGTAGAAACTGTAAAGAGACACTCCAGAACATGAGAAAACTTGAAGAAACACTGCAAACGTATTCACTGCAAAAATCAGCGTGTATAAATCAGCATTTCCACAGAAACTGCATACACTCCTTATATCCACTTCAGTCAGCAGTGTTTCCTGAACAGCTACCGCACAAAACGCTTGAGGTATCTTACACTGTACACATGCATCGACAGCTACGGCTGCGTGCACGCTGGATGTTCGGCTTTTCGAAAACCGGTCGATACTCGCTTATATGATTCTGCGATCTTACCGGTGCCGGTTATGAAAGCAGTAAGCATCAGACTGATTGATGCTGTCTGCCGCGTTCTGGCTGTAGCCTGTTTTATAATTTAATTTAATCTGAACGTGTTCGTGTTGTACACTCTGTTGATTAGACAAAATCAATATGTTCGTATCATCAGATATTTGAACCGTGCACTGACCGGTCGATCGATCTCCACTGTGTTTAATCTGAAGATGTGTCGCGATTTAATTACGTATTCTAACCATAATTGCCTATCAATTGCCGGCACTGGGCTCGAACAGAGAAGCGCTAGTTTGTACATTTTGCGTTAAAAGAAGACATTTAATTTTTAGTTTTCCATTGTACTGCAATGATTGCATAGACCTGAAATCAAACTTCCAAGAATTCTGAATTAAAAAGTAAATGTTGATAGAATTCTTTTTAAAATCAAATCAACCTTGAAGAAATAAAAGAAATAATTTATAAATATAATTAACTTTCTAATATAGAAAATTCAGTTTCAATATTAATAATGATTAGAATAAATTTGCAAGAAATTGAGTTTTAAGCAAAATTAAACTAATTTCGAAAGAAATTAAGAAAGATTTGCCAAATAAAAAAAAATGTTTCCAGAAGTGCTCATTGCCAAAATGTAAAAATAACGAGTAGTCTTTTAACGCTTCAAACCAAAACGTTTTCGAAAAAAATAAAACTATTACCATTAGGTTGCAAACTTCGTTGCATTCCTAACCAAATTTGGCTCTAAATCGTTCGATAACCGGTTTGAGACTATTCGAATTTCGACCCTATTAATTCACTAACAGATGACCACTACCTGGGATAACTGGGCAATAGTGCGTCATACGGCAGCCTAATAGTGCGCCATTAGGCTGTCGTCTCCGTAAAATTCTCAACAGACAATTCTGTTTAACTTTAGTCCAAGTGTATCAAAATTAATCGCGGTTTGCGGCCTGACGATTTGTAAAGAAAGACTGACAGTAACCGGAAATTTCTTTCATTAAATAATTGGTGGCTCGGTAATTCAATTATTCTTTAGTTGAATATATTGTTTGTGAAAATTCGCGAAAACTACAGACGGTGCACCACCCAGGATGCTACACTTTTAGCAGAGAATCATTTGTAAACTGGTTGACTCCCCATATCCCGAATCCGCTAGAACAGTTTTCTTCCTTATTGTTCTGTTGTTGAGAAAAACAACTCTCCATGAAGATTTTGCGCACACGTGAGACAGCATGAAGACCAGTGTCCGCGACCAGCGACAAAAATGCAATCAAAACAAAACTTTTATTTTCTATTTTAAAGCGATGAACAAATGAAGCAAGCATTTTTTGTCATATTGATATTCTGATTTCAGAAGATTCTGAGTGCTATAGAAGAAAGTATAGCACTGCGTGCTAAGCTTGTTTCGGTCCCGAATTACCTCCGGGATTCGGACGGCATTGCAACGAGCATTTGGCGGCTATAACTATCGACCGCTGTCATCAAACGAATGCCATTAAAATGCTTAGAATTCATTTTTTAATTGTAAAAAGAGGGCCGAAGTTAGTTTTAGTTTAGACAAGGTGGATAAGGGGTACTTGGTTTAGATTCATAGTACTGGTTAACTGCCTTTTGCAGTGATGTTTCCAGAGAAGCAGGACAGTAACCACGGTTGGGTTTTGTTGCAAACCAAAGTGCTTAGGCTGTTATCCATTTTTAATTTGTCATACCAAATCTCTTGTGCGCGAGAGCGGTTTTCTGGCCGGTGCAATTTGTAGAATACTCAAATATCTGACATATCAGTCATTTACAGCCAGCGTGATATAAAAAATAATAATACAGAGAGAGTGTTTTGGATAGCCGCTAAGGCGAAAGTATCAGAGGGTTTATAACGAAAGTGATGTGCGTAATAAAAATAACGGCAGAAATACCATACAAACAAAACGAAGCCATTGGTGTCGAATTTAGTGGTGCAGCAAAAATTAGTGTTTCAAGCAGTCTTGAACCAACGTCTTGGACGGTGCCGGAAGCGGAGGCAGTGTTCGCTCTGTATCGACGTACCAATCAAGCGACATTTGGTGCACCGCGGGGAACATCGCTGCCGCTTTGGTCAGCTTGTTGAAGACAGCGGTGCGCTCCGTCGGGTTCTGGCGGCGACGATAGCCGATCATATGCGTTAGGGCATCCATATAAAACATGTGCAGATGCATAAGTAACGCTTTGTCTGACGCAGTTGTTGTGCCTAAAACAGCCGGGCAAAAATGCCTTGATGCGTTCTTGTGCACTTCATTTCTTAATTATGTGAATTTTTGTTTTATAACATTCTGTAACCTGATGATACCGTGATGATGGTATGTACAAGCTTGTCCGGTAATTTCCTACGTAAAGGTACAGCTAGCGCGAAATTTGCGCTTATAACGATGGCCACTTCACTACGTTTATCAAATTTCCTAAATGCGCTCCGCAGGCAGATTGTCGCTTACTGCACCGACCGTTTTTTAGCCACCTTCCGACAGGCAGTTACTATTATTCTCACAAAATTATATCGCATAATGGCGTGTACCAAGCCACCAGCCAGCCAAATGCAAGTTACGTGTTTAAACAATGTGGCGTGGCGCGCCGTAGTGTGAAGCTTGGCGTAACACGCAAATTTGTGTAATTCGCTGTATTGATTCGTCAGAAATTACCGGACAAGCTTGTATATCATCATAAGCATGAAAACTGAAAACCGTTTGTACGTGCAACACCCGGTTCGGGAGTTTTAGCTGTCGAAAAATTCCAAAACGTTAAATGCATTCAGGAGTATGTAAAGTCTTATTACCGACCGATCTTTCTTTACATTTTACACATAAATGTATGTAACTATGAAGACTGTTTTTACACCGAACCAAAGTTGCACCACTTTTCCAGATCTTAAAATAAATTTCGAAAAGTGACACCTGGCCACAGAATGTCATAAAACAAAACAAAGAAGTGCGCGCAAGTGAAAGTTTTCGCGTATGTACAACAGTACAAGAATTCGGTACCATGCCGGTGACCCGATACATTTGCTCGGTGGCGGTCACTCACCGGGCAACAAATACCACTAGTAGTTACTACACCGGCTGTGCTAATAAGTACATACGTGGATCGAAAAACGCTGCAGCCATGAGCAGGTAGGTTTCCGTCAGCGACAGCCCGATCCCGTTGAATACAGCGCTGAATTTGAAGCAGAACCGGCAGAATTCCGTATCCACGCCCAGTATCTCCATCCAGTAGTCGCTGGCGTGAATCTGCTCAGGACCCGGTAATGTGCAATAATATTCGCCTTTGTAAGCGTACTTCATATGATGCAGCTGAAAAAAAGCAGCAACAGCAACGGTGAGGTATGTACTGTAGATGCAGGTCACTGATGAAAGAAACCCTGTACCAAAGTACTGATAAACGCTTTTTCTGCCAGTAAAACTTCACGATCCGCCGGGCTGACGTCCGCAAAGCCCGGCAACATGGCAACGAATTGCGCAAGACGGGTTCTGTCATCCTGACGTTTCTCGTGCATACCCGCCAGGAAGCGATGCATGGACGTCTGCGGTTGATACTGCAATGGCCGACCAATATCAGTTAACCACGATAAAACAAATTAAGAAACTGCAAGAACCTGAAAGAAAAAAAAACTGGATTCTTAGGTCTTTATAGGCGTTCCTATTTTTTACGTTTTCATAGCTCTTCTTGGGTTTTCTTATTTTGATCCGTTTTCGAGTGGTCAGATCCAGAGTCAGAGTTATCAGAGTCAGGGCACAGCTTGAGAGCGAGCCACTACCATCGTACCGGTTTCTGTTGAGCTTCGAGGGCGGCTGTCATAAACGCAGAGAACACGGCAATCTGGTCTCCATATGCGATCTCGTACGCCGCACACACCGCGCCGCCGGCTTTCTGCAGCATCACATCGCGGGAATTGCTGACATCTGCGTACATACTGCAGTACGAGCTGGACGGCAAAAGCTGGCGAAAGCTGGCAGCGGCACCCACGAAGCCATTCAGCTCTATCAACGAAGTTTTGTCAGCCTTAAGGTGAGAAAAAGCGCTGTATTGACACTGACCGCACGGAGTAATAACCTTGCGAAAGCCAATGGGAAATGTCGTCTGCGTCGGCTGAAAATCTTCGTTGAAATGTCCACGCAGCAGAACATCCACTTGTGTTGGGTCCCGTTGCGATTCGTCAGCAATGGGTTCGGACAGAGAAGCGCCTGTTCGTGCAGTTTGTGTTAAAACCTACCACGCACTGTTTTCTATCGAATATCGTGCGACTAGAATACTCGTAATCGTACCGCGCTGCGGTCGCTTGCTTTCCTCGTCTCCTTCCAAATCCTCCATCACGATAGTATCACATTCAAGTCGTGTACTGAGCAGTACTGCATGTCTGGCTATTCACTAACCAGGTCTAAAAATTTACCAAGAAAATGACTTTGGAGTAATAACATTCCTTATTCATACCTCACATACAGTAAACCAGTGCTAAAAGCGTCAATAAATCAACATCTCCGCGGAAACTGCATACACTGCTTACAGCTATGTTGATGTAGTGATACTGTACTGTACCAGTGAGCTACTGCAGCACAAAACGCTGGAGGCATCTTACCGTTCATTCACGCGTTGACAGCTACGGCTCCCAGCACGCTGGATGTTCGACTTGACGGAAACCGGTCGATACTCATACATACAATTGCCGTACATAGACCTTACCGGTGCCGGTTACGTAAGTACCGGAATGCTATACAGCTGTCTGCCGAGCTCAGCCGATCTGTAAATCTGAATGTGTCCCTTGTTGCACGCTGGTTTTGAATTTTATTATCTGGCTTGTGAACCGCGGATTGACTGTTCGACTCGCTTTTATTTTCTCATTCTAAACTACACACGGATTTATCGTGATTGATTTGCTTCCTTTTCATAAATGCGCTTAAATCGCCGGCACTGAATTCGACCATATAGGTATACAGAGTACACTTGGTTTTCGCACATTTTACTGAAGATAACCGTGTGTGCTGGACACGCTATGAGACGGAAAAAAATTTCTGGATGCTTTTGCGCAGTATACGGCACTTTAAAACGAGATAAAATATGTACGTTTTCCAACTTGCTTTAACTCTTTTAACCCTGCTTCGATAGCAGAAAGTTGAAAATATACTTTAAAGTAAGATTCTGTGGGCGACCTGCCTCATGATATACGCTATACAGATATACATGCCGACCGAACTGTGCGCTAAACCTTTATGCCAGATCTTTCTCGTTACATACAGCGCTTATCGCGCATTTTATACTTCACAGACCACAGCATGACAACATAGCATCTAGAACAACCTAGAACACTCTACACAATGCTCGCGCAAACACTCCAAACCATTAGCTGACAGGGCATGACCAGGCATCGTCATGCACATGCGGTATACAGCATGTAGATACAGCGTATGTTGTATCTACCACAATTTCAAATATAAAACGCCAAAACAAATTTCTTTTAGCACCGCATCAGCCTTCTAAAAAATGTAAAATCAAATCAAAGTAAAATCAATCAAATCTGAACTGCTTCGAAATGGAGGCATAATTGTTAACTGATCAAATTATACTTAAAATGATTTCGTTCTTACGGTTAGTACTGCGTTTGTACTTACATCATACAAGTTGAAGTGATACTTATTAAAGGCATCCCAATAATTTCGAGCGAACAAATCATAATAAAAAATTACCGTAAAACCGCAAATTTTGAATGCTTCTTGATGCCGGCATTATTGTTCAATACAGAAACGAGATCATGGCAAAACTTTGAGAAAACAATTACGCGTACCAGAAACGGAATTTCGAGGAATATTCCGACATTCTCAACACAGTAATAAAATCTACGAAAAAGCAAAGACAAATGCCGTTAGTCAAATACTCATCACACTGGCTCGGATTTCTACCCATGCAAAGCTCGACGATTTTACCATTCCGCAAACTCTCACAAAAATTACTATAAAAAAATGTCGCGGAAGAAATGGGAACGAAATAAATTGCCGATTGATTCCGTTGCCGATAAGTGCCCCTGCCGTTTATGTAACCCCGCGGAAATTGTAGATGAGCGCGTGCTGTCCCAGCTTGCGGAGTGTACCCAGGGGGAGGTTGGCGATGACCACTTCCGGTTTGGGATGACTGCGCAATCGTGGATCATTCGGCTGCCATTTGCGAAAAACCTACATAAGACAATTCCTGCCAATATTTTCTTAATTTTATCAAAATTAATTACGGTTTTAAAATCATACGAGATGCCGAGCATACGAGACCAATGAATTTATTAACGACATTAAATGACTTCGATTCAAAGGTGATTTTAAATGAAACGTTTTTAATTAAATATTACCAACTTATTCGCACAGCTACATTTCTGGATACCCGGAAAACATTTTAAAATACCAAGAAATAAAATGCAGAAAATAATAAATCTAAAGCGTATAACATTAACTATTCAAGCAATTTAATTTCTGGATACCAGAAACTGAACTTTTCAACGGATTTTTCATATAAAACTCAAGAAAAATAAAATGCAAAAAATATTTAATGTAAGGCGAATAGGAACGAAAATCAAAAATTCACCCTGAAATTTAACTACTGGATTTGTCAGCGCATACATTAAAATAAACAGAAATAAAATCCAAGAAATTATTACTTTCAAAATGAATAAGGTGATAAAATTGATAAAAAAACAAATATTTAAAAAGTAAAAAAGCGAGTAATAAAATTCCAAAAATATTTTATTTCCAAATGCACAAGATGATAAAATTAATAAATAATTGAAAAAAATAAAAACAAAATTAAAAGAAATTAAAGAAGATTATTTAATTTCAGAATAAATAAGGCGATAAACTGAATAACCCGGTACGCACCCGCAGCATCTGTTCACAGCCGGCGGCCGACTGCGCCCGTTTCGTCCACTCGACGGTGATGCGCCAATCGGCGTCCACGGGCGGACAGGCCGTCTCCAGCACGCTCAGCACCGTCTCCGCGTCGGCCGGTTCACGGAACTCCAGTACCGCGTGCGGGATGAGGTCCAGCGTGACGCCCAGCCGGGCCGCGCTGAAGCGGTACATGACGCTGTGCAGCTGGCCGACGGCGGCGCTGTACTGCGTGAACTGCGCCCGGTACTCGGCGAACATCTGCGACTCCAGCAGCTCCGTCACGCGCACGTCGCGCCACAGAGAACGCCGGCAGATGCGCGGCCATTCGGCGCGTAGATGCAGGATGCTGGGGTCGCTGTAGTCCAGCAGTTCCTCGGCCTGCAGATAAATAATTAAATAGTCAAAAATATTAATTCAAAAAAAATTATTTAATGTGATAAGTACGAATAATTATATATTCACAATTATTAATATTTAAAATTATTTTAATTTATAGTAATAATAAATAAAAATAAATATTTAATAAATAAAAAATAAATTTAAGAGCGACTAAAGCCTCTGCAAATTTCAGAAAAAGAACAGGGACAAAAATTATACTAAATGGGATAATAAACAATAATTTCATCGTAAATGAATTCAAAAAAGAATCCAATGTAAAAAATTTTTCAGTTCTACCCATGAACAAAATTCATCGGAATTCTTCAGGAAACGTAAAAAAAATATTCAATATAAACAGATGCAAAAACAAAAATACGCGGATCATGTTGAGCGGTAAAAATTTAGAAACAACTGACTTAAAAACACAATAATAATTAAAACTAAATAACAAACAAACAAATATGCACTAGTAATGTATAAACGGAGAATTAGGAAAACCTGTCAACTTTTCCAAGTCTAATCAAACTTTAAAAAGCGAAAGCAATTGTAGAAAAACATAAACGGTAGAAGTGCATCAAATTCAACAAATGTATTTTTCAAACACAACAAATATCGAAAACACCCAGCATAATTCACACAATAAATCAAAAAATGACTAAATACTTGCATTTAAATGATTTTCGATTTTGATCCCTACCTGGACGGTCAGATTGTCCAGGATGATCAGCGGGATGGTCAAGCCGCGCGCCGCCAACATACCCAGCACGGTGTACAGCGGGGCGTCCGGGCCGTGACCTTTCAGATGCAGAACGCGCGTGGCGCTGGTGACGCAATGCTGCAGGAGGCCGGCCAGCTGCCGTTCACCGCAACGGGACACGTCCACACGGAGATGGGAAGACACGGTGGGGGCGCTCAACGCCGCATCCCAATGGGAGCAGACGCGACGGGAGAGGATCGCTTGGTCGACCGGGAGGTGGGAAAACACCTCCATGATCATTTCCGACGGGAGGATGGCGAGGGAGGGAGATTCGACGGATTCCGGGAAGGGTGTCGGGGGTACGGGACGGTTTTCCTCCAGGATAATTCCGATACGACGCAGATAGGCTTCCTAATCAACAGAGAATAAACGGCTCAAATTTTTCGGAAATTAAAAACGACGTTACTAGTAACGGCAGTTTTTTACAGTTTCATTTTATTTTGTTACCAGTTCAACATTTATCGAAGGATAATTCTCTATCTGAAAAAATAAATAATAATTCTAGATATTCTATTCAACGAAAATATAATAACTCTAAATCGGAAAAAAGAATAATTCTATATATGAAAATATTTATATCTATATCTTCCATCGTCATTTTTTAATCTTATCTAAGAATAATTCTATCTAGAAATATTTGTGCACACATAAAACCAGCAATTCCTTTTTGCGACTCACATATTTCTAGCATACAATTATTCAGATATAAAATATGCACATAATTAATTATTCAGTACCTGCATTAATAGTTTTCGCGAAAATAAAAATAAAATTCCAACGATGAAAATCTAACAAAAATTCCACGTTATCATACTTCAGCATCAGCGTATGAAAAATAATTGAAAAAGCCAACGAGACATCTTTCAAAAGACGAAAAAAATATAAAATGGAAACGAAAAAACGTGGAAAAAAATGCAGAAAAACGTGAAAAAGCAAAAAAAATGTACAAAAGAATTCCGAAAAATTAACTGAAGGTTTCGACGGTTTGTCAACGTGTTTTATTAACGACTAGAAGAAAATTCATAAAAAAATCAATAAATTAATGTAGAACTCACGCATTCCGACGGCGTCATCCCCTCCGCACCGGACGCAATATAAATCACCTTCCCGGCGCGCACCCGCACCCCAATCGTCCCGGTAACCCTCTTCCACACCCCCCAGAACCCCCCGCGCCCCGGGAGCCCCGCCAGCCACCCACTCCGCGGCAACCCCACCTCCCGCCGCTGAAACGGACAAAACTGCTGCAGCAGTGTCACCGCCGCGCCCGCCCGCGGACGCACCCTTTCCCCCCGCACCACCGCCCGCACCCGCGCCCCCTCCACCCCCATCTCCACGTACAGGTAGTCCGGGGAGGCCACCAGCACGGTGCAGGGGTACCAGCGCCAGGGGTGGTTAGGACTGGACTGGTACAGCGTCTCCGGGGGGTTGCCCTTGGCGACAGACGGATCAGGGACGACGCACTGGGTGTAGGGGATGGGGACGGCGTGGTGGAGGGGGTGGTCGAAGTTGACGAGGAGGGTGACGTCGGTGGGGCTGTAGGCCACCAGGTCGACGAGGAGGCCGTGACGGATCTGGCCCGTGGTGGGGTCCTGGACGTCGAGGGCGCCGTAGCGCCATACGTCTTTCGTGAACATTCTTCCAACGGGGTACTCGATGTTCACTGGGTTGGTTGGTTCTCGGAAAGAGAATCGCAGGGGCTTTCGTAAATCAGAACTGGCGATTTTTATGCAAACATTGCGAATTAATCATAGACAATATTCTGCAGAATGCGAGATAAAGGTAAAATCAGGAAAATATGAATGAAAAAATCAAAAAATTTCAACGCTTTGAAAAATGGCTCAATATTGCGGTTGTCGTTTACGTATGCGGCGTCCCCAGGCGGCTGCCGTGAGCGCAACAAATTCGCCCCGCTGAAGTGAAAAGATCTTTTCTTGTGGAAAATATTACAAAACGTAAATAATAAATTCGTGTTTTTTTTTTGCAAAATGTAAATACTTATATTACTTGCTTAAACTGTATGTGTAGTTTCTTCCTAAAAAATATAGGCTGTATAAAATGTGAAATTCTTTGTGCAGAGAATAGCTTAAAAATTTAATCATAATCTGCACATGGCATGTGGCCACCGGCCCATCACGGCAAATCGTGTTCCTTGTCTGTTGGAAGACACCCGCGTCACGGCGGCTTGAACAGTACCGTCTGCAGAGCGTTGGTTTCAGCCGGCATCCCTACTAAATTGGAGCCGTCGGATCGTCGCCCAGATGGGTGCACCATCTTCGCCTGGAAATGCGGTATGTGCCTGGCGTGGGACGTCACCTCCGTTGATACCGTCGCCGCTTGAACCGCTTCTCACTTGAAATCCACGTCAGCTACAGCTGGATCAGCCTTCGAAACAGTCGGCCATCGCCCTAGAAAAGGAAATCGCGAAGCAACTTCAGCTGCAGACAGGTGAACCTTGTTCTCATGAGGTCCTTCGACCTTCGCCAACGACTATGGCTAGAAATTCAACGAGGCAACGCCGCTTGTGTACTCGGAACAATGGAAGGAGCGGCAGCATTAAACGAAATTTTGTTGCTGTGATTGTGGATTTGTGATTAACTATTTTTGATCTGTTATGTACCCATATTTTATGAAATAAAAATTACCCCCAGTCCCCCATCATAATCTCCACTATTACAGTACTTAATTACGGTATAGGAGAAAACGTATTCGGGAGCAAACTGGAAAAAGCCGTGCCAAACAGTTTTTGGTGCAGCGTTGCAGTTTAGAAAGTCAACGGGGTCATCAAGATTGCGAATTTGCGACTGCACTCAACTATACCAAGAACACAGGCAGCATTGACTGTTTTTGGTTTTCTAGAGGTTTACTACCGTACATAGTTGTACCGATGATATACAAACGATAGATAGATATGCAAAATATGTATGTATAGATATGCAAAAGGAGAAACTGAGCTACCATTCTCTAAAGTTAACTCGAATTCATATTTGTGCAATTTATACATTTTATGCAATTTGTTTGTAATTTTTTTCGAATGGACTTCAATATTGTTTTGGATTTACATATTTCACTCGAAGGCTGATCGACCCACGACCAGACCTTTGGTACACCTAAATGCATTTAATCTTTTCGGAATTTTTTTACAACCGTAACTCCCTAACCGGATGTCATAAAAGTGGCTACAGAATGTCATACAACAAAGCAAGAAGTATTTGGGAGTTTCCGATGCTCGAACGCACTCCCACAATCACGCGAGACGCCTCCCGTGACGAATGCCCCGGTGGGTTGACAAAGGGCCTCCCACTGGAGGCGGTCCGAGGGCGATAAGTTGGCCTGGAAGATGGTCCACAGCTGTGCTAAATGGAGGGAAGCCGGCTGGATGTCGGCCCTTCGCACTAGAGCCGTGAACACGGGGCCACCCTCACCCCCACCGGTCCCACCCACCGTCGACAACCTGCAGTCCTTCCATATGACACGGGGGTAGTGGCTAGCGAAATAATGATAATTCCGAGGCGTCTGCGGCGAACGCCATGCCGCGCCAAAATCCCAGCCGCAGAAGATCAGGCGCTTAACACGGATTTCGGGTGACACCATCTTCACCGAGTACAGTGCCAGATACGCATTGAAAATGTTGTCCGGCACGGCGGTACGAATGCACACGGTGTCGATACGCCTGTCGACGTACTTTAGCAAACAAGCCAAAATCGCGTGATCCATTTCGGATGGACCACGGAGTATCGGGCCGAAATCCGTTCTGCCGAAGGTAACGCAGACGTCCTTGCACAACCAGCTGGAGGTGACAGTAGCGTCCCACAGGTAGCAGATACGGCGGCAGCGTTGCCGCGGAATAGTGTCCATAGTCCATACACTGGAAGATCTCCATGAGCAGCTCCACTGGTAACGGGATCCCTTGGGCAACCCGTTCTTCAACCACAAGGTCACTAGTGGGGACTGGGCAGCGGGAAACCGCTAGGATGCCAGAGTCCTGTTGCTGCGCTTCGGCGGTATTTTTCACATCCACCATGAGCATCGCCTAGACAAAAATACAGAATAACTTTAAGGGATTTGGCCCGGTACATAGCACCAATTTCGTGTACATCCAGGGGAAGTTTAGCTGTTGCGCACTCCCAAACACTATTTTGTATTGCTTTATGGTATTTTGTAGCCAAAAGAATTGTATACCAAGAGTAGGTGAGAAAACCGTTTGCGCGCGCAACATCCGGTTGCGGAGTTATGAGGGTGTGAGACGAGGCTCACTAGCGTTCACGCCCGTGGCGCTAGGCGCTACGCCTTCGGATTACGGTCTGTGACGTGTCTCGCTCTGATTGGCTAGCTTGAGTTGTGTTAGTGGGCGCGGCTTAGCACGTGCTGCACAGTGTTACACACTGTTGAATTGGTTCTACGATTTACGATCGAGCTGTGCCGATCACTTGTTGATTTCTGGTCTCCAGACTTTCAATATTATTAAAAGTCAGCTATTAGCGGTGCGACGTTTCGCGATTCCGCGTAGTTCGCTATACTTATCGCATAGCTCACTCCACGGGATAGATTCCGTTTCTGTCTCCGTATCTGGATCACAGTTGGATCTAGCATTAGATGGTAGCAGAGCCGACAGCGGTTCTCTGATTGAATTGATCTGATCTGATTTGAATTGTGTCAGGCAAAATTGGCCTGTTATTTGACGTGTTACCCGCGACCAGCAAGGCGCAGGTCTGTGTGACAGCAAAGCGCATACCACAAGCGGTGCAATTTCCTCCAACGGACGCGGATTTCCAGCTTCGGTTTTCGGTACGGTATCTTCAGCGAAGAACCGTGCTGTTTCCTTAGCTGTGCAAGAGTGCAAGAGTTCAGTCGCCAGTGTTCCTCGGTGTAGAGTCTTCAGCGAAGACCTACACTGGTGTCACTGGTACTCGGCAAGGATTCAGCGAATCCTAAGCCGTGGGCCACAAGCGGCGAAGCGCCAAAAGGGGCGCACGGAAGAGACCAGATCAGACTCCTCCAAATTGGAGTAGAGCACAACTACTGTTGCTACGGCAGTCAGCCGGCACAGTAGCAGACTAAAAGCGTGCGGCACAACCGCTACGGAAAAGCGGCAGCGCGGGAGCGGATTGTGGAGAAGAAATTGGATCATCTGGATCACTTTCCCGTGGAAAGGACGGTTGACAGGTAGAAAAACGGTTATTAATTACGGGATTGGTTAGCTGGTAAAATTGGCAATTTTCATTGGTCCGTTCTGAGCTGAGCATAGACGTAGGCGGAGTTTTGCACACGGCGCGCATGTCTGGCCGTTGACCGTGACGTCAGGCAGATATAAAATTTAAATGGAATAACGTGATTGGTCAGTTATCGGAGCTGTGATTGGTCGAAATTTGAACTGAATAATTTGAGCTAGCGAACCAATAGTAACGAAGTAAACAACGTAAATGGGGATTTTCCATTGAACTTGAGCTGTAATGGGAAATTTGAATTGAGACGCGATATTTAGAAAGGGAAAGTGACCTTTAACCAAAATTGAGCTGGAAAGTGACCTTTAACATTGAGCTGGAAAGTGACCTTTGAGCTGAGTTGGAAGTGACCTTTATCAAAAGTTGGAACTGATTAAGTTGACCCAAAAAGTGACCTTTTAACGAAGTTGAAATCGAGTCAGTTAGTAGTACAGCGATATTAGCAGCTGTAGAATTTTATTCGTAAAAGTGTTCTGAACTGTAAAAAGGCTCTCGAAGTTTTGTCTGAAAAGTGACCTTTAGGGCAAATCTCTCGAACTTTTTATCGAGAAAGTGACCTTTAAACGGAACTTAGCCGAAATTTTTCAAACGAAAAGTGACCTTTAACAAGGACTTGATAAAGTTCGAAGTAAAAGTGACCTTTAGGGCAACTTTTTAAAACCATACAATAACGTGCGTGTGAGAACAATTGACAGGAGCGTCCAAGTTATCCGATCAACATGGACAAAGATAATGAGGAACCGACATCACACAGCAGCCAGGGAAGCAGGAGCTCCCGAGGATCACAGCAAAGCGCAGTTGATCCTTATAAAAAGGAATACAAGTCGCTCGCGCGTCCAGTCGGACATGACAGACAGACCCGAGCGGCTGTGACCTTTGCAAGGAAGGACATCAAAGGCAGCGACAGCACGTACCAAGTGGCGCTTGGAGCTACACAGAACGAAGAGAGCTCCAGCGGAGACGGAAAGCAAACCCCCGCGTCTGTGGCGGGAGGAAAACCGATGAACCAGACAAAGGTCACTGGGGAGGAAAAACCCACAGAAAAGGAAGTGGAGGCAGTCGGGGTATCCCAGCCAGATACCACCACTGTCAGAATAAACGAGCAGGATAAAAATGTGAACCTGACTCAATCGGGAGGTGAAAAGACAAAGGTCACCGAAGAGGAACTGGCTGAACTCGGATTGAGTGACCTTTCCTTGAATGACAAAACGGCAGACGATGACCTTTGGGCAACTCCAATGGTCTCAGATGAATCCAATGAATCGTACTTCACGGATGATGAAACGACGATGAATATGTCGTTCCAATCCGCGATGAGACAAGCTGACCGTGCTGAAGAGATGACACCGTTTAAGGACATACCCGAGAACCTTATTGAACGAACAAAAACTGGAAAGGTCATCAACGTAAGATCACCGTCACCGAACAGTCCCACGGCAACTTTGAGGAGACGTGTCAGTGAATTGGAAAAGGAACTTGAAAATAACGAATGTCAGGCGGACAAGCGGAAACAGGAATACCGGGAAAGACTGACAACACTTGAAACCCGCCTGTTCGATCTGGAGCAGCAACAGGGTGACCTTCAAAGTGCCGCCGATGGTTGGAAACTGAAATACGAAAGACAGAAGGAATTGGCTGACGAATACTTGAAAATGGCAGATGACAGAGAAATGGAAGGTCATCTCGCAGTCAATGACCTAAATGAGAGTATGTCGGAGGAATCAGCGGAAAGGTCACGGCACTTAGCCGAATTGAAGGAGGAGTGTGACGAACTGAAACAAAAGGTCACTGAGGCTGAAACAAAAAGAGACGAATACGCGACCAAACTCGCCGAAGCTACCCAACGATTGTTGACAAATACCACTGAGGTATTCAAGCTCAGGAACGATCTGAAGCAACGGGACGAGAATATCGGAATCCTCCAACGAGAATCGAAAGGTCATCAGAGAAGAGCTGATGAAGCCGTCCAAGCGGCTAAAGACCTGAGGGACCTTACAGCCACTGAAGGAGTGAGGCTGGAAAAGGAGATAAAGCAGGTGACGGAGGAGAACAAAGAGTTGAAGGAAGATAAAGAAAAGGTCACCGCAGAGAACATTGAATTGAAAGAAACCGCTAAGACAATCGTTGAACAAGGTCTGAGATGGGAGCACGAGGCACATCTCCTTGATGTAAAGGTCACCGCGCTCGAATTGAAAGATAAAGAGTGGCAACAAGCGGTTCACCAGAAGACACAGGAAATCATCAGACTCAACACGGAGTTGATAGATATGACCCAAACGGTAATGACGGGGGAAGACGAGGTCACCCAGACAAAAAACCAGCTGAAGGCAGCAGCGGAAGAATATATAAAACTAGAAAGAGAAGTGACCCAATTGGTAGAACACATCAAAAAGACGGAAAACGATACCGAAAAGATCGTTCAAGAAAGGACATTCCAACTTCACCATCATATGCTGAAGGTTAATCAGGAAAATCAGGATTTGAAAATCGAGAAGGAAGAATTTCAACTGAAGGTCAGACGCCTCGAAGACGAGAATAAGGCCCTCAGTATGTCCAATAAACAGAAGGATGAACAACTCCTGCAATATGGAGTGAAGACGGCAATAGTGGAGTCTCCCCCGCCCAGTTATAGCAAGGCGCATGAAACGGGCAAAAGCTTCCACTTTGAGATGCCGCTGCGAACTGGCACCGGTAAAGGAAGCATTAAAACGGAGCGGAATGGCGAAAAGGTCAACGAGGATAAAGAGCAGCTGTCGGAAGGTTACCCGCATATGAGTCGGGGTGACCCTTCACAGTTTCCTCCGCACATCGAAACGAACGTCTTTGTCAACGAAGGACGACGAGACGAACAATCCAGTCGACAAGAGCGCCCAAGGAAGTCCCGCTACGCAAAGGAGAGGCGTAATACAAATGACGACGAAAGTGGCGAAGAGGAAGAGGATCAGAAAGTGCAATCGGGATTTGCATTAGCAAAAGCACTCAACTCCATGGCTCGAAAAACGCCACTGGTGACCTTTGATGGTAGTCGCGATACAGTGAATGGCTGGACGAGGCTGGTAAAAGACACTCAACGAACATACCAACTTACCGATGACCAGATCATGATCGAAATAGCCAGCGCAGTGAAAGGTCCTGCTAAAACCTGGTTTGAAAGCGAAAAAGATATCGCATCAGAAGACGGGATTGAATATTCAGTAACAGAATGGATGGACAAGTTTAAAGATGAATACGGTGATCGAGATGAAGAAGTCCTAGGTTTACGTGAGGCCTACGCAAGAAAATTTGAACTCGGAAAGGAATCGCTTGACCAGTACTATCAAGCGATGATGCGATTCAAAGCAAAACGGATTATTACGGAAAAACAAGCAGTGGGCTTCCTGATCGAAGGATGTAGAGTGGATAATGAACTCTACAAGGCTTTGCGTACACAGAAGTGCAGAACGCCAACCGATGTAAAGGATTTCTTCAGACACTGGGCAACGGGAGAAGAGAAATATAAGGCGCCTAAAGGTCAACGTAACCAAGATTACGCGACAATTCGGTCTGGCCCCGTTGAGAATGTGCCACAACAAAGGATGGCGGCAGTACCAGTTCAGCAGCCGGTTGAATACCGTGTGGAGACTCCGGTCAGAGAGGTCATGGAAAAGGTGACCTTTATCGACAGTCAGACGGGACAGCCAATAACATATGCGATGGTCGCGGCGATACAAGCGGCGGCTCAAGTGAGACCGGCACCTCAGAATGTGGCCCCACCGATACCACAGAACGTGGCCCCTATCAATACTGGGTTACCACAACAGGGAAACGGCAACTTTGTTGGAAATGGATATGGAAATGGGAACTGGAACGGAGGTCAAGGAAACTTCCGAAACCAAGGCCAAGGACAAGGCAACTTCCAGCCGAACAGAGGAAACCAGAATAACTTTCAACAGAACCAGGGGTCACGAACGGAATTTAAGTTCCAGATGATTGATGGATGGGTGGCGAACAATGCGCAGATGTGCCAGTACTGTATGTATGGCAACCACCAGACGCAAGGATGCAAGTTTGCCAACACACCACCGGACCAGAACCCGAACCTGTTTGCCTTTAACGAGTGGCAACGACTGCGCGGGCTTGGTGGTTGGCGCCTAGCGGTGAATAACGGATATGACCTCATCGCCCAATGGTACCAGCACAAAGCAAATTTCCAGAATCAGCAAGGAAACGGAAATTATGGAAACAGAAACGGGGGGCAAGGCGGTGGCAACCGTGGCGGCTTCCGCGGCGGCTTCAGAGGAAGAAACAGAGGCTTCGGTCGTGGAAATTGGAACGGTGGCAACCGAGGCAACGGAAATGGAGGTGGCCAAGGAAACTACCAACAGGGTGGTGGCCAATACAATAATGGCGGCGGCGGACAGAATATGAACTCGGCTAATGATATCGGACAACAACAGGGAAATGTACAAGGAAATGTGCAGGGCGCTCAACAAGGAGGTGCGCCGGTTCAGGGAAACGGGCAAGATCAGTAGGCACCGGTGAGCCTATTGATCGACCCGACCCGAAACCACCGGATAAAAAGGGAATGGAAAGGTCACCACTGCAGAATGGTACTGCAGTGAATGTGACCACTGCAACGGCTATAAGGATGCCGTCAGCGCAAAAAGAAAGTGGACCGGCTATATGGATGCCGCAACCACAGCAAACGGCTATACGGATGCCGCCACAGCAAATTGAGACGGCTAAATGGATGTCGTCATTGCAAAAGGAAATTGAAACGGCTATAAGGATGCCGTCACAGCAGCAAAAAGAACTGGTTATCGGGAAACCAGTACAAGTGGATAAAAGGTCACCGCAGAATGGTACTGCGAGTGGAAACGCGCAACGAGACCAAAGGTCACCGCAGAATGGTACTGCGAGTGGAAATTGTCGTGACGGTAGCGCGACACTGCGAACAGCGCAGCAAAACGAAAGGTCACCGTATTGCAGCGAAAAGGTGTTAGCTGAACGCCGCGCATTACGTAATGCGAAGATTCAACAGGCGTTGTTGAACCAGAAGAAGCCGCAGAATAGCACTACAGAAGAGGATGAAGAAGTGCATCATTCGAAATTCCGAGAGTATATGGAAGAACGCGGCATACCGAATCACCAGAGGTCACCTTCCGTTGGAAAAGTCCAAGTGAGAAGTAAAGGAGCGAGTGCGAACGCTAAAGGTCACGGTGAAAGCGCCGTGCCAAAAGGTCAAGAAACAGACTTGACACTGCGAACAGCGCAGCAGAAGATTAGCGAACCGGCACAACAGAACTCCGACGACTCACTTGTAGATGCAGTAACGCTGCAACGGAAGGAAATATGGCGAAAAGTAGCCTACAGACCGAATGGGAATCACGGGATGTGGATACCCGCGACACCGAAAGCGAAACAAAAAGGTGGAATGTCGCAAGAAGATTACTGGGACATGCGAGAATTGCGAACACAACATGAGAGAAAACGACTGGAAGAACTGGTTACCGGGAAAGAAGTCAAAAGGTCACCGAACTTAGCTCCAGTATTCAACGCAACCGAATACAAGAATGCACAAGCTGACCTGAATAACCCGCGAAACGCACCGCCGGAAAATAAACCGCTGAATTATGGAGAAAAAGTCCCCATACAAAAGTTGACAGGTGGCGGATTTGTTATAAAGCGCAACGAAAGGTCACAGGACTTAACGCAAAATGAACAAAAGGACGGTCAAATGAAATGGCGCAAACGCAACAGAGTAGCGCAGTTGGAAGGTCACGGGACTTATCACAAGCATTGCAACAGGATGCTAATGACAAGTCACCGGCCCGAACGGACGGAATGTCTTCGCAGACTAATCCGACGAAAACGAATAATGAAGTGTCAGCAAAGGTGATTGAATGGATGACCGAAAAGGGATATGATATGGTTACATATGAAAGGTCACCAGACGGGATGAAAGACAAGGAAGCAGATGAATTGAAGCGAGCTGACCAAATAACAAGTGAAGTCATTGAGAAGTTGCGAGATAAACGAAACGAAAACCGCAAAGAGGAACTGATCCACGAGGCGATAAATGAAGTGACTAAAGGTCACGTGGACAGCACAAAAGCAAATGAGCAAGTGCAGAATGTTGAAAAGGTCACCAGCGGCAAAATGGCTGCAGGGAAGCAAGCGGATCAGAAAAAACCGCAGAAATTCTATGATGTCCGAACTGACGTCCCACACAGGATTGACAAGTTGAGGGAGATACTGAAAGGTCATAGCATTCCGGCGAAAGGACAAGTGCCTCCCGACATGGATCCGGGCCAGTATCGCTAATTCCTGTGAAATGCAAGATCCATACATTGAAGATTCAAAATGGAAAACTGCCCAAAAGAATTGAAGCGTACACTCATGAAGTGAAAGTGGGAGACATAAAGGTCAACGCAATGTTGGACACCGGCGCTGAGACGTCGCTGATCAGCAAACCGTTTTGTGAGAAGAATGGACTTCATATGCTCCCATTGCCACCAGACAGACTGGTGAAGATAAACGGAATTAGCGGAACGTCAGGATTCATGGTGACGCATTATTGCGTAGCACCAGTGACCTTAAGGAAAAAGACTAGCGAACATTCATTCTACGTCCGACCGAAGTGTGACGACGTACAGGTGCTACTGGGATTCGACTTCTTAGAGAAGAAGTTCGTACTAATGGATAATGAAGGCGAAGAGGAGAAAGAAGATGACCCGAAACCGATCGCCAAAGTTCAAGTCGGAAAGGTCACCGAACTTGTAAAACAGATGGAAAATGCTCAAACGGTTAACAAAACGCTAATCCCAGTACCAGAGGCACCGGGAAAGGCAAATGAAATGAGGGCGAAAAAAGAATTGTCACCATTTGAGCAGCTGCAAATGATCCAACAGGAGATTGAAAATACACTAAACCGGACAATGCTGACACAAAAGGGAAAAGAAAAGGTCATCCCAGTACCAGAGGCACCGGGAATGACGAGAGTGCAGCAGAACGAGATTAGCCAACGGACAATCCCGGTACCAGAGGCACCGGAGAAGAAAAGTGAAAGTGGAAATGTCAAAAAAGCGAACGAGAGGAAAAAGGAACCGCTTGCGCCAGATATGGATGAGGCGATCATATTTCTCCCGGACGGGAGAAGTATGATCGCAGATAACTATGATCAGGGAGCCACAGAAAAAGAATGTGTTAAAAAAGTTATCCCAGTACCAGAGGCACCGGGAACGAAAGATGAAAGGTCACCAGTTGAGAACTGGGCGTCAGAGCCGGATCCGAAAAATGTCAGTAAGACCTTTTTCGAACCACGATCTGCTACCGAAAATGAAATCGAAGAAAAAGATTTGCAGAGAGTACCAGAGCGTACCCCGAACTTTTTCGAACCTCGATCTGCTACCGAGAATGACGAAAAGTCACCAACACTTGAAAGGATAGCTGCCACACAGAAAGAAGCGACAGCTGCAGCGAAAGAATCGCTTGTGCCTGGCTTGGAGTGGGCAAAGTCTATCCCAGTACCAGAGGCACTGGGAGTGAAGACGGCTAAAGTCGGGAAGGACAAAAAGAGTGAAAGACTGCGGATATTGAAACGCATAGCCGAAGAAGAGCAGATGTTTGTGAGCGAATTCCGCAACAAAGCGCTTGAACAGTTGAAAGGTCACCAATTGAACAAAGAGTCAGGGATTATCGAAATATCCTCCGAAGAAGCCAGTATAACAGAAATCGAATGTGAGCAGAAAGCCACAGCACAGGAGAAGAAGGTTGCCAACCCGCAAATGAATCGAAGGATATTAACTCCAGAAGAACGAATGGGGAGTTGTGGACACGGTTACTACGAGGATCCGTGTAGAGTGCAACCACAATGGGAATGCACTGAATGTTGTCAAAACGCCTCCCAAGATGACCTTTCAGAATGGCCGAGATGTAACGCTGCATTATCAGATCTTAAAGGTCACGTCCAAAAAGAAGTGAAAAGTATCATGCGGACAAACGAAATGTGGAAACCACATATCGAACGGTATCATTGGAATAGATATCGGACTTGGTTGTCATGCGTAAAAAACTTTATTACGGGGAGAGGAAAATGGTTAAACCATTGGCAACAACGCGCGGATAATGGAATTCAAGATCCCTTTGACCAGGTAAAAACGAAAAGGAAACTTGAAAGGGAAATGGAGGTAATGAACGAAGAAGTACAGCTATGGGAAGAAGCAAGAATAGAACTGTTCTGGGACTTCCGTATAAACCACATGTACAAAGGTCAAGGGAGAACGGTTATATTCCCAACAGGACTTGGTATACCGGTATATGAATCGGTGTTGGTATTTTGTAAAGCACTCAAAGAGGACAACTGGCAGATATTCGACAAATACTGGAGGAAATTTGAAGCGGAGATTCCAACATTTGACACAAAGGAGATGCGCGAATTACAAGTAACTCGGAAAAGAAGGTCACCGGGATTGATGGAGAAGAAAAAGGTGACCTTTGCACCAGATCCAGATGGAGTCGACTACCCAGAACGAGGCGGTGATACGTGGTTCATGTACGAAACGATTCCGAGTGATGACTGGGTTACCGAAGAGCTGATGGCAAACTGTGTCTTCGTTGGTCCCAAACGACCTAAAGGTCACGAGACGGTCCAACAGGATCAAGTTGATAAAGAGACTGTGAAAGAAGTGGAAAAGGAAGAAACAGCTAAAGAGACAGCTGAAGGAGGATCGAACGAGACGGAAGAAAGTCCAAAATCAGCTTTTGACATCGCACGGATGTTAACAGATAGAGATGAAATGTGGAAGAAGTTTAAGGAGGAAGTCGAAAGGATATCGAATGAACAACAAAACCCAGTAACTGAGGCAAAAAACGGGGAAAGGTCACTCGATAACGGTGAGGAATGCCCGCCGGTCGAGTTGACCGAAAAGCCATTAATGAACCTCGAGAAAATGGAAAAGTCAAAATTGGATGAAGAAAGGTCAAACTCCGATCAATCAGAAAGGTCACCAACGAGAATCCGGGTAGCGAGGAGTCACCCGAGAATCGCCGCACGAAATGGGCGCAAGGCAAAGGAAGCGGACAAACCTCTGCTCAAAAATTCGAAAGCGAAAAAACTTAGCGATTCGCAAGAAAACGAAAGTGACCTTTCATCAGGTGATGAAGGAGTTGATGAGCGTCCACTTGAAAAGGCTGACAAAGGTCAAGCCGATGCACAGGAATACGAGAGCAGCGATTCGGACTCGGAATGGACGAGTTCAAGTGACAATTCAACGACTTCGGAAGATTCAGGTGTAAGTGACCTTTCAGAACAAGAGGACTTAATGGATCTAGACGAAGATGACGAAGTGGACGAAGAAAAAGAAAGAGAAATTAAAGTCAGAAGATTGAAAGTGGAAAAGGCTAGAATGTCGAAAAACGTGATTAAAGTCTACAGTGACCAAAGAATTAAATTGAAACCGTCAAACTGCACACGGGTAAAGGTCAAGATGGGAAAATATGCACCGGCTCAAAACAAGTTGATGTTTACACCGGTCCCACAAACCGAAACTGATGTGCAACCGTTGGCGGGAGTGACGGATCACAGAGGGAAATACTTCGAAATCGTCATTGCGAATCACAGTAGCAAATATCAAATTGTGAAGAAGAATCAACTTCTTGGATACGTTGAACCGTATGAACATATGGAAAATGTAAAGGTCAACGCTGGGACAGTAAAGAACGTGCTCGAGGACCCAGAGGTGGACGATACGACGAAAGCTGAATTGACAAAGATAATCGGAAATTTGAAACTGGGACCCGACCTAACTGAGGAACAGAAGAACGACGTGTATAACGCGTTCTGGGAATTCTGGAAGGTCTTACCGACGTCAAGGAAACCGTATGGTGATGTGAAAGGAGTCACTCACGTTATCGATACGGGAGATGCGAAACCAGTTAAATGCAACCCGGCCAGAGCGAGTTGGACAGGCCGCGAATTCATAACGAAGCATATCGAAGAGATGCTGGCACAAGATGTAATTGAACCGTCAGATGCCGAGTGGAGCTTTCCAGTCGTGCTTGCTGTGAAAAAGAACGGCGACGGAACGATGGGGACCAGATTTTGTGTCAACTACATCATGTTGAATAAGTTAACGAGAAAGAACAATTACCCGTTACCGAATCCGGACGAGTTGCTTGATGCGTGTGCAGGCAATAAGTACTACGGAAAAATGGACTTGCAAAGTGGATTCTGGCAGATCCCAATGGATCCAGCGTCAATCAACAAGACGACCTTTGTAACGCAAGATGGAATGTATCGATTCAAAAGGATGCCATTTGGAGTTTGCAACGGGCCAGCGACATTCCAATTGTGCATGGACAAGGTACTTTCGAAGGCAAAAAGAAAAGGCTGTGTCTTCGGATACATTGATGACGTGATTTTCGCCGGAAAAACTTGGGCAATCTTCATGCAGAATTTAAGAAATGTATTGATGAGCTTGGTCGAAGCGGGATTCACGATTAAGCCAACCAAGTGCGAATTTGGAATGAGACAAATGGGATTCCTGGGTCATATACTCAGTGAAGACGGAATCCGAATGGATCCTGAAAAGGTCACCGCAGTCTCAGAATTCAAACGACCTCAAACTGAAAGACAATTAAGGTCATTCCTTGGACTGGCGAACTATTACCGCAAGTTCATAATGGGATATGCACAGAAGACGTGTCACTTGTATGAACTGTTGAGACAAGACAAACAAGTGAAGAAAGACTGGACAAAGGTACACGAAGACGAGTTCAACAGCTTGAAACAACTGTTATGTGAAGGTCCAGTATTGGCAAAATTTGACCCGGCAAAACCGACCGTCATTGAATGCGACGCAAGTAAAGAAGGAATTGGAGCGGTGCTGTCACAAGATGGACATCCAATCGCGTATGCGAGTCGCGTTCTACATGGAGCTGAACGAAATTACGGCGTAACGGAATGGGAATGTCTGGCGGTAGTGTTTGCTGTCAGAAAATTCAAACCGTTTATTGATTATGCGGAATTTACTGTAAGAACGGACCACCAGGCGCTGACCAACCTATTGAGGTCAGAGACGAATAAAGTTGGAATGAACCCGCGTCTGACAAGATGGGCGATGGCACTGCAGGGTCACCAGTTTAAAATTGAATATAAACCCGGAAAGTATTGTGACAATGCGGATGCCTTATCAAGAGCGCCAATCGAAGGCCCAACGTGCCATGAAGAAGAATTCGACGAAATTCCGAATTTTGAAGATTACAAGAAAGAATTCGACACGAAAGAACCAGCAATTGAAATTGGACAGTTGTTCCTGCAGATGGTGGAACAAAGAGAAAAACGGTTAAAGGTCACCTCAGCTACGGCGAATGAGTCGGCTGAAACGGAAGCAAAAGTGAACCGAGTTAAAAGCTGGTTGCCTACCGTTAGTGACTTAAAGGTCACCGGACTTGCAGCAGATATTGAAGCTCATAACGGAAAGGTCACCGGACTTGATGAAACGGCGGAAATTCGAGATGACATTTGGGAAACAGACAAAGTGACACAAGCACTGAACGAGTGCCCGATCAAGTTGTTGAGATTCCCAAAACAGACGAAAAAGAGATATAAGCCATTACCACGATGTAAGGTCATCAAAGATTGGAATGAACTCAGTACGGCGACAGTCCGCATAGTTAACCTGCAAGGTGATGAAGAAGAAGAGGATGACTCGAATCTGCAGCTACGGAATAAACAGCTGAAAGATCCCCATCTGGCAATGATAATAGATGAATTGGAACATCTACCAGATGCTGAGACGAGATCCAAATTTGAAGTGCATTACCAGTTATGGAATGGCATACTGTACCGAGTAAAGGATAAAAATGGTAAACTAGAAAGGTCATATGTGGTGCCGTTGTCAATGCGAAGAGCGATAATCCACGCATTGCACGACGAGAAAGCGGCAGGACATTTGGGATTTGAGAAGACATTGACAGCAATCCGATTGAGATATTATTGGGATCGAATGAGTACAGATGTCAAGAATTATATAACTGCCTGTCAGGGATGTCAGTTTCGTAAGACACCGAGGAAATGCCCACCCGGGAAATTGCAGGAGATTAAAGTGGGACATCCGTTCTTCCGAGTTTACGCGGATCTGAAAGGACCGTTGTTACCAACGAAGAAACGCGGATATAAATACATAGCAGTGTTCATCGATCAGCTGACGAAATACGTGATTGCTGTACCAATGAAGACGGCTACAGCCAAAGAATTTGCCAAAGTGTTCGTCAAACATGTGATATTGGTATATGGAGCGCTGCACATCCTGCATACGGATCGTGGACGGCACTTCACAGCTGAAGTGTTGACAAAGGTCACCAATGTGTTTAAGATTAAACACACATTTGGAACAGCATATCATCCAGAAGGTCAAGGCCAAGTGGAGAGACAGATGCAAACGATTGCGGATGGTTTGGCACAGTACCTGAAAGCAGGAAACGAAAGAAAGTTTAACAAGTACCTTCCATATGTTATTTCTGCGATGAACAGAGTCGTACACGCCACAACTGGATATTCAGCATATTACATGCTGCACGGCAGAGAAATGACAATGCCGGAAGATGTGGTCACAAAGACGAATATCCCAGACGATTATGGGACTCCCGACGAATGGGTAGAGACCATGAAAAAGAACTTGACCTTTGCAGAAGAAGTGGCAAAATGCAACATTAAAGATGCTTACGAAAAGAACGCAGAGATCTACAACAAGAGGAAGTCAGAACCGAATTTCAAGGTGGGCGACCTTGTGTTGATACGACTCCCGAAGGATACGAAACAAGGAAAGAAAGAAAATCAGTCGGACTTCAAGTCGAAATACGATAAAGTGTGGAAGATCCTCAGTTTCCCGCCAACAAACGAAGCGGAGGTCATTGAACAGAATCCAAAGAAGGAGGCAGACTTGAAAGTGGTCTCAATTGACCGGTTGAAGTTATGGCACCCGCCATTGCCGGACAAAGACGCAGAGCGTCAGTCCCAAAAAGCGACCTTTTCCGAACCACCTCTGCTACCCGAAAAGGAAACGTCGGAAGAAGGTAAACCCAGTGAAGCCGAGCATGCTCCGAAAAACGATACCAGTCAATTTTTCGAACCACGCTCTCTGCTACCTGATACAGGAGCGGATAAATCAAAAAAGAAGAGAGGGAGACCGAGGAAAGAGGATAAAGACTTTGAGACAGCGGTTACAATAAAGTTGAACGCAGAAGCCGGGAATCTGGCAGAAAGGTCACCAGAGACGGGTGACCTTCCTGTCACATTACCGAATCGCCAGAAGGAGGGCGAAGTACCAGAGCGTACTTCAAAAAAGGACTTGCAACAATCCTTTTTCGAACCACGCACTGCTACGATGAATGATAATGACCTCATAGAAACAAGAAAAGAGGAAATAGAAGCGGTCAAATCAAAAGCTGAACAATTGGGCCGTGTTATAACGAAAGCCATCGAGGAGAGAAAGACTAAGCAGAAGAAAAAGAAACTGACTCCTACAGAATTGCTGACCCAGAAAGGCGAAGTTGAAGATGCGGCCGACAAAGAACTCCTTGATCGGATAACTAAAGGACGCAAAGAAAATTAACCCACATAAATACGAATAAGGGGTTACTTCACTAAAAATAGGAGTTGGGATGGCGTAAAGGAAAGGTCATTACTGTTAAAAAGCTAACCACTGTTGTTTCATTATTACAGAAGGTAAGCTAAGTTAATGGACAGATTGGAACGACAGAATTCAGAGAATTCGGATTCGGAAAGTATAGGAAACCCGTTAAAGACATCGACCCCAAAGAGAATGGAAGGCGAATATGGATACGACACTTCATATGGCGAAGGGTCGACGTCGTCGGCAGGAACGGCACAGAACGAGCCAGGCCAGGGAGGTTATTATGGCGGCCCGGAGTATTATGTGTATCACGATCCGGGACAGCAGACGACTTATCAAGATACGGTTAACTGGGTGCACCACGGCTTACCTGCCGGAACCCAGTATTCGGGACAAATAACGAGCGTCCCTTATCAATCGCACCCAGGATCGTATACCTCACTGATGGGACCACCGCAAGTGATGGGATCGGCAAGAATGTTGATGCCGCCACCGCAACAGACTACACCGAGTCGGTTTATGGGATATGGAGGATTGGGTGGAATGTTAGCGACCCCAGTGCAGTCACAGAGGGCTTCGCCGATCTTGCCACCCTTCCCGGAAACAGGAGGTTTGTCATTGTCGGACATTGGAGCACCGCGGTTGAGAACGCCACAGCAATTGGGAGCACAAAGACCTCATCGGAACTCGCCACAGAAAGGAGGGAGGCGAGGAGGAAATCGATTTGATTCACCACGACCGCGAGGCGTACTGCCGTCGCTGGGCCCAAAATTGGAGCAGGTCGGACCAGATGGTCTACGGGCAACGCCCCCGGGTGAACCAACGGTGCATGATTATTCACCGAAACTCCCGCTAGATATGAAAGACGATGACGCGCGATTGAACGTGATAGCGAGCAACGAGGAAGGATTGACAGCGGCTGATACAGCGGCCATCCAGGATTTCAACCGTATGTGTCGGGATCTCTATCGAATCCATATGCGAGTTGAAGATGAACATGCATTCTATGGGAGATTAATGAGTTTGGATGCGATTATTGAAGCAGTCCATATCGCGATGAAGGAAAAGACTAAAAGCATCGAAGTGAAACGTAAAGAGTTGGCGATCAGAATCGCCTCGATGAAACAGTACCATCCGGCTCTAACCAACAGAAAATGGCCGCCGATGATTGAGAAGATACAGATGTTCCTTAAGACGATTCCTAAAGAAACGGGACCCTCAGCAAGCAGCGCGGCAGGGCCATCACGGGCATCAGTCGAAGCACCAGTAGAAGAGATGTCGGATAGTGCTCTCATGGAAACAAAGAGAAAGATTGAGATAGAATTAACCAAACGAGCAGAAAGGTCACGGGCCAGTTCAACCGCAGGATCAGTACGGGGACGTACCAGTTCGGTTACGGAGCCGTCTAGCGGGACCGTAAAGAGCGGAAAAAGAGTAAGGTCACCGACGACAAGTCCAAGGGAAAGTGACAAGAAGGAACAGCGAACGAAAAAGGTCACGACGAGTAAAGCCCCGGTTCCAGTGGGTAGAAAGAGCGCACCACCCACGCCGCCGGGTCCTGAAGCTGTTTCAGTTCGACTTCCGAAGTGCCGGACTTTTACAGTCAAATACACTGGAACTGACCATAACGAACGAAAGGTCACCGCTCGGATAGTCGATAAAAGAACGAATAAGGAGATTGACTCATATAATCCCCTAGCGGACAAGTCAGTTAAGACTGAGATCGGGGAAAGGTCAAAGACGGAAGTCAATGAGGCGTTACAGTTCATTCCCCCGGAAGAGCGTCATAATCCGAGAGTTCTGATCCAGATGATGAAGCACGTGGTGTCCAAAGTTGCGGTCGAAGAAAACGCGTGGATCCGCATCAAAGTGGGCACAAATGATGACCATCTGGCATACACATACACAGTGGATGGGAAATTGCTGACGAAAGAGAGAGTTCGACCAAAACCGACAGCAGACCCAGACCCGAGTAAACGAACATTGGAGGATTATGAGTCGACCATGAAATATACCGATGGAACGTGCAGAAAAGTGACGCTGACAGTCCACTTCGGCGATGGGACAACGGAGTGTATAACCGCGGTAATTGTTGATCCGATCACAGGAGATCCGATTCCATACGCTCCATGGGACGTGTCAGAGGAAAGCGCCGAGCACGCCAATCGCGCAGCACTTGAACAGTTGTGGAACTTAATACCAGTAAGTCAACGTCAGGATCCTCTAGTTCAAGCGAATACGCTGATCAGCATGATGCGACATCGAACGGAGATAGACGAAGCTCATTTCCGACTCACAAGAAAAATGGAAAACGGAGCGTACAAGACGGTGTTTTATGACGCAAAGAAAAACCCCTTATGGGAGATCGTCACACAGGGACAAACGAAAGAAACACCGCACTTGGAAAGTCGGGCCCTAGACCCGGCACAAGAAGGTGGAGCCGGAGAGATGGCAGAGGCCTCCGTAGCCGAAAAGGCAGGAACGGAGAGCACCCGGAGACCATCGGAACTGGACGAATCAGAAGAGGAGGAAGCTGACGATGATTCGGCAGAGGAACAGGCTGACGAAGACGACGACAGGGCCGAGGAGCCCGCGGAAGATAAACAGCCTCCAAAAGTGGTCGTTAAACCGAGGAAAGCGGCTAAACTAGAAGAGGCCATGAACCGTGAGAGGGCTAAGAAAGGCGACTCCCCAAAGAAACGAAAGGAAGCCGAAGATAGGAAGAAAAAAAGCGGTGACGATAACGAGAGCACAAGCACGGGGAAGAAGAAGGAAGAAAGGAAGAAAAAAGACGAACCGCCCTCTCATGATGTCGAAATATTGGATGAACCAGTCGCCGAAGTTGAAGAAAGGTCACCGCAACCTGTAACTTCAAAGAAATTTATTATCGAATCGGCCACATCAAAGTTAAAGGTCACCGAGCCCGAGCCGTCAACATCTAAAGGAAAGGTCATAGCTGTGAAACAGATTGTCCCAGTGGTTATCTCGGCATCTACTACGAAACAGCGTAAGGAGAAAGGAATGCGAGAGAAGGCAAAACGAGAAACGTCTCGTGAATCGGAAGCATCGGAAGTAAGCCTTCCAAGTACTTCGACGGTTAGCACGAGATCACATACGGACCCGAAAACGACTAGATCAAGAACCGTCGAGCCAGGAAGCCTAGCGGAGGCTCTTGAAAAAGGGAAAAAAGCAAAGAGCGAACCCGTAAAATTGAAAAAGAAAGGAAAAGAGGCCAGGAAAATCGATGCATTGGCGATGGCTAACTACATCGAACCGGATGGAGAAAGTGAACTTGATTATTCGGGAGACGAAGCGGAATTTGAAGATCCCGATAATGATAATCTGACCACAATTGATGAAATCATTGACGCATTCAATGGAGCGGAGAAGAATTTTACACGGATACGAACGACATCAGTGACGTCAAAATTCAGAACGGGCTTAAAGAAATATTTGAGAAAAGAAATGCACCGTAGCTTCACCAAACAGAAGTTTGATGTAGTATTGGAATACGCTCGGAATGCGGGAAAACTCCTCCAGAAACACCCGAATTTCGCGTATAAGGCTAAATTATTCAGGCCGTCAAGTGCGGACAAGTCGCTGACGACTCCAAACGAAGATCCCTCAATGCGAGTAGAAAGGGCAGTCGCGGGAATGACAAGCCCGTTGGGGTCAACGAGTCACCGGATCAGCCAATACATTAATGCCGTGTGGAATGACGGAAAGGGCTTGATAAAGGAAATCGACACGGCCACTGAACGCGTGTTGCCCAGGATGATAAAACAGAACATCCTCTCCACAACGAACGCACATAAAGGTTATCCGATTCGATATACGAGAGTAGGCTTGATACCGCCGGAAAAACAAGTCCACTGTCATATGTCCGATAGTCAGGAGATGGATAAGGTGCCATCGAGTGGAGATCCGACAACTCCCATACTAAATCGGATCGCACAGTTAGCAGCCGACGAAGAAGCCATCCAGGCTTCTTCTAAGAAAGTGATGAAAAAGAAAGGACCAATGGACGGGGAATCGGAAGAGAGCGACGATGACAAATCAGCCCCAACGCCTTTGGAACCGGCGACAGAGAAGCCTAAAGGCCGAGAGACACCTGTAACTGCGACAGAAGAAACTCAACCGAAAGGTCACGGGACTTCGGAAAAAGGGGAGAAAGAAAAGGTCATGCTCCCAATGGACAAGGCAGCGGCAGAAGCAGAAGCCGCATCTGCGCGACAAGTGTACCAGAAATCATTGTTCGCACCGTTGAAAGAGGCTTTTGAGAAAGAGCGGTCGAAGTCGGCAGACGAAGTGGGAGGTCATGAGACTTTACCACAGAAGGAGAAAGCTGATGAACCGAAATCGGCACAGTCATCATCCGGCTCGCTGGCAAAATTGAGGATTGACGAAACGGAGAGAACAGACCCAACAGACTCGGCAATATCCCCCCAGAAAACGGAGACTAGCGGTATAAAAACAAAAGAACCGACAGATTACACGCTAGGCGCACCATTGGATGTGACTAACCGGACATGGAGCGAAGTCCAAGCGGCGCTTCAGAACATTAGAGAAGGCGAAATGCTCGGACCAGACTTGAAAAGGCAGGTCGCTGAAAACTCGAATGGAAGATCCTCACTCAGCATGACCGAGCGAGTTTTGAAACGGGCATATAAGGAAGGAAGACTGGGATGTAAATACGACAAAGACAACAAAATTATTTACTATATTCCGAAACAGGGCACGGACCGCACACCCAGACTCAAAATGGAACTGGAGGCCTGGAAGATAGCCATCACAGATGTGGCTTTGGACGCCATTGGCGGTACTAATGGGGCGTCATGGAATGACCTTTCGAACTTCATGGCCGTCCATTACGAACTGGGAGAGTTGAACATTGAAGATGATAAAGAATGGATTAAGAATGCCGTTGAAGCATTGATAGCAGATGAAGTACTTCATATTAACCAGGACGGCCGAATTGACTTCAAGCCGTATAAACCGCCGGCAAAGGAGTCTGAGTGAAGGGGACGAGTGTAATGTGCAGCGAGTAATGAACCCTGCATATTACAGAGAAGCATAAAATAGTTAAAAACGAATGAGAAAAGCTTTATGGCAAATTGAAAGAGAAAAGGTCAACGCGGGCAGTAGCGGCGATAAGACTAATAGAAAGGTCACAGTAGACAGAAAGTGCTGATAACGTGAGAAAGGTCACCACGTTACAGTGATAGAAAGGGCAGCAGGAGCTAGGAAAGTCTCAGCTCAGTAACGGAATAGGCGCAAAAATGCTAGAGAAGCCTTGATAATGGATAAAGAATGGAAACGATTTATACAGAAACATTACTATGATGGATTGTTTTAATTGCAGATTTTAAACGGAAGATGGCACAAAAAGGTCAAGCCAACCGACGAGACCAGGGAACACTTCAAACGGACGTCGATCAGTCTACGGGCTATAACCCAAAGTGTCCGGACTGTTTACGGAATAATAGAAAAGTTGACAAAAAGTTTCCGTGTTACGCTTGCGTTCACAAGTTGGGTGACCCACACATCGTTTCACTCGTGGGACTTATGGAAGCTAAACGGGGGAACATGGACGTTTTTCGAAACCTCATCAGCGCGAGGAACTATGGCAGCATTCCAGTTGAAGAGCGGATGCTACTTGAGGATCGTTACCGGGAAGCGATCCAGAATCATGAAAGTGGCTGGGATGAGACTTTGGAGCCATTGAAATGCCCGCAAACGGATGCATACCGTAAGAAGTTCGAGGAGGACCAGGAGAAAATGCGACGGCAACAGCTGGAGGACGAACTCCGGGCAAAGATCAATGCGGCGAATCAAAAGGCGAGCGAACAGGCCGCAAGAGAGGCGCTGCCAAATCCGTCGAGTTCAACTGTACCGACAGCCAGCCTCAACGAAGAAGAAGCGCAACTTACACGTCAGTCTCTTATCATTCAGATTGACACTCTGACGAGTGATCCGGCCGCTATGCAACAGGAACTATTTGATGCGCTGTTGCGGGAGAAATTGAGACTGCAGAAGGGTTTCGCCCCAGCACCGTACATAAAGAAGGCAATTGAAGAGCGTATGGAAGACCTGCGCAAATCCCGCCAGAACGAGAGCAATGTTCTACAGGCGCTCAGAGGATTTAGACGAGATGACGTGTTTACACGACCCCGTTCACCGCCGCATAGAGAAAGGTCACGCGGACATTCACGTGAACACGAGCGGACTTCAGAAAGACGAAGCGAAAGGTCACGTGAACACTCCCGCGAAAGGACACGGGATTATCGTAGCGAAAGGTCACGCGAACGTTCCCACGACAGAGATTACCGTGGCGGAAGAGGATGGGTGCGCCATGGAAATGAGATAACGGAAACAAGCATTCAGCGGAAAATCGATACGGCAAAGATTTTGGCCGCGACAAGAGGACGTGAAGAGCAACGGCGTGCGGAGACTTACCGCACAGAGCCTGAAAAGAAAGGTCATCAGGTGCCGTTGGAAGTTGGATTCCGTAACCGTAACGTTAGGATGTCAACACCTGAAAGGTCATGGGACAAAAGACGCGAACATACGCGAAATCGAACGCCAGACCCACAGGATAGACGATGGCAGGAAAGAGCCAAGTATTACGCGGGTTTTGAATCTGGCGCGAGTAAAAGGTCATCAAGCGCGGAAAGGGAAGATTCACCCCCAAAATACCAAAGGATGGAATCAACGGTCCACGTGGTGGATCCAATCATTAGCACTGCACAAGAAGATGACCCAATGGAAGGAGCCAGTTCAGTCGCAGAAGTGTCCCAGAATGTGACCCATCGACGAAACGTAATTCTGGACAGCGACCCCCAACCGGCTACACCGGCGAGTAATGAACCGCCGCAGTTAGAATTAGGAGAACGGAGCGCACAAGAAAGTCAGCGCGCACCGGATGAACGTCGTGAAGCCGATCGACGAACGATTTCTAGGTTCAATAATCGACACCCGGACACGATCGACATGGTATACGATATGCGCGACACCGACGAACAAAAGACGGAAATTTGCCGATATATGGGGATTGAAGATGATTCGGCAGAGGCGAATAAGATTCACACGATTCTGAATCAGCTTCGCCAGTTTTTACTCGATTCTGGGTACGCGAGAGAGATTAAGAGGGGAGTGGAAGAAGGAACTTTTCGTCGACTATACATTCCTCGTGACTCTGCGCGAGATTGTTATCTCCCCATCCGACGAAATGGATTACACAGTTTGCTGGATTTGAGCCTATTGGACGTGCCATTGGACACGACTGACCCAGTCGGGATGACACAATTTTATTACACAGACTATGATGAACGACAGGAATATGTGGCTCAGTTCGTCTTACGACACATAAATCCGGCCTTCAAGTTGCTTGCAGCTAGAGCATCCATCGGATTACAGGTGGATCCCACAGACCATGCCGCAAAAAGGATGGGGCAGAAGGTCTTCGCTGCGAGATTGGCACACTATAAAACACAGAACCAGTTGGTTTCCAACACAATGAAGGACGACATCCCGCCACTTTTCCGACCTCACGTGGTTAAGTTGGGAGAGCCTATGGAACATGTTGGAATAGCCCACACGGCTCGGAAGGCGTTGAAAAAGTGTAGGACACGAAGGGAAAAGGGAAATCTTACACAGCGCCATGCCTCCCAGGTCGAAGAGCGGATTAATAAGATCAAAGATACTATGGGAAGCGATTATGTTGAACCAGTGGACGGAGTAGACGTCTACATTAACGAATTTCTGGTGAATAAAGGCGACCGACGCCCAGAACGCGCCCCTAACCAGATAGGACGACGCGGCCTAAGAAACCAGCAACTCCGCGATAACCTCGCTGATGTGCAACGGCGACTGGCGGACGACCCTAATAACCGAAGACTGCGACTGGAAGAAAATGACGCACGCCACCGGGTAGAGGCGGTTAAACGCAGTCGCCAAGGGAAAGGTCGCGGTCAGCGAGAAGTTGACCCGGAAAAGGTCATAGCAGTTGATTCCACGGAACCAGTTGACCGAACGTCTGACCGCAATCAACCAGAAAGTTCTAAGAAGCGCCCGCCGAGAGACGGCGAGGAGGGCGACTCAAATGAAATGGAATAGTGCTGATCGTTAGGATCACACTATTAAAAGGGGCGTCTACGGCAATCGTCGGTACGTCACAAGAATGAGAAATGAGAAATGGTGTTGTATAAGGGCGACGTGACATATTAACATTAACTGCATTTGTGTATTTGTTGTTTTCAGCGTTTATAGCACAGAATCGCAAAGGATAAAGAAATCATGTGGAGCAGCGATTGGGGTTTAAATTGATTCGGTCTATTACGCCGGCCCCAAAGGAGTTGCTACGGCAGTCAGCCGGCTCTCCTCCTTAAGCGACTCAGTGTTATAAATTAGCAAGAGAAACTACGGTAATCAAGCCGGATCTCTTGAAGACGAAGATGGGCCATAAGCGGCGAAAAAGAGAAAGACAACAGGTGGAAATATTAATGGGGTTAAATTTGATTCGGTCCATTAGCCGGCCCCATCAGAGACGCTACGGTGTACTATGCCGGCCACTCTCCTTAAGCGATTCAGTGTCAAAACTTAACGAGAGAAATAACGGTAATCAAGCCGGATCTCTCGTACGGAAGCTGGGCCACAAGCGGCGAACAAGAGTAAAAGATTTAATGTGGAAGCGTCATGGGGTAAATTTAATGCGGTAGTTAGCCGGCCCCATCAGAGATGTTACGGTAAACTCTGCCGGCACTCTGGCCGCTCGAGGCATATTGAAGTGGGATGTGCGACGGAAAGGTCAACTTAAAAGTTTTACCAGGGGGGCAAGCGAAGAAATGCTTGAAAGTCGGCAAAAATCGGCTAAGTTCCTCCATGACCTTTAATGGAAGTTTGAAGAAAAGTTGGATGACCCTTGGGATCATTACCGCCCAAGAGAGTCACCGTACCGGAATTCCAGTCGCATGACCTTTTGGGACCATTAACCCATAACGAGTCGCACATCTCAACGGATCATCTCAATAAAGGATGACCTTTATCAGGGAGGAAGCGAATTACGCTTGTCTACACGACGTCCCTCCATGACCTTTAACGGATCTCATTTTTAAGTCGTACAATTGATACGCACCATATTCCAAAGATGAAGCAGTATTTCTAAGTCGTACTTGATACGCACCTGATTCTCAAAGCGGATTGTGATGTAAGTCGCACTACGGATGCGCAGAATTGCTCAACCGAGCGGAATGGGCCAAAGTGCGGAAAACGGTGGACAGGACCTGTGACCTTTACGAGTCAGAAACGGAGGATCCTAGTCTACATTTGATTAATACTTTTGTTGATCTTATAACTGTTGATCTGTTTTTGTATTAGAATTGATATGGAATAGTATTTTAATACAGATCTCTTTATTTCACATTGTGCATTTGGAATTATGTGATTAAATGGATTAAGAGATTTGATGTTTTTGAGCACGCACAGACACCGGCGACCGTCGTTTTTCGTGGATTCGGGAGTTTGTCCAGCCTCAACGGAGCTCGGCATCCCCCCAGAGGCATGTGAGACGAGGCTCACTAGCGTTCACGCCCGTGGCGCTAGGCGCTACGCCTTCGGATTACGGTCTGTGACGTGTCTCGCTCTGATTGGCTAGCTTGAGTTGTGTTAGTGGGCGCGGCTTAGCACGTGCTGCACAGTGTTACACACTGTTGAATTGGTTCTACGATTTACGATCGAGCTGTGCCGATCACTTGTTGATTTCTGGTCTCCAGACTTTCAATATTATTAAAAGTCAGCTATTAGCGGTGCGACGTTTCGCGATTCCGCGTAGTTCGCTATACTTATCGCATAGCTCACTCCACGGGATAGATTCCGTTTCTGTCTCCGTATCTGGATCACAGTTGGATCTAGCATTAGAAGGGTAACAAAATTCTAAAAAGTTTAAATGCATTCAGATGTACCAAAAGTCTCATTATGGACCGATCTCTTTCAAATTTTGTGCGTAAATGCACATAACCATGAAGATCGTTTTGACACGGATCCAGACTTCTGCGATTTTTTTCGAATTTTAAAATGAATTTTAAAATTTGTGAAATTCGTTTTAAAATTTGAAAAACATGTTAGAACAGTGTATCCGTGTCAAAACGATCTTCATGGTTATGTGCATTTACGTGCAAAGTTGTAAAGGGATTGGTCCATAATGAGACTTTTGGTACACCTGAATGCATTTAAACTTTTTGGAATTTTGTTACCCTCATAACTCCGCAACCGGATGTTGCGCGCGAAAACGGATTTCACGCCTATGTACACCAATCATTTCGCTACGCAATGTCAAAAAGCAACCCAAAAAATGTTTGAAAGTGCGCGAAAGCGAATATTCCCGTCAGTGTACACGATTTTAGCGCCATGTACCGGGCCAAATCCCTTAATCGTGCCTCGTAGAATGTTATGATATCAGTTGGAATAACGTTTCACAAAACAGTAAAAATGCTATAAGAATTAAGAATGGATACTTCGGCTTTTCTCACAATTCGGTCACTTCAGGTAAACTTTTTCATACAGTGCTTCAGTCACCTGCTGTTAAAATTTCCTGACAAACAAAAATACCAGAAATGAATAGCCTTCATAGTAAAACCTTCGCCCGTGAATTTCCACAAACTTAAAAAAATCTCCACCTAAAAAAAAACGGAAGACAGGAACTGGACCGGGTGGAATGCAGAAGAACCGCTTCCACGTATAAAAGTTATTATAAAAATTTCATACTCCAACATTTTCCATTAATTTTTATTTTGACGACTACAGACCAGCAAGAAAAAACAAAAAGCTCGTTGTGTGATCAGCAGCTTTTCAGGTGGTAGGTGGTGTAAGTGACCGGTGATCAAAATATGAAACCGTATACGGTATTTAAAGCACCCGAAATATGAGAAAAATCGAACGATGTGACTACAGTTACGTACGAGCTGAATGGCCGATAATGGCAGCCGGTGTTTCTGCTGCAAGTACAAGAGAACCTCACTCAGCACAGCCAGTGGATACACGTGACAATTCGGATCCATCTGCCGTGCAAAGGTGTCCCAGTGTCGCACCGTGGAACGGCGGACATGGTAGTCGGTCATCAGACAGCACGCAAGGATGACAAAATAGTCGTGAGGGATCTTCCTTAGCTCCATGGTTGCTGGCGACAGCGGCAGGCGAATTTGCGAAAAGTGCAACAGTTCGCGGACGCTGCGCCCCATCTGCACCTCGACCTCCACAAATCCGTAGTCCACGAGACGCTGGATCATCCCGGTCAGGAGACGGCCTCGGTACCAGGTCCAGGGATGACTGGGATGGGATCGCATTAACGCCTCCACGGGAATACTGTTCGCTACCGGAGGTGCTTCGTCCGGGTGTTTCCGTTTGCCCGAGTGGATTTGGCGATGCCAGAAAGCGTCCTCCTTCACGGCGGTGGAACAGTCGAAGGCGTGACCGTATTCTACGACCACCGAGTGTAGCCCGGGACAGTAAAGATTGACGATCAGTCCGTTCTCCACGATGTTAACAACGGTGCCGTGGCACAGACGGCCGCGGTACATCACGTCCACCGCATTCCAGTTGTGCACCCACCGATCTTTCCTTCCATATAAATGCATCCGCAGTTACAATAGTAAGAAAGGTGGTACAAAACAGGCAGAAATCGGCCAGTCGATTTACGAATCAAAAACAGTACTCGTGACAGAGTCAACATAATTATTATGCAACAGGAACACATTCAATGCACATGAATCGCTAGCAGTAATTTCGAAAACGACAGCCCTTGTTTGGGCAGTAGGCGTTAAAACGCGGAATCCACTTGTTTGTTCTAATTTTCACACAGCACCATACTACAAGCGATATAACTGCACTTTGCGATTGCTTTATTCAGATTTTTCAAACGGCTTATGAAAGCTCATCACCGACACTTTATTTGCACTACACGAGTTACACACTGATAACACGGAGTAGCCGACTGTATCTCGGCGAGAGATGATAAGCATTTAAGGTGGGGATCAGATTATCGTGTTTGCTGGAGGATTTGTTCGGCCTAAATTATTCCTTAAACGCTGTTAGTGTATTACCAGCATTCTCTCGTTAGTTTCACAAGTTCAGTTTACTCATAATTGTGAGCATAGATGCCACGAGACGTTACGAACATCAGTCACTTGCTCGTTATTACGTTGATAATGTGAATACTGAACACGAACCAGCAGTTATGCACTTATGCAACGTTATTCAGTCGTATTCCCTATACTCGTACACAAGCAGTATTGCTCGGTTATTTTGCGGTATAAAACCGATGGCCCGGAAGGAAATTGACACCGGTATTAACCCGTTGACGGGCAATGGTGTCTAGAGGCGACAAGGTGTGTTGGGATTTTTTCCCAGCGATCGGTAACAGTTAATCGTTAACTAATAAGCAATAAGGGACTTTAAAGCAGCTTATAAAAACGTGATTTGAACTTGTGCCTTAAGGGATTTGGCCCGGTACATAGCACCAAATTTGTATACATCCAAGGCAACTTTCGCTGTCGCGCACTCCCAAACACTTTTTTGCATTGCTTTATGCTATTTTGTAGCCAAAGGATTTGTATACATAAACGAAAAAACCGTTTGTGCGCGCAACATCCGGTGCGGGAATTATTAGTGAAATAAAATTCCAAAAGTTTAAACGCGCGGAATTTTTGAAATTCATTTTAAAATTTGAAAAAAATGGTAGAAAGCTGGTTCGGTACCAAAACGATCTTCATAGTAATGTGCGTTTTCGTGCAGAATTTGAAGAGCATCGGTTCATAATGAAACTTTTGGTACACCTCCGCGCGTTTAACCTTTTGGGATTTTATTTCACTAATAACTCCCGAACCGGATATTGCGCGCCCAAACGGATTTCACGCCTACGTATACAAATCCTTTGGCTACAAAATGTCATAAAGCAATGCAAAAACGTGTTTAGGAGTGCGCGATGGCGTAAGTTCCCGTGTATCTATATGTGCCCGAATTTGGTACTATGTACCGGGCCAAATCCCTTGAGGGAAGTGGTCCGGTACATGGTACCAAATTCGTGTTCAGAGTACATGCACGAAATCACATATATATATATATATATATATATATATATATATATATATATGTTTCTCTTATAAAATATCTTTTTAATATTTTATTTTTATTCCGCGCAATTTGCGCGGAGTCTGCTAGTGAGTGAAATAAAATCCAAAGTTTAAACGGACGGAGGTGTAACGAGAGCCGCATTATGTGCAAGTGCTCTTAAAATTTTTCATACTGCAACACATCAGCATGAAGATCGTTTTTACACCGAAGCATGTAACCATCACTATTGTTAAATTTCAAAATTTGTTTAAACTTGGGGAAATTCGTTCTAAAATTTTAACAACATCATGGAAATTTGGTGTGGTGTACTACTGTCCATTTCAGCCAACTGGTCGCTGGGCCTCCGTATCGGAAGTTTGCTGATGGACTGCCGGTCGAAGGGCTAATAACATTTACTACGGAAGTACGGCTGCATCCCATTTCACAACTGATTGCATAAGGACAGATGAGGATCAGAGCACGGCTGACGTGACCACGGTCAATAATACGCCAGTGAGCAATGGTTAACCTGATTGTTAAGAAGTCTCGAAGTAATCGAGTCGTACATCGTTGCGGGGTCACTGCACGGACAGACGAAACGATTCCTGCACGCATTCCCATCGTATCTTATACCGGGCATTATTAAGGATGTTTTGCGGTAAAAATCTGTTTCATTCCATACCTTGGTAAACATTCAACCCTGAAAACCCTGCCAAGCGTTTTGTAGAACAATTTGAGATTGTCCAGTCTGGACGAACCCAAATGCGAATACCGAATGTCGCATACGGATTTTATGGGCATGACTAAAAATATTTACCGATACCACAAACTGAGGGGAGGATTTCTGCCCAGTTCAAGCAATATCTGACATGATCCGCAAAGCAAAACCATCGCCAACAGATCCGCTATTTTGCTACAGAAAAGCTAAATCTATCAGGCCGTTAACATCTGCAGTTTCAACCGTGCACAAAAAGCATTCAAGGACACCAGTGGCTATGAATCTCGTAACTGGTCGACTCATTCTTTACGACGTGGAGGAATTACATTCGCGTCAGCCTTAGGACTGGTAGAAGAAGTCAACAGAGCACCAGGAAATGGAAGGAGCGATTGTTTGCAGAGATATCTGTACATCTCTTGCGCCAGGAGTACGGCGAAATTGTGCGTGCTGCCGTGGGACTGTCGACGTTTAGCTAGCGTTTGGGGGTTTGGAGGATGACCTTTGATCCATGGCCCATGTTGTGCTTGTGCAACCCGCATCTGTGCATGCCAGTATGGTTATGCAATAAAACCTACCCTCATTGCGCTTAGGTTGTTGTTGTTCGGTATCGCTTTAGTGCAATAACGGAACTGGATGCCATTTTGTTATAATCATATCGATTTCGTGCCGTCGTCATTTATTATTGAGTCTTCCTCATGATCCAACACATGCCATTAAATTCGTGGACATGATCTTACTTGCAGACATTGTTGCATTCTCGTATTCCCAAACACTTTTTGGCATTATCTTACGGCATTTGTAGCCAAATGGTTTATATATACATTCTGCATTATTTTGTGTAGAAAATGTTTGGCGCACGATATCCGGTTGAGACGTTTTGGGCGAAATGAGATTTACCAGTCAGAGTTTCCGTTCGTGTACAGGAATTTGGCATATATATAGGAACTTACAACGCTGTCGTAAGTATCGGCTGATTTGACGTTGGTTAGAAATCTTCAAAAGAACAGTTGTATGATAATCAATTTTTACTTCCTTATTGACCGGAGCCTAGCAAAGGTCCTCTTATTCAGGTGAAATTAAAAATTGTGTGTCCGTCTGTGTGTCGGTTACGGAAGCAAAAAATGACGTCATATAAGGAATCCATACTTCCTTCCGTGCTTCCGATGTGATACTTCCGTAACCGACACACAGACAATTTCACAATTTTTAATTTCACCTGAATTAAAAGACCTTTGCTGCACTCCGGTCGATTAGTGCGTACTACGATTACAATTATTAGCATCACAATTACGTTAATAAACTCTTGTCACCAATAATATTATAAATTATTGTTGCGATGAGTGTAGTAGTTTAATAATTTTATTTATTCCCTTGAGTGACATACTTCTGCTGCTGCTGTATTTTTTTAGTGGAGATAAAGTATTTTGCATACTTAGTAAACGCCCAGTCTCATTTCACGGTGGCATCCAAGAACACAAGTCATGAACTTACGCGAAAACAGGTTCCGATACTTAATTCAATTTAATTGTAGGTACATGTGAACTCGAGTATGTTCTTCTATTATGCGATTGAACTACCGTACAGATATCTCTACAGTTAGTGCGGCACTGTTGCATTTACGATGATGGACAAATACACCGATGTCTCGTTTTAGCGTTTACTGCGCAAACCAGCGCTTCTCTGTCCCAACCGAGTCTTTTGGGATTTTCCTACTGCCCACGGCAACTGCTTACTGGTTTAATTAATGTTTTTGATCACGGATCACCTGGCCCCGCTTTTTTCTCTATACTGCACATTGTTCATACACCTACAGAATTTGCACACCGTTATTTCTCAGGTGACTCGTGCGTTAATTCTCGTGAAACATGGGCACTCACTCCTTGAGGAAATCGATGTTGGCAAAAGATGGGCAAACTGAAATTAATAATTTAATTACTTGTTCCGTAGAGATAAGCCAAACCCCAGCAGACAGCTGTAGCTGTTTCCGGCGTGTTGACATGTATCTGTATGATGCACAAATAACCTGCGCAAGTAGGTCGTTTTGTATCGATTTTCTTTGCATGCGTTGGAGAAATTGAAGTGAGCTGAAAATCGCCTCCAGCGTCGTATGCTGTGGAAGCGCCGTGTACTGTTACGAACATGTGCACGCAGCTTCTGTTCATCTAAGGTGGCATACATACTTTTACTTTGTTTACCAACGTGATCTCTGAGCGGATGCAGATGTCATTGCCAGCTTCCTTAATTCTTTAAAATCTTCTTGTACAGTGCGTACCTTTTTGGAAAGCCTTATGCGTTTGCATTGAGCAGCAACAATGCAGCATCAAACTGCCAGTTATTTTACTGATTCAGAAATATCGGTACCAGTCTGATGCCAGTTCAAAAAGACTGATTTTGTAAGACTCTTGGCTTGGTGCATGGTACCAGTTTTATTATATACCCGTCTTTCAGGATTTTAGAGAGTTTAAAGTTTTTTTATTATTTGGATGGATGATTCGGAGAAGAATGGCGCAGGGAAGGGCGCAAAGAGGAAGCTGGATTTTTCTTCGACACACACTGGTAAGATTACCTCTATACTAAACCTGAGAACGCTCTGAGGCCTCCCTTCCTAAAAATTCCGTATTTTGCTTAAAGAAAGGAGATAGTGGGAGCTTTTTAAAAAATAATTTCGTTGGCACTGGTCCCAGGGGCGTGGTCACAAACATTTAAAAAAAATAAGCATATCGTATGCAGTGTGTTGTCAATGTGTTAGCTATAGCTAACACATTGTTATCGTTAATGTTTACGGTACTTGTTAACATGTGTAATTAATGCCTTTGAATGAATGTGTAACTAGAGATACCATGCCATTGCTTCAAAATCGGTACACCGGTTAACATTCACCTATATGTTTCAACACATTAAGCCAACAGTTTTTACAGTTGAGGATTTACCATCAGCACAGCCTGGATCGCGCCCATCCGTATGGGAAGCCCATTCTGACCGAACGGATGTGGAGAAGTTGCTGCATGGGCAATTCAACGAGGATTTCCAGCCGACCCAGACGACCTTTCCGTCTGGTTTCCGCAAAGTTATCCGTCCAAGCGGTCAGTGACCGTGTCGCGCCGTACTTCCAACCTTTGCTCCAGCTGACTGAAAATCTTCTTTTACTCTTTGCAGATCTCGAGGGCTTCATGAGTGTCGCAGCGACATTTCGCCCAATATTGCCGTCCAGTTCGTATTCCAGTATCTATGCCAATTTGAACGGTTCCCGCGATGTGATGCTGCAGAAAGCCGGTGGCGCAGTGTGGGCGGCGTACGAGATCGCCTACGGAGACCAGATTGCCGTGTTCACCGCGTTCATGACGTCAGCCCTTAAAGCTCAGCAGATTCCGGTAATCTGTTAGTAATTTAGTAGTTATTTGTTTTCACGAAATTGCAACATCTCGCTCCGCTTAGTACATCATATTACCAACATGCCCTGTGATAACCATTTGCAGTACCAACCGCAGACCTCGCCGCAGCGAGCACGGCTTCGAATGCAGGAGAAACGTCGAGATGACAAAGCCCGTCTGGCGCAGTTCGTTGCCATGCTGCCCGGGTTCGAGAACATTAGCCCGCCGGATCGCAGTATTTTACTCGCGGAAAAAACGTTTCTCAGTACCTTGGTATGGGCTGTTCCTTGGATATATCAAAATAGTTGTATCACTTGTATGCATGCCAAAGTTTCGACATACAGATAAGTTTCGGCTTATTCTCTATCTGGTGTTATTTTTCCGTAGCTGCATCACATGAAGTTCTTTCACAAGGGAGATTATTATTGCACATTGCCGGGTCCCGAGCAGATTCACTCCAACAACTACTGCATGGAAATGATGGGTATGGATCCGGAATTCATCCGGTTCTGCAACAAATTCAGCGCTGTATTCAACGCGATTGGGTTGACGCTTACGGAAGTATATCTACTTCTGGCCGCATCGTTTTTTGATCCTGGTAAGTAAGCAAAAAATTGTTCAAGATTCGGGGTTGTTCCGGGTCCGGGATATTCAAGATCGGAGGTTCCACTGAATCTAAATAACATGCACGAGTGCTCGTATATTTTGCCGGCGTACTGATCAAAACGAACCAATCAGCAAGTATTAAAAAATACTTTTTAATATTGTCAGGATTAATGGTGTAACCGTTACTATTGTCTGTTACTCATGCTGGCACCCAGCACCCAGTTCTAAAGAGCTTGAAGAATTATTCTTTTTGTTCTAAATTGGTTTATCAAGTTCAAGTGTAAATGGCGTTTAGCTTGTACAATTTGTCAATAAAAAATCATTGCCCCTTTATCATACATACATCGATCGACCTTGAAGGCGAAGTTGTTACTCAGAAGTCAGAAGTTTAGTCAATGTGACTGTTTTACTGAGTATATAAGATACTGTACTACGTCTGCATTGTTAACTGCACTGGAATTACTCTTCATTAAAGCAAACTACCAAAACCACGTTAATTGTATCAAATAGACAACCAGGGAGGATTCTAACACTTCTGGTTGTTTTTTTTCGATGGTTTTCTTATGATCATTTTAATTTTTACGCAGACATTAAATACGATTCATGTTACTTCAGCGCGCTTAATACACAGGAATTGTAGTTATCGATTTGCCCGGTTTTCCACAGGCACCACCACTGCGTCGGCTAAGCAGGCACTCGCGCAGCTGCACGCGTTTTATAAGGATGCGCTGATGTACACGATCGGCTATCGTTGCCGGAATCCGGAGGAACGCGCCGCTGTCTACCACAAACTGAACGAAGCGGCCACACTGTTCCCCACGGTGCACCAGGTTGCGCTTGCGTGGTATCAGAATGTCGACAGGACGGTGCCACCATTTCCTGCCCCGCTCAGGACGCTGCTTCAGGACTGCTTGAAACGTTAATTTCTTTGACTGTTCTTATACCGAGCCCCACTACGAATGCTAGCGTGTTTATTGCCTGCTCTCTGACGAAATGTTAGGAATTGTGTGGGCCGGTGAATCCTTTTGCGTGTTTTCAGTTTTGTCGCGATAGGCTGTCATATCTGTCGTACGCACCGTGCACAACTGATGTGCATTATATTTACAGAGACAGTCGATAAACGACCACCTACGTACTCATCTTGAATTTCGTGTTTGGTTTCAGTTCTGCAAAAGCGGATATCCTCATTGTACATTTTTCTTTGACTGCTACTAGGGTAAACCAGATTTGCAAGCGATTGATGACTATTTTGTACGCAAAACTCATTTCAAATTTTCAGGTCATTGGCAGCAGATATTACATGGCTCAACAACACCATTATATCGCGATAGTTGTCAACATAGCGACGCTGAGCCAGATGACAGTTGACGTAAATCAGCCGCTTCATTTTACTGGCCAGATGCGGTGGTCCGCGGAGATTGCACATGCAATGCGCGACATGTCGCATAATGTTGTTACGCGTTCACAAACCGCTCCAGGCCGATGCTTTTTATCCTTGAACTGACACATTGAGGGGACCGCCGAAGAGCACGGATTTGGGCGTCCACACTCCACAGCACCGATTGCAGTCCGTGCGGAAGCAAGAACGCCTTGCTCTGCGGTATGTACCGTTAAAATTGAATTCAAAACTGTTCAGTTTTAGCGGTTTTAAACTTTAACGGTTTTTAAGTTCAAACCATTAACATAATCAGACTGGGTTGTAGAAAATAAAAATATTAATAACTTCACCAGGTTTTATAGACTTTTTAGCAAACCGCAAGAACAACGTGCATCGGCTTCGCGTGAAACGCACCTCATTTCTCAATTTTACATTGATTTTAGCATTGTATTTCGGGCGCACGAATGTCCTGGCCGTTGTTCAGCAGGAAATCGCGGCGGTTTTTTAGATGACTAGGATCTAAAAATCAAAAGATGGCGCGCAAAATGAACTAAGAACAAATGTGGGTACCATGAACAGTCTCCGGGACGCCCGGTGTAAAAGAATCCTTCTGCTGGTTTAGGAAGTGAACGGCTTACCTGGTCAAAGAAAGGTTACCCTGGGCATTTGGTCAGCACGATTCATATGGGCAGAAAGGTCACCATGACTTCGAATCAGCGGCCCAACGAAGTTTGCCCAACGAAGTACGGCATCCAAACGTCGCAAGGGGCGATGAGCGCTGCGACTCGCTCAGCAAAACGGACACGAGAGCAAAATATTGAACATCATTGAGCTACCCTACGCTACCTACTAGATAGCTCACTAAGTGACTATCTGCATACTGACTGGCTTGATACTGATACTGCATGCTTCCTCCCAACTGCACAGTTGTTCTGTTCTGCACGGAACAGAACAACAGCATATATAGCGACAAACAACATAAACCTCACCCTCAGGGGCAAGAAAGCGTACATAGAGCCGGCAGGAAAAACAGATACTAGCCCGTACAAGTACGAGTACTCCCGACTGAACCTTTAACAGCTCATCTTTGGAAAGTATATGACGAAAGGATTTGACTTGGTCTTAAAAATTCTTGCGCACATAAATCACTCAGTTTCGCCTACGAGTTCGTTCCTTATTTCACTAGTTTTCGATTTTCTTTCTCTCTGCTAGTATATACTACACTAGTACAAAGTCAATGACCGCGGGCTTGCGCAAGGCGTTCGATTGGGATGGAAAACAATCCACGAAGCCATTTGTTTTTCTGATCTAGTGCTGCGTGGGATTTCGTTTCATTAATTATTCATCGTTCAGTTAGATATCGTCGCCATGCACAGCGCGACATTTTTGTAAGTAATTTGCTAATATTATGTGTGACGGTCTGGAGAAGTAAAAAATTAGGGGGGGGCTCGGGGGACTCAGTCAAAGGGGGCTCTGTCAAATCTTAAATGCGAAAACCAGACTAAAATCGTGAACAAAAATACACTTTCAGCAAGGTAGACATTACGTAGACGGTAGTTATCCGACTTGAAATTCACCATTTAATGGAAATAACTTTTCCGGGATTGATACGAGTATTTCTGTGCTCGTAATAATATACGACCGCCCGATGGACATAAAGTTCACAGAGAAAAATCACAATCGCAATCATGAAAAGTGCCGATACAATATAAACAGTGGACAGTAGGCTGTGCATTTGGATTGACGCCGCTCGTTGTGTGTGGGTACTCGGTCGAACGCTGGGAATGTAGGGAACTCGGTAAGCCAAATACACTATTTCTGTGTGCAAGCTGACTATGTGTCTTAGATTTCCAGTTTTGGCAAGCCAAATGATCCTAAAGCATAACGAAATTTTGTTTATTGCAGCGCTAACAGTTTTTAAGTTGAATTTCGCTTGTGGTAGCAGTAACCGTCTGAAATGGTTTCACTTTTCACGTTCCTCATGCTTACGTACAAATCATTAACGCTTTCGTGTAACGGTGATTGACGGGGCAGTTGGTACACGGAGATGTGATTATGAAACTGAGCTGAAGCAGCAGCAAAAAAGCCAGATCTTTGGTACACCGGTGTTTCGTAATATCCGAAAATCGCTATCCTTTTGCGTTTGGACAGTGCAGCAGCATAATCAAGAAATTCCGGCAGGGAACTTTCTGAGTTGTAGAGCATCGCCTTTGATGTCAAGGGTTTCAAAATTGGGCTATTCTGGAAATGGAATGATTTAGCGGATGTCTGCCGTGGCACGATAGCGCTCCAATGGGTGTGGGTACCATCTATATTTTCCGGCCCTTTTAATTACGGTAGCCGCTAGATGAAATGGCACCACTTTTGGATCCGGCCGCTGCCTGCCCCCCGCCGGACAGCGCACACGTTACAGCAGCGTGTGCGCTGCTTTCCGTACACCAGACTCTGTGGTGCCATATTTCATCTAGCGGCTACAGTATTAGGCTTTTAAACGGTATTGAACGATAGTCCACGCATTTTTTGTCTACATATGTGCTTAACGATAAAATAGTAACATTTTGCTTTTTCAAGTATCAGATTTACGCGTAAACTCTCACTCACCATAAATTCTATCGGAGCAGTTTTGACGAGGAACAACGGACTGTATCCCGAGCGTACAAATTCAGGAACCGTTTGAAAGGGTGGTATTAAAAATGAGCTCGGCAGACTTGAGCTTAAACTCGCGTACATTATGCTAATTACAAAATATGAAAATAATAGCCACTGCGTGATAATAAGTCGTGGTGCATGATATTCGTGCGGTAAAGGAGTGTCGAGAGCGTCTAAAAAACGCGCCAAGTTTCCACAGCACTAAAAGCGAAATGAATGTTCTGCCATTTACCTTCACAGAAGAAGCTGCTGACGACATCAAACGCACTTCGAAAGGATACGGAAAATGCGAAAGACAGCTTTTTTAGTACAGATTCACGGTTCTCGATTTGTGCTGCACCGCGGTCATAGGAAGGACTCGACATTCTGCCAGTGCGCACACAAAGTAGCGTGACGAACACGCCTATGCCGGATAGCATAAGCCCCGGCCAGTATTTTGTCAAGGTGTTAATAAATAAACCTTCGACGATCGACCGGCTTCCGACACTGGAATCTACTAGATCTCCATGATGAATCAGGATGTAATAATCCCGCACCAGCGCGCCGCTAATAAGCTCAAAGTCGCGTACACGCGCCGGTGTTACTGCAAGAGGGCAAACGCTCATGTTGACCTTTCCAGTCAGCAGATCAGCCGGCGCTCCGTCGTATTTGGTCCCGTCGGATGTAGTGAATTTCGTTAGCGGTACGCTCGTGGCCAGCAACAGAAGCCTGTTCCAATCAAATCAATTTCACTGAGGCTTTGCTCAAGTACCTAGATTACGGTCTGTGCACTTGTAGAAAACCACTTTAAACTGTTTTACTGTATATTTCCTACCTCAAGCCTAGTTTGTTACTAATTAATGTTAATAATGTTATGGATATTCCACAGAAACATCCGGATCCAGACGGACTTTCAAAATTCCACGGTGGATTATTGGAAACACTGACAGTAAACACTCCAGTAATATTAATTTTAGAATTTGCTGCTCTGTCCGCATCAGCCACGGGAACTACCAGCTGATTATTACATACGGTCAGGGACAAATCCTGGCAGGCTTGGTACAGTCTGGTGTACTCCATTTTGTTCACAAGACCGCAATATATAATTCAGTCAATTTGTAGAACATGCGTTTGTTGCAGAATGCGCGGCTATACAGTGCAGGTGCTAAACCAAATTAGGCCTGCTTTTGTTTTCACAGGGCAGCTAAACTTACAATACAATGATGTTAACATGGTTTACAAATTTTTCGCTACTAGTGTGTATTTTGCGCACCGTTTACTTTGTTTTTAAGCAAACGGACATATGTTTATTTGAACTGCTTGTTACTACAACGAACTCATCGTTTCTGCTTATTCCGGTATTCCCACGAGAAGGGCAGAGTCAGGGCTCACATTATATAATTTTTAGCATTGTTGACATTACTGTGTGTCATTCAAAAAAATTCTTTGTCGAGGAGAATTCGGTTTAAGTACGGTTTACAATATAAAACAAAGCGGGACAAGCGTGTTGTTGTGCACTAATTTCTTTATTACACAACAAATATAACAGCAAGACTGCAAAACTTTTTGTGTCCATCATTGCTCAGGCACGAGAATGCGGATAAAAAAGCGCTCCAACGCCGTAACGTTTGTAAAACGCGCTACAGATTTAAAGGGGCATAACAGTCAACTGGCTTGGACGTTGGAACTCTTCGTGCAGTTGTGTGGTTCACAAATTTTGGCGCCGAGTCTAAGGCCTACCGAGATTTTCAGCGTGTCATCATCGAGGAGGTTGCCGATATGCGCGGAAGGCAACGCGTTGAGCCATATACCAGCTCCCGGTCTCGACTGAGCAAGGAGGCGCGCCTTATTAACATCATCGTACCGGTAGCTAGAGACACGTTGCACAAAGAGAGGTCCCATGCTTATTAAGACTTGCGGAAACCTGGTGGTGGGAGTTCTGTTAGTTTAGAATTTGTCTTCCACTTTTCCAGACCAGCACAGACATCGACGGCCAGCTGATCGGGAAGTAGCAAAGAAACTATGTCGGAGACGGAGTGTATCGAAGCCAGAAAGGCGGGGAGCGCTGTAATTAATTCCTCCGAGCGACGTAAATTGTATATCGTGTGGAGTACTGTGCTGCAAATGTGATTTTATTTCTCCAACACTACTGGTGGAGGCTTTACTTCTGTGACGTATGTACGCGATTGCATGAATAATAATTATCATTATTATTAATATTGATATTTACATTTCTCGAGATTCTGCGTAAACGCATAGCAACGGTACAAGATCGGTTGTCTGGCTGAGTCTGTTTTGTGTTGTTGTTGTTTGTCATTCAGTTAGTTGTTGTGGTCTGGAATATTATTAATAAACTTACGTAGTAAGTACTTCACATTGGCGTGAAGGATGGTAATTGCCCTTTCTGTTTAAGAGGTAATTGACTGGTCAAAAGTGGTAATTGACCATGTCTACGGGAGGCACGTCACCCGTGGGAGTAACAGGCACTCAGACACGCACGCCGAATACTGCGGTGTCGGGTGATGATGACTCCACCGGGTTGCCCAAATTAAGTAAATTTGACCCAGACACGATGAAGCTGGAAACGTGGCGTGTACAGTTTAATAGCCACGTGGAATCGTTCAAGATGACCGATGACAAGAAGAAGCCACTACTCTTGGGATCCCTGAATCCGAAGGCCATGGAGATGCTAGCCTCCATGTGCCGCCCGAAGGATCCAGGTCAGTTCACGTTCGAGGAACTGTATGAGAAGTTAAAGCTGGTATACAGCAAACGGACAAATATAAGAGTAGAGCGTGCTACCTTCTTTTCGATTAAGCAGAAGTCAGGTCAGACTTTGTTGGATTTTTCGAACGATTTAAGGAATCAGTGCGTCAAGTGTGATTTTCCAGACGCGTTTGTAGATGACCAGCTGTGTGCTGCATTTATGTCAGGTGTAGCCAGTGAAACTACGCGCCGTTATTTGTATACGTTGCCTGTATCGTCTGTTGAAAAATTCGATAAATTATACGAGGAAGCGGATAAGTATGAGACGAGTAAAGCAGACGCTAAGCAGACGGTCGGTGGTAGATCGTCGTCCCCGGACGTAGCAGCGATAAGGCGCGGTGGATACGGTGGTCGCGGTAGAGGCCGAGGCGGTAGGTTCCGAGGATCAGGCCGTTTTGGACAGCGGTCCAGTAAAGCAGCTTGTTATGGGTGTGGTTCAACCGAACACATGAAACCGGATTGTCCCCATAAGAGTACACAGTGTAATAACTGCGGCCGCCGAGGTCACCTGGCAAAAGTATGCAGAGCGCCAAGAAGAGGGCGTGGTCAGAGAGGGCAGAGGAGAACAAATTATGTAGAAAGGATGCCGTACGACGTTTTACGTACAGGGCCAGTAACCCCGTCGTCAATTTTTGTCCCGTTAAATATTGACGGCAAGACTGTGAATATGGAGTTAGATACGGGATCGTCAGTCACGATAATGAGCAAGTTAACATGGCGGAAAGTTGGTGCACCGAAGTTGGAGAAAGTTGACTACTGTTTGCGTAGTTTTACTGGCCATGTCATTCCGTTAATGGGAATGGTAGATGTGACAGTTAAGCATGGTGGCGTAACGAAGTCACTTAAAGCGTTGGTTACTGAGCAAGGTTGCAGTATAATTGGGCGCGATTGGATATCAGAGTTACAGTTAAGCGCGCTCAGTTTAAAGCAACTACAGCAAGGTACTGTAAGTAGAATTGAAGAGTTTAGCCTTGCAAAGATACTTCAGAAGTATAAGGCAGTGTTTAAGGACGAGCTTGGTTGCTGTAGAAACTTCAAAGCACATTTGTACTTGAAAGAAGGCGCTCGTCCCGTGTTTTGTAAAGCAAGGCCAGTACCGTTTGCTTTGAAAGAAGAAGTCGAGGAAGATTTAGAACGGTTAGTAAAACTGGGTGTTCTCACACCAGTTGATTATGCAGAGTGGGCTGCACCAATTACATCTATTAAAAAGCCTAAGAAAAAAGTGCGTATCTGTTCTGACTTAAGTACTGGCTTGAATGCGTCGCTGGATGTACACCAGTATCCTTTACCACATCCTGACGAATTATTTGCGAAATTAAATGGTGGTAAAAAGTTCAGTAAAATCGATTTACGAGAAGCATACGCACAAATACCGTTAGATGAAGAAAGTGCAAATTTGGTTGTCATAAATACGCATAAAGGATTGTTTCGGTACAATCGATTGCCTTTTGGCGTAGCAAGTGCGCCTAGTATTTTTCAGCAGTTGATCGAAAATATACTGCAAGGTTGTGAAGGTGTAGCAGTATATCTTGACGATATAATTATCACTGGTAAAGATGATGAAGAGCATACGTAGTAAGTACTTCACAACTTCGTTAATGTCATCATACACTCTTTCTCGTGCGCCCAAAGCGCCACAAAGACCGCGCACTCTTACCACTGGTTAAAATTATAGTTTGTGACTTTTGGTAGCACATAATAAAGCGAAAAAGCTAATAAAAATGAGTGTAGTCAGCCTATAACCTGCGTTAAACAGGTCAATCGCTCGTTTTGATCAAAATTCTATAACTCATACAGTAGAGAATGCTACAATAAGTATGTTATCGTTTTCGCTTGCAGTTATGCCTGGTTTGCGAACCGACGGCTTTAGATCTCTTAAAAAGGCTATAAAGGATTCTCTCATGACCGAACTGCAAATACGTACTTCGAAGTAGACATAGTAATTGTGCCTGGTTTACGAAGCCGACGGCTTTACATCTCTAAAAACAGCTATAAAAGGTTCCCTTATGACCGAACTACAAATTCGTACGCCTACCAGTATTGCTTGTGATAATGTTTTAACACACGATTACAGCAACGCCAACAAATGGTCCAACAGATACAATCGCCGGTTCCAGCGCTCAGCAACTTTTCATTGGCGAGATCTTCCTGGTTGATACACTGAAACGCTCACAAGGCGCGATCACCTGAGGCCAAAGTCAACGTCACTAGTGTGCTCCTAGCCAAGGAAATTTTATATAGTAACGAATTACACGCTCAGTCTGGACCGTGCACGAACGCAGTACGCAGACTAGGCGGAATAATTAAAAATTTAAAAAGCGTATTTGCCGGATGCCTTCGACATGGAACGCACTGCGCAATTGATTATCGGTATGACGCTGTTGTGCGCCGCATTGCCAGGTAAGAAAACAGCTGATAACGTTTGGCAGAAAATGGTACAATTTTAACTAACTAGCAAACTTGTTTAGTAAGAATAAGAATCTGCGACTCATTTTAACAAATACGAATGGTTGGATTGTTGGTTATTCGTTATTCATGTGATATGAATAACTTTAATATATAATCTGCGGCAGCCCCTACGATACGGCGCATGATACTCAAACATTTTTAGTCACGCCTATGAAATATGCGGCATGGGTCCACGGTAGCGCCCTTCAGCATCGGCACTTGGAAGGAGCCATCAACGACTGGAAGCTCTTGCACAGCCAAACGGGATCCGGTGTGGAGATACGCAGAGGAAGCAGTTCGTCAACTGTCGCCACCTTCGCCCTTCCGATACCGGCCCCCGTGATCATTGATGACCGCCGGCTGAAATTTGTCAAAGTGATGGTGCGCTATCGAGCGGAAAACGGCGCTTATATTGACCGGGTGATCGTGAACGACCGAGAAAACCAGTTGAACTATGTCTTTTTCAGTAGCCCCGCCTCTTCGAAACAAATCCAGATGATAACAGTCCATGCCGCGGCCGGAGTAAACACAGACGCGTTGTGGGGCTACGGTGTGGCGATTCGCGTTAATTCTGGGGATCGGTGTGATGCTATCCTGGAAATTATCTCTGCTGGAATAGATTTTGATTAACATTGGAATCATGTAGTTCATAATTCAGTGTTCTTATAAATATTATTTTAGTTGGAATTGTTGATAACTAAAACGGACTATTCATTTACCTGATAACCGTCATGTAGCAGCGTAGCTTAGAAAAATTATGACGGTATCAGAATGTTGTTATCTCAAACGATAAGTTCTCTACGGCTGTAAAACTTTTGTACCGGCACCGGTTTATTGCTTACGTTTCTTGCTTGCAAATGCTATTTGGCTGTCACTGAAGGTATTGTGATACGATGAAGCAAATTGCGATACACTCGACAGGACGAACGCGAACGATCACGTTACCACCAATCAGAAGGCCAAAGTACGCCGTCGAAGCCGCAGCTATTTGAAAGAGTTTCGTGGTAGTTTAAATACCGGCTTATAGGATAACTCGTTTAACCGTAACAATATTAAAACTATTTTTAAAATGGTAAAAAAGAGTGTGCCGGTAAATGGAACGCTGTGCAGCTGTCCGCTAACGATCGGGACACGGGTGCTTTTTATCTGATCTTTAGGAGACTTCACGTACGCCATACGCCCATACCGGTATATACGAATGCCTACACTCCAACGGCTACCAGCTGCTAGTGACGCAGCGTTACTGGACCAGCGCCATCCTCTTCCGCCATGCCACAATTCTCTGCATCACCAATGCGCTTCGGCGACCCCATGGAGATGGAGTGGTGCGCTTCCGGTTTCTCCCGATACCTTCTTGTCGCGCAAAGCACGAGACTAGCTGCTGACCACGGTCATCCCGGCGGTAAAAACCCGCATTTAAAAATGTAGTGTATATCATGAATCTAGGAAAGTGTACTTGCTTTTGGCGGGCACTGCATCACCGAGGCGCAGCTGGAATGTAAGGTCTTTTTGTAAATTTGGTCGGGATACGCCGTGTGGCTAGGGCGAACTTCGATGGGCTCAGCACCAACGCAAAACCGGTGCCATTCCAAGATGAAGACTGACAGCGCCAGCTGGACCGACGCCGGTGGTTCGGAAAACGGCTTCTACAAGCTTGTTCCGTAATTAGAAAGCATAAATTCAGCGTCAACTACAAATTCACGGGTTATAGCTAGACACGGCAGGGGATAAAAGGTGGCAGTGGCACCTGCCACTGGCAGTTGCCACTGGCAGTGGCATCTGCCACTACCGGGTCCGGCAAGCGATAAAACGTGGCAGTTGCCACAATACTAAAATCCGTCGTAGGTGATTCTGGTCGCGTCCGGTTACTTCGGCAGCGTTAAATTTCGGGAACACGCGAATCACGTTTTTTCCATTGAAGTCAACTTGGTGTCAAAAAAGTAAAACTTTTTTAACGCTTCTTGGGGAGTGGAAAAGGTCGCAAAAGTTGACTCGTCAAATTCTTAGAATATTTCTGTTTTTTTTTAATTATGCACTAGCTGTAATGTTAAAAAGCAATACAATACATGAAACTGTTTCCGTCCGACCATTTTTTCGCTTGGGGAACTCGAAATTTCCAGACATCAATGAGTATAACAACTTCATAGCTAACCAGCTTAAATCAGTTGGAATGGCTACAAGATTTACTAGCGTGTTTGTCCCCCTCCTGGAGAACAAAGAGGCATCCGAAAAGATTATGCACAGACCATAAAATCAGCCCATCAAATGTGTTAGTACGAGAATGGGTGTCTAGGAAACTGCTTTTTTGCTTCTATATGAGTAGTCGTGAGACAAGTTTTCTGGGTTTATCGTCTGCTGGTTTCTTAGATGCCTTCGGTTCTCTTAAGACATCTGAGAAAGCGTAAGTTTTTCTTACAAAATGTTATGTAACAGAAGTGATGATGTATGAACTAAACAGGGGCCTAAGAAGTTGGAGATTTAGAGAAACCGCAATCTAAAGAATCGAAGTAAGCGTTAGCCCGCTACGATTGCCACTACAGGTAACACTTCCGGTAATCACCGTAACTGAGATGACTTAGTGTGGCAAAGGTCCGATAAAGTTTTATAAATGTTTCACAAATAATACGGTATATGGATGTTTGTGTTGATCGGGCATCACAATTACTTGGGACTTATTTCGGATTTCTGGCAACTACCACGTTTTATCGCTTGCCAGACCCGGTAGTGGCAGATGCCACTGCCAGTGGCATCTGCCAGTGGCAGGTGCCACTGCCACCTTTTATCCCCTGCCGGACAGGGAGAGGGCGTTTAACACATCGTGAATGCGCTTGTCCATCCCTATGGATACATAGTGATCGTCCGTCGATCAGTTATACGTAAAATTAACACGAGTGGATTCATAATTAAGAGTGGATTGCGTTGTGTTTGTGCAAATAGTAAATACATACAGACTGTATGTATATGATAATATTATACTCACGTCGGATTGAGATAATTATGATGTGTATGTTATGTGGATGTAGTTACTCTTGTTACTGCAGAAATCTGGAGGTGAAGTGATTGTAGTCGGTTTTCAGGTTTACCACCGTACACAAATTCACTGACGAGTTTTTTGCTGCGGCTTGAAGGTCGTCGGCGCAGCGGTGAAGTGATTGGTGACAGATCTAGAGAGCGCCGAAGGCGACGGCTAAGATTTATAGAACATCCAGTTTTTTGGCGAATACAGTAGTTTTTGGTTGTTCTGAGTGAGTTTCCTCATTAGGGTAGCAGCGACATCGCGGAGTTACTTACTCGTGACCTTTTTCATAACAACAGAGGAAAACATCCCAGAAATATGTAAGATCCTACTGTTTCTCCTATTCTTGCACTATGTACAGAGTAATGTACCCTAATTTCTAAAGCAAACCAAGTTGACACAGCTTTGTGTGACTGGTAGTCACGGATGTAAGCGTTCCAGTTGGCCACGTCCGGGCAATAACGGGCCCAGGGTGTAGCTTATCCGTACGTATACGTACACTGATTTACGCGTACTTGTATGAAAGTCTCGTGAATGTTGTGCTATTAATTTGTGTCCGTAGCAACTGGCCAGCGAATGTCCCTGGTGTTGCTACGCTGTCATATTTAGTTGGTTGTTTGCGCCTTCACAGGCGGATAATAATAAAGATTATTATACCGCCATACAGAGATGACGGTTGGGAGGAAGCGGGAGGTCCCGGCGGAGAGCCGCGACATTCCCGGCTGTGGTAGAAAGGTCGCCGCGCGGCAGAGTAGATCGGAGAATGGGTTTATGGGTCCGGCGGCGCGTTGACCGGGGTTCAGGTAGCGGAAAAAAAGGGCGCTGAGCTTTTCGTCCAGGGGCTTCCCGAGTCCACGTTTTTCTTGAACCGCTCGATTTCCACACGGTAGTGGGCGACCGGGAAATGAGTGTGCTCGCGATGGTGCATGAGCACTCGCGCCATAATTGACCCCGAAAACCGGGATCGGATATGTCCTCGCCGTTGTTAAACAGGAACTTGCGGCGGTTTTCCACCTGGCTCGGATATATGAATTAAACGATGTCGCACACAGTTTTTCTTAGAGTAAATTTGCAGTTAGAAAAAATTACGAGCCTTGGACTGTCTTCGGGACGACCGAAGAAAGCAAATCCTGCCGCTGCAGACGCACGCTGGACAGCCTGTCCACGCCACTAATGCACTCCTTGGGATTCATTTTGAAACACCGGCTCAACAGGTGGCGCGCGGCATCCGGCTCTTGATACGGGAGCTCCGGCGTCCCGGCCACGGTCGATGACATCAATGCAGCTGACGCTATATATAATTAATTCCCCGACCGCTGCTGGCCAACTCCACACGATCAATGACGTCGTCCACTAGTGCGGTTCTCGGAACGGTTGTGTATATACACGCAATCCTGTCAGTATTTTAAATAATTCTGCGATGTGTATGCATGCTACTTTCCGCATGGGCATACACGGTAATAATCATTAAACTTAACCTTCCCAAGACCTACAGCGGTTTTCATTACTGATTGGTGTCAGGTCCAGTATGTAATAAATACGAGTACTATGTACTGGTACCAAAACTGAGCACTGAAGGTAGGCCGCCCATGTCGGTGTTGTTTCCGGAGAAAATCAACGTCGCTTTCGCTGTGATTTTGTCGGGTTTCCGCTGTTTCCGGTTCTCCTAGCTCGATGTTCTCCTTTTTTTATTGCCAACAGGAAAACATCGAGTTGGAACATGCGGAATTTACTCTAGAGCGATCGAAATGACGTTTCGTTGCCAATAAAGCGGTTAACCCGTCCAAATTGCCGGTATCCATAGTCTATCCTATGCGCTTGTTGAATAATTTCAGTAGGTTGTTCGCTGGAGTTTGTGGTGGTGAAGAGCTGTCGGTTGCAGAACGGTACGGTTTCGGTAATGGCGCCTTGTACCTGGTGGCTGGTGGGCCATGAAAGAGCTGCCCCACATAATCAAAACAGCCCCATCATCAAAACACCTCTCCATTACCAGGGAAATGGCGAAGTGCGTTGGTTATGAGGTCGTCACAATGGGGAATCTGTCAGACTGTAAACTGTGGCATCTTCACTGAAATCTGATTTTTTCCGCAGACATATATGGTATTTTCCGGAACAGGCAGACCCCGCCACTCATGGTTTTTTGGTCAGGAGCAAGCCTGTGAAACTACGCCGGTAGACTGCGCTATTGTAGAATGCCGACCGGCAGTGGCCTGGTAGATGTAATTCAGATGGGCATATAAGAGCATACGGCGTGGCCGCCTTAGCAGTATTACAACTTGCGGGGGTACAAACGGCGTTGTCTTTACTGAGTAGAGACAGCGCTGTTTACATCCCCGCAAGCGATAACTCGACGATGTGAAGATAATTGTTGCCTATGGAATATTCGACCAATGGATCTTGGAGGGGCGATATTCTTGGCGCGGAACACAGCTGGTAAAAAAAGCTAGGGTAGGGATGAATCCTTGGAATTCAGTTGCACTCAACTGCCATGGACTGTTGTCATACAGTTCCGCATCTCCTAGCTCGATGTTTCCTGTTGTATTGGTGTGGAGCGATCGGAATGATGTTCCGTTGCCAAAGAAGCGGTTACCCAGTCCAAATTGCCGGCGTCCATACTTTGCACTTGCTCAGTAATTTGAGTGGGTTGTCCATTCACAACTGACGGCTCTCGGCCATCAGGAACTTCCAGTGAAGTTCACTGGCAGTTTGTGGTGGTCGAGACCCGTTAGCTGTGAACTGTCCGGTTTCGGTAATGCCGGCTTGTACTTGGTCGGTGGCCGGCCATGAAAGCCTCTCCACATCAAAACTGCCCCATGATCATAATACGTCTTCATTTCCATGAAGTGTTTTGATCCTGGGCAGTTCGCAACGGTCGCATGAGAGTGTGGAATCTGCTAGAGTGTAAACTGTGGCCCACTCCACCAAATCATTTCTGCGAAATATGCTACGTGCAACATTCTGGCACTATTACGCTGGAATATGCCAAGCGTCAGCGGCAACAAACGCATCAGTGTAGGAGTGAACGGCAGCAAACGCATCTTCCAGGAAATATCCTTATGCTTAATAACTTTATGGCTACGTGACTAGCTGCTCCTATTTCCAGTATCCCGTACATCTGAAATTCCCCAGGAGTATTTATCGATCAGTAGTGGCTCTCAACACGCACACCCGCTTCCCAGTTATCCGCACAGAGCTACAATTTCAACTGCAGGTGTACACCGATAATGTTTTCCTCTCGCAGGTAGCAAAAACTACATCAGACGGATCAAGTAAACCGGATGAACGTACTCGTCTGATTAAACTATTTATTGACTTTACGCCCTCTGGCAAAAGGATAAAAAAGTAGCGTCTGTAAGAGGAAGGCTATCGAGACCGTCACTGATCACCGGCTATAGATTTCTCGTTTGTGTTAAACGAAGATGCTCCTTGTAAACAGATTGGCCTTCCCTCAGGAAATCGATCGATACCAGTGAGAAGTAAGAGATTATAAATATTATTTAATTATTATTTCTACCACCGTCATACAGCTGCAGGACTGCAGGTAAATCGGAGCCGGCAGACAGCTGCAGGACTCCACGGTTGTGTCATTATGTCATTAATGACCCAATGACATTAATGACGGGCCGAACCATCCATAGCGGGTGCTAGGTTCATGTCATGTCATATAGGAGTATCCTGCCGTATCTCATGCGAAAGCCGTCGGTTGTGGACTGTCCAGTTACAGTCCATGACCGAAACCGGAGAGTCCACAACCGAAGGCTTTCAACCACCACAAACTCGGTAATGTCGCCTTGTCCCTGGTCGCTGGCCGGCCATGAAAGCCGTTCCATATAATCCACACCGCCCCACGATTAAAACACTTCTCCCTTTCCACGGAGAAGTGTTTCGATCGTTTTCATGGGACGATTGCCTATGGGGACGTGAGAGTGTGAAATCTGCCGGACTGTAAACTGTGGCATCTCCACTGAAATCATATCTGTGACGTATGGTGCGAGGCGGTGCGGTCCGGCCTGGTCCAGCATTCTGCCACGATTTACCTTCCGGTTCGGTCTCCCATTTTGCTCGATATTTCCGCAATAGACAATTAACACCAGCGATCAACGCAGTAATCACATATCGAAGTACGAGAAATCGGCAGTCATGATAAACTAAATTAAACTTCACTTCCAAATCGGCGAGACAGCCAACGGTTCCTTTTGGTTTGACCAACGGGTGGTCCAACGAAAAGAAATCTTTGGCTGTCCCGCTGGCTGCGCACACCAAGGACTGTGAAACAATTTATGCTGGAATATGCCAAGTGTTAACGGCAACAAACGCATCAGTGCATTGAAATGCTCCAGCTTACGGTAAATTCATCCTTATGTCTATAAGTAACGTTATGACTTCGTGTCGAGCTGCTCCCTTTTCCAGTATCCCATACACCTGCAATTTCCCAGCAGTATTTGTCGATCAATAGTTGCCCTTAACACGCACACCCGCTTTCCAGTTATCCGCACAGAGCAGATGCAGCGGCAGCTCTACCCGGATAACTTTTTGTTCTTGCAGGTAGCAACTGCATTAGATGGATCAAATAAACCGGATGAACATACTCGTATGATTAAATTATTAATTGACTTTACCCCCTCACGCAAAAGCTACCCAGGTAGCGTGTGTAAGCGTAGGACTATCGAGACAGTCACAGTTCACAAAAGCCGGTATTTGCTTAGCCAACCGCGACCACAAAGGGTATACAGAAAAGCGTGCCAATAATTTGTGGAGCAATCGGATTGCTCATTGTACGTACTTCACGCAACGAGGTTACATTATCGTGAACCAATTTGACGCAGGTCTGACGTAATCGTTAGCGCTCAGTAAGGAACGCTGAGGGTCCGAGGAAGTTGCGCAAAAATTAACTGCAAGAATTTCTGCAGCATTATTGGAATATTTGTTTATAATAACTGATTATTAACTGTTGCTGGTGGCCTTGAATTAAAAAGATTCTAACCCGCAGTATTAACGCTAGTACCCTTATTTTGCGTGTCGAATCATGCGGGCAAAAGAGCGGTAAACTGGAAATAACAATTTAATTACTTGTTCAGGAGAAAACAGATTAATACTGTAGCTAAAACCCGGTACACAGCTGCAGCTGATCCTAGCGTGTTTATACGAGTATAACCGGCACAAGTACGCCGTGCTGTATCGATTTTCTTTCCGACAGTCACACATGGCAGCGTGTGAGAACCTGACGGTGAAGCGAGTTTGAAAGCGCCTGCGGCGTCGTGTAGTAGTACTAGCAGCGTATTGCATGACATGAACATGTGCGCGCAGTTTCCGTGCAGAGTGCAGTTTAAGGTAGCCTACACATTGAACAGTGCGATCTCCGTGTGAATGTGGATTTCTTTACGAGCTTTCTTAATTCTTCATAATCTTCTTGTACAATGTGTGCATTTTTAGAAAACCTTATAAGTCCGCAGTGCGTTGCTCGACAGACACTAGTAAGATAGGAGTAATACTCTTACAGAATCAGAAAGGATGGTGCTAGCCTGATTTGAAGAACGGTTTTCATAAGACGAATGGCCCGATATATGCCCATGGTACCAGCTTCGGGTACCATCCGAATATATGGATCTTAGAAAGCTGGATGTTATTTTACTGTCTGGATGGAGCATTCGGAGAGGAGCAGCGCAAGAAAGCGCGCCAAGCTGAATGATTCTTCTACGCACACTGGTAGGGCCCCTTTTACGCATTGAAGCCTGGGAACGGTCACAGGCTTTCCCTCCGAAAAATTTTGTTTCTCGTTTGAGGATAACAGGGAGCGGGAATACTTAAAAATAGCTTCATCGGTAGTGGTTCAGTGGGCGCGGTCAGCAGCAATTGTTAGGGATAAACGTATCGTTCCACATTGTATTAAATGCGAGAATATTTACCATATTTGTGTATAAACCGGTGAAATTCGATACTTTTATCCTTTACAACTGATTTCGGCCACGCCCACTGGTCCATCGCAACTGAAACTCATACTATTTCCGTCTTCAAATAAAAATGTTTTCGGAGATTTCCGGAATCTTCCCCCTCTGACTTTGACGCTTGTGGCTGTAAACTCACTAAAGGCACATTACAATCATCGTTGCAGTTTCCGTTGAGGATTTACCATCAGCGCATGCAGCGAGCTCGTCCGTATTAGATGCCCAAGCAGACCGAACGGATGTGGAGCTGATGGTGCGTGGGTATTTTAACGAGGATTTTCAGCCGACGCCGACGACTTTTCCTCCCGGCTTCCGCAAAGTTATCCGTCCAAGTGGTCAGTTGTCCGTGTCACGTCTTACCAGACACCATGCGTAAGCTGACCGACAACATATTTTTATTCTGTACAGATCTCGAGGGCTTCATGAGTGTCGCAGCGACATTTCGCCCACTATTGCCTTCCAGTTCATATTCCAGTATTTATGCCAGTTTGAACGGTTCGCGCGATGTGATGCTGCAGAAAGCCGGTGGCGCGGTGTGTGCGGCGTACGAGATCGCCTACGGAGACCAGATTGCCGTGTTCTCCGCGTTTATGACATCCGCCCTTAACTCCCAACAGATACCGGTGCGGTAGCAGTCCTTTACTCCATCTGTACATATACGGTTTACTGAGACAGTGCTTTTACGGAAATCTGTACATGGGCGTGGAAGTTTTTATGCCATAATCAAATTCTGGCCAAGTTCCGGGTGGTATCTGGCGTTAGCTTATTTTTGTTGTCTGTTGGGCAGTTTCAGCCGCAGACAACACTGGAGCGCGTACTGCTACAAAATCAAGAGAAATGTGAAGATGACAAAGCCCGTCTGGCACAGTTTGTCGCCATGCTGCCGGGCTTCGAGGACCTTTGTCCGGCTGATCGCGGTATTTTACTGGAAGAGAAGATCTTCATCAGTAGTTTGGTACGGGTTGAAATTGTGTTATCATTAATGCCCTTCCTCTTGTACTTCATGTTGCTGTTCGTAGTTGCACTACATGAAATATTTCCACAAGGGAGAATATTACTGCGTCATGCCGGGCCCCGAGCAGATTCACGTCAACCGCTACTGGATGGAGCTGATGGGTCTGGATCCCGAACTCGTCCGATTCTGTTACCATTTCAGTGCGGTGTTTAACGGGATCGGGTTGACACTGACGGAATCCTACCTGCTCATGGCTGCAGCATTTTTTGATCCGCGTAAGCATAGAAGAGAGGATAACAGTTGTGCATCTAAATAATCCCTGTACTAGCTGTCGTCACGCGGCGGGAGTATGACGTTGCGGCAGTACACGGTCCTTATGTACATGCTTGTCCCATAATTTCCTACGTAAAGGTACAGCTAGCGCGAAGTTGGCGCTTTAAACGATGGCCACGTCACTACTTTGATCGGACTTAGATTCGCTCCGCAGTTAAATTGTTTCTTACTGCACCGACCGATTTCTAATTTTCTCTGATTAATAGTTACTCTAATTAATAATTAGCATATACATACGCACCATGTATAGCCACAGCGTGTCAGTCCGACCGGCTGACGGCAGCAAGTACAGGGATTATTTAAATGCGCTACAGACATTCCCTCATTAATTTTCACCTGGTGATGTATTACTTTATGTTTTGCAAAGGGCTTGTAATTGACTCAGCGCTTCTGCAGTCTCACAGTCCAGTTGCTCTTTTTCACCGAATTCACTCAACGTCATTGACTTGGGGGTTTTCTGTAGATACCACGACGGCCTCAAACAAATCCCTACTTGGACAACTGCACACGTTTTACGCCGACGCGCTGACGTATGTGATCGGCACTTTGCGCCGGGATCCGGTGGAACGTGCCGCGGTCTTTCACAAGCTGAACCAAACGGCCAAATGGTTCCCCATGGTGCACCAAATCTCCCGTGGATGGTATAATAACGCGTATGTCGACCGAACACTGCCGCCGTTTCCCGCACCGCTGCGGACGCTGCTGCAAGACTGCTTGAAACACTAAATTTTTTCAACCATATTCATACGGTTTTGTATGAGTTCCCCTGCTTTTACTCCCAGCGATTAACTCATAGAAAAACTTTGTTACTGTTCGTAACTCCAATTTACAAGTAGAGTTACGTCTGAAAGCTGATGATAATCAGTATTAAAAACTATATTAAAATTCAAACAGCGTTGAGCCGGTTGTGAAATTTGTAATGAATACGAATAAAACATTACAATTGTAACAATATTTGTTACATTATTAAAATTTTCAATAATGCAATTTTTTATTTTTTTTATTTTTCGTGTTATTGTGGAGCAGGTGCTTTTGCACAGCTTATTGGTTCAATGACAATGAGACGGGAGTCGCATTGCATGTGCTTCGAATGAGAAAGTTCATAGCGAGATATGGACCAAGTTCTGGAAACAAGAGCTATGGCTTTTTTGTGGAATGGCCAAGACTCTGGACTGCAGTGAAAATGTTAACAAAAATCCTAGTGTTGTCGATTATTGTGGCAAATGCCTGCTCGTTAAAGGCAAGACTACGCAGTACGCACCCCAATTGGCTGCTTCTTGGTTTTCAGCAGTATCTGGGACATAAACACTATCAATGCATCACATTGCAAAGACGTCCGTCCTATTACATTTTCCCAAACAAAAAATCTCTTGTCCATTCCTATGTTTAAAAATACTGCTCCAATGAAAAATTTTGATTATTCCCAAGTAAAAAACCAACTGTTACAAATCCTGTGCATACGAAATCGATACACATGCAGTTGCCGAACGGCTAGCGAAATGGTTGCTGCGGCTAAATCACGTGCATGTAGGCTTTCTGCATAATCCACTCGTCGAGGCGGTCGTCGCTGCGGAACCAGCATTCGTACCACCCGGCGTGTTCCCACCTTACGCTTTTGATCTTCATCGTAGAGTCACACATACAGCGTTCGGCGCATAGAAAACTCAAAATGTCCATCAAAGCCGCGCCACGGTCTGGCCTTATCGGCTACATCCGGGATGGATTTGGTCGCCAGCAGGGAGTGTCCCTTGCGCCAGAGGAAGCGGTTGACGAGGTACCCTGGGAGATAATTAAAGCGGACCGGGCAGACCATTTCCGCGGGTTCGCCGTAGCGGACGGTGAGGTTCTTCATCGGGGGATCGAAGACCTCGTGGCGAACGAGGGTGGCGCTGATCCAGTAGCGCCCTGTCACCACCAGCTGGCTGCCGTTGGAGTGCAGGCACTCGTATAGACCGCTGGCGGCGTACGTGAAGTTCTCCAGGGCGATGGTAAAAGGCACCCGTCGCCAGGTCGTAACCGGGCACTATCAGCCTGCGCCATATAACAAATCTATCCCCGGCACTGTCTTCCTCTGTGCAGTTGCAGCAGTAACTCTTTTCCTTAGACGGTTCTCTGATTACTTCGGCCTCTTTAATAACAAAAAGCTCTCCGTTGCGGGTAAATGCTGGTGGCATCGCGATGTGGGACACCTGCGTGTGAATGCCGACCGTCATTGATTTACATGTACGAGGATCTGTGGAAGCCACATAAAAAAACGACGAAACTAATTTAATTGTGAAGACCCACGAAGGTTTCCCACCCAAGTTACTAGTACTACGAAACAGTATGCTGCCGTTCTCGGTGCCCGCGTGGGCACTGTTCGGTCTTGCACGGCACTATAAAGCTACAGTTGCGTTCTAAAGCGTGTACCCAATGCACCGGTTGATAGTGAGGTCCTGTACATACCTGCAGATTGCCCGTGTTGTTACAACTACAAGGAATGAAGACCGTGCCGCCTTCGGCCGCTCGGATCAGCACAGTCTGCGGCGGCCATTCCGCTATGGGGAATCGCGGAGTCGGAGGAGCTCTCCCGTATCCCTGCAGATGTATGGTGCCGGTGCCGTTGCGCAGTTTCGCCCTGTCCAAGATCTCGTTGACTGTAGAGAAATACGATGTGAACGCAACGGGTGCCAGCTGCCTGCTCCTTGAGCTCCATACTGATTGCGGTTATTTTTCTATATGTGCTACCATCGATTCTCTGACCTTCATTTTGTTTGCCGACACTCTGCTGACCGACATATCGCTGATTCATACAGCCTCCTGACTGACCGACAAATCGCTTTTCGACAAATTGGCTGCCCGAAGTTTTGCAGACCCTATTTTGTTGACCGAGAACTTGCTTATCGGGCTGCTTTCTGTGTGTCTTTGCTTTTCAGGTGTTTTTTCTTGAGTTTCTAAGCTTACCTTGGTTTCATATGAGGTATGTTTTCTTCTATTCTTGTGTGCTTTTTATACTGGTTATCATCGTACGTTTTCTTGCTTATTCTTTTGAGTGATATCTTATGTTGTTTTTTTTTCTGTTTTTTATGGGTTTCTATATCTTTTTATATTTTTGTGCATATTATGTTATTCTTAGGTTTCGTATGATTTCTTATGGTTTCTTAGGTTTTCTGAGTCAACGGATATCGTCAGCAAAATGTCAGGGTTAAGCGAATTGTCATTCAGCAGTTTGTCGATCATCAGGTTGTCGGTGCAACGAATTGTCGGGTAACATTTTGTCGATCAGCAAAAAGTCGTCAGCAAGTTGTCGTTTAGCAAATTGTCGGTTGTGCCGTCTGTGTCTATTCACGGGGAACCGAATTTGAGCACCGCAAACCAAGAAAAAGCAGAAACGAAGCGGTGAATTACTTTCTAAACATACAGTTAAACTTGTTGAAACAAATACAGATCAGGTGTCTTCCTGATCGGATTCTTTTTCCCGCCGCAACCAAAGTCGTACGTGCCTGTGCCACAAATTGTTGGCACAACCTGCCAAGACAGAGGGGACTACGAAATTTGTCCTGCCGAAGCCGCGTTGACTTACGTCTGTCTACGCTGATCCCTTTCTGAGTCGGGCACGTGAGGCTTCCAGGTAGGAGTGCCAAAATCACCACCGCCACGAGATGACAAGCCATTATCGGGAATTCCATAGAAAAAAATGACGAAACAGTAAGTAAAAGAAATCAAGTGCGAAGAGAAAACATATGGAAAAACTCAAATACAATAATATCTGTACATAAAATTTTGGTCTTCCTACTGGGAAGCCTCAGGTGCCTCACTGATTGTGCCAGTTTACCTGTGGTTCTGCACGTGGGCCCGCAGCGAGGGGGTTGCATTATTCACTAGCGACGTAGCGAGTGCGAGCGCTGGGAACGGCTCAGGTCCATAGACTCAGTGTATAAATGACACCTAACTTATAAGGCTCGCTACGCCACTGCTAAGTGTTACCGATGGATTGCCAAAATCTGGCTTCCTTTGCGTTGTTCAACCCATTATGCCCGAACGACGAGGATTTGTAGATAGGAACTAGAAACCATCGAATCTCCACTTCGAAAAAGCACAAGTTCGGTTCAAACAGAACCCGTCCAAATAAACCACTGCAGGCACTGATCACGGCCGTTGGAATGTATCGTATCTGTATTTACAGATGTGTCTAACCACATTTGATTGCTAACACGTCCCGCCAAAAACAGCCGTGACCATTTCGAGAGAAAAAAACCTGCGACGAAAACCCCTAACTATTCCACAGCATAAATGTAAAACTTCCACGAAACTTACGGAATATTCCAGAGTAAAAAAGTGAAACCAATATGATCGTAATAAGTATGATGGTACTGTGGTACTGATACGTATATAGAAGCATATACAGTACAGACTTAACAAATGGTAGTGACCATTCCAAAGTAAAGAAATGCAGTTTTAAGAGGAAGCTTTCACTATTCCACGTTAAAACCCAACTGTCATATACTGGTGCCAGGAAAAAAAATAAACTTGCTAGAGCAGATTTTTATTTTGGTTGTTTTTTTCAGAATGTGGTATGTACTGTAGGATTGTTATCGCACTGTGACTCTACGAAGCTATGTTATCATTTTAAGGTTTCCCACTGCCACTGTTCGCCCCAACCTCATACAGAAGATGTATGTATAATGTACGTTTGTACGGTAAGTACAGGTGTATGTATGTAGGTACACGCAGTTACCGAAGCGCTCGCTCGCTAGCAAAATGGCGGCTAGGCTTAAATGACGTTCAGATAGGCTTCCTGCATAACCCACTCGTCGAGGCGATCGTTGATGCGGAACCAGCATTCGTACCAACCGGCGTCTTTCCACTTCACCCTACGGATCGTCATAGCGCAAAGGCACTGAGCCTGTGCGTTGGCGCCGCACGCAAACATCCCTTTAAAGTCCGGCCGTGACGCATCCGTGTAGATCACCGGTGGGATGCCGTATGGCAGGTTCACCAAGAAGCGTCCCTTGCGCCACAAGAAGCGCGTGACGAGGTGTTCGGGCAGAAACTTGTAGCGCACCGGGCACTCCATCTCCGCGGGGTCGCCGTAGCGGACGGTGACGTTCTGCATCGGCGGACTGAAGACCTCGTGGCGAACGAGGGTGGCGCTGAGCCAGTAGCGCTGCGTCACCACCAGCTGGCTGCCGTTGGAGTGCAGGCACTCGTACAGACCGCTGTGGGCGTTCGAGAAGTCCTCCAACGTCAGGTTAAACGCACCCGTGACTGGATCGTAGGCGGACACCTGCACCTTGTTCCACACCATCTCGTCCCCGCAGTAGGCTGATTTTGCGCAGTGGCAATAATATTTTTCATCCTGTAACGCTTTTTTTAGATACCGTGAGGTTGGAAACCGAGTCCTGCACTCCGTTGTACGTGTACGCCGGCGGAATCGTAAAATGGGAAACCTTCGCGATAAAACGTAAGAAAGATTAGAAGAAACATTAATTCAAGGACAGCTTTTAGGTTGTAAAAAAAACGGTATGACAAATATAACAATTAAGGTAGAAAATATGTTTATTACGATCACGAACGTTAGTTTTGTCACGGCAATACATGAACGAACGTCATGCAATTAAAAGGACGAGGCTGATTCAAACTAATTTTCTTGGTTTCACGCGTCAGCTGATTCTTCCAAAATCGTTTAATGCGTATTATCCACAGCGAAAGACGTACTCCTGCATCAGTTATTATTACTTGCTGAGTTTGTCTGCTTGCTCTCAACGGACAGCTTGCGCATACGTCGTACAGCATAAATAAATTCAATCAAAACGGATGGTTATGAGTGACACTTATGACTTAGGAATTTAAAGACAGCGCCCCATACATACCGGCGTGTTGTCCTTTTTGCGGCTGTTGTTGCAGAGAATCACCAGTGTTCCACCCTCTGGCGCCCGAATGATCTCCGTCTGCGGCGGCCATTCCGCTGTCGCCGTTCCCTCGGGCGTCGGACCGTTCCCGTACCCGTGCAGGTACATAGTGCCCTTCCCGTTAAGTCGTTTAGCCTCGTCCAGGATCTCGCTTACTACAGAAAACGGATTATTATTAAACGGAGAACGCAACAGGTGGACAAGTGTACAATGTACGACAAAAAGAGGTTGAACCGATCAGTCGGTCCGCGGTTCAAAATAACCTCGCAACGACACGCCACCACTAAAACTTGGACGCTTACTCACTACTTTCAGACGCTCGCGCTCCGTTAATATCAAAGTGCAGCTATACTAGTTGCATATCAAAAGGTGTAGAAAAAATTTTTAAACTTTTTGATACTAAACCTGTGGCTGTTTCTGGCGAACAGCACAAATTCTAGCCATTTTGCTTTCCCATAGACTTAAGCATTGATTGCAAGCCAAACGGTTATGCGCACAGATCCTATGCTGTGCCTACGAGAAAGCAAAATGGCTAGAATTTGTGCTGTTCGCCAGAAACAGCCACAGGTTTAGTATCAAAAAGTTTAAAAATTTTTTCTACACCTTTTGATATGCAACTAGTATAGCTGCACTTTGATATTCACGGAGCGCGAGCGTCTGAAAGTACTGAGTAAGCGTCCAAGTTTTAGTGGTGGCGTGTCGTTGCGAGGTTATTTTGAACCGCGGACCGACTGATCGGTTCAACCTCTTTTTGTCGTACATTGTAAAGTATGCATAATGCCCATAACGTTTTTCCCATTTTAAATCACCTTTTCCCATTTTAAATCACCATGCCACGGCAAGCGGATATTGTGGGGCACAAACGATTTTTAGGCTAATGAGTACAAATGACCTAAGGCCAATGTGTGTATTTTCCAAGATTCATGAGGCTAATGTGTACCTTCCTGAAAGAACAATAAATCTTGATCATCTTCAGGTAATCAAAGCGACCGCATCACACACACACACACACACACAAACTGTCACGCCTTTATTTGGGTATGACCCTAATCTGCAAGAAAACTCTGCTAATTACGTATGCCTTTGCTATGGTAGGATAATTTTTTTTGGGAGCGAAGAAAGAACATGAAGCCGCACGAACGTAGCAATGCTGACGTCAGCAAATGCTGCAACTGCCACGTTTGCTGCTGGGCATCTACCGAAATTGTGCCGTTCGCAGTTGGCAGTTGCTATCTTTAATTTGTAAATAAAACACCCAGAATAACCGCGCCGACTTCACAGCGAAGGAAAAGAGCCGGTTAAACGAACCGGGAATCATGAATGGGCACCCCGCGATTCGTGGTCCCCAACAGCTCTCTACTTAGAAGGTTTCTCAGGTACCTTTAGTTTCTTAGGGTATTCTTTCGTTCGCATCTTGGGTTCTTGGCGTTTTAAGAAACTCAAGAAAATTAAGAACCCTAAGATCTAAGTTCTAACAAAAACTAAGAATCTAAGAAAACTTAAAAACCTACGAAAACTAAAAACCTAGGAATAACATAAGATGAACTAAGAATAGCCTAAGAAAATAGAAACGAAACCTTAAACCTTTGATAAACTTAAGAACCAACGTAACCAAGAAACCTAAGAATATCCTAATTCCTAAACAACCTGAAAACGTTAAGCAGCCTTACATGATCAGCTCCTACGTAGTGAGGACAATGCGGATCAATGTCAAACACCAATGCAACTCTAGCGTCTTTTGGGTGACAATTTCCAGGCACTATAGATGTACTTGCCGGGAGAGAGAGGAGCAGACTACCGAAAACTGCTGCAGACCTACTTCTTGCGGCAGTCAGATGCTCCACCGCAGCCAGAGCAGGACGCATAAGGCTGCCACTGAGGAACAGGAGAATCACGGCAGCAGAATCAGATACGACAACGCGAGCCATTATCGATGAATTGGCTGGAATGGACATGGTAAACAGAGAAAAAAAATATGACCTGCGGGTTGACAGGTTGCAGTACATTACGTCACTGAGTATAGTACATAAAACCTCGCTAGTTTTGTTGCGATTTATAGCGACTGGCATGCGCAGTTAATGCGCTGCTTGATATTAATTTCACAACTTTCGTGACCAGAATGGGCTGGCTGATGGCACCGGATGGGGGCTGCACTGTCAACCGGCAGTCAGAAAATTGCCGACCGGTTTCCATGTGTCGGCAGGACAACAGCCGCGCGACGGAAAGGCTGTAGATATATTATCACTTCGTTGCAGACTGTATTAGCACATCATACATGTGATAAAGTATGCCGCGAGAGATGATCAAACATTCCGATGATCGACAGCAAAATCCAAATTAATAATTTTTCTTCAAATCGACATGGTGCATAAGTACATAATATGATAATATGATACAGTCAAACCGTTTTGATACCTGTTCTACCGACTCAATGTCGCCTGAAGCTTGTTCGCAAATCACAACTCTACAGTTTTTTTAATTTTGCATACATACAAAAAACTTTGGAAAACTGATGACAATAACATTAAAGCTACAAACTTAAACAGCGTGGAGCCGTTTTTGAAATGATTTGAAATGAGTCTGAATCTGAGACTGAATATAAAATACGACGTTTCCAACTTCGCTCATTCATCCCGCGCGTTTCACACGGTAGATGATCTGTCCCGGTTCGTAGCCAGCCAATTCGAACACCTCCTTCGTGACCGGGTGCTCCGGCATCCAGTTAGCATACTGCTTGAAATCTGCATACCGCACCACCCGCGTATCCCCGAAGGGATGTGTAAAGGTCACCGTCCGCGGTTCTCCCGCACCGCCTCCTTCGTATCCCCGCAGCACCACGGCGCCGATATTGGGATGGGTCGGCGGAAACACCGCGCCGTAGCCGGCCGCCACGGCAATCTGTCGCACTCCCTCGTCCATCGGACGGTCGTTCCAGCACACCTGCGCCATCACCGGCTCCCCGCGGTCCAACAACGGCCGGATATCCGCCCAGGTGGCGTGTCCCCGGCAGACGTACTGGTAGTCGCGGGTGTAGGCGTTCATCCATTTGGCCACGTCCGGGAAGGACGGGCCCAGCGTCGGGATGAAAAGAGAAATCCCAGCGGAGAACCGCGATGTTCCTGGCTGTGCCAGATAGGTCACGCCGCGGCAGAGTAGATCGGCGAAGACATTAACGGGACCGGCGGCGCGTTGACCCGGGTCCAGGTGGCGTCGCAACACGGCGCGGAACTTCTCGTCCAGGGGCTTCCCGGGGTCCACGTTCTTCTTGACCCGCTCGATCTCCACATGATAGTACGCGACGGGGAAGTGGGTTTGCTCGCGGTGGTGCATGAGGACCCGCGCGCCGCAATTCACCCCGACGTCCCACTGCATCTCCTTGTCGGGGGCAGGAATGTCGTCGCCGTTGTTCAGCAAGAATTCGCGGGTGTTTTCCACATGGCTCGCATCTAACAATTAAGGGAAATGTGCCGGTACAAGGTACCAAATTCTAGTATAAACGCTAAAACTTTCGCTTTCGCGCACTCAGAACGGCTTCTCCCATTGCTTTATGACATCCTATAGCCAAATGATTTGTGCACCTCTGTGTGCTTAAACTTTGGGATTTTAATTCTACCGATAACTCTCCAGCCGCATGTTGCGCGTAAACGGTTTCACGCCAACATATACAAAACATTCGGCTATAGAACGCCATAAAGCAATGCATAAAAAGTGTATGGGACTGCGCGAAAGCGAAAGTTTTAGCACATGTACCCGAATTTGTTGCCATCGATCACTGCCACGTATCGGAACACTTATCTTAAATGATGTCGCCAAAATAAAAAAGCGAAAACAAAAACAATTTAATGGACCTAATAAAGGTGGGTACCTTGGACAGTTTCCGGGACAGTCGGAGAAAGGGAATCCTTCTGCTGCAGCCACTCGCTGGACAGCATATCCGCGGCACTAATGCGCTCCTTGGGATTCATTTTGAAACACTGGCTCAGTAAGCAGCGAGCCGCAACCGGCGCCCGATTCGGAATCTCCGGCGTCCCGCCCTCCCCGACATACTTCATCAGCACCGTCGGCCCCATCCACTCCCCGACCACCAAGGCGTCCATCGCGACGGTCTTCCCTTCCACCAGTTTCACAAACCGGACCGGCTGCTCGTGGCGGTACATGTCGACGAGGATACAGCCGACGCTCCACATATCACTTTTCTTCCCAGCGGAATATCCGCGCATCATCTCCGGTGCCATGTAACGGACGGTGCCGGGGGCGTGCAGATCAAGGAGAGTCACTGTGGAGGTCAGCAGCGCGAGGTGGTCATCGAGATCGGTAATTTTAGCGCGTCGGTGGTAGGGGGCGCTGGCGTCATAAGCCAAGACGATGTTGGCGGGTTTCAGGTCACAGTGGACGATCTTAAGGGCGTGGATGGCCACCACGCCGGTCAGGGTCTGCTGAATGAGGTCCTTAATCTCCTCGTTCGTCAGCGGGGCGCTGCGGAGCAAGCTGTCCAGCGAACCAACTAGAGAAATGATATTGTAAAGAAGTATATCATTCACTTCATCCAACCTCTTACCAATGCAAAACGTTTTCGGTTCAAGCTTGTCGACAAACTAAAGATGTAAAGCTACTGGTACATAAAGCGATATTAGCGCAAACTTGGCCTGTGAATAACTACATTACCCTAACACTACACTACGCTTATGATCGCAATGCTTAAATGAGCTCCGCAGTTAGGCTGTCACTTACTGCATCGACCGTTTTCTAGCCATCTTCCGCCAGGCAGCTGCAATTATTCTCGCTAAAATATCTGGCGTTCACCAAGAAACCAGCCAGCAAAATGCCTGTTCCGTGGCTAAACAATGTGGCGTGGCGCGCCGTAGTATGGATTTATGAATTTGTTATGTTCGCTGTATTGTAGCGATAGACGTTGTACAACCATAAGACCACCCTGTTATGATTCATCATTACGTTATGCATCTGTTCATTTTACCGGCTAGCTCTTCTTCTTCACAATTTCTAGAATGCAGTCTTGCCTTCGCTTGTTACAGCGTGCATCAGCTTGATCAGCTTGTTCTGCTTGTTAAACTCTTGTCTAAACCTTGGTCCCTGTGTTGCATTGTTCTTGTCATTAAACATGCCGTGAACTTCCGTTGTTACGTTCAGTAATTGTGTTACGTCAGTAAGAGCGTCCACGACCGCGCCGTTGCCGGTCGTGCCAACCTTTCATCCCAACAGCCCACAGAACATCGTGGTACGGTCAACACGCCAACCCACTAGAACAGCAGCCAGATCGGCTACTGTTACATGGCGCTCCTGTAAAAGAACCATAACACCCGGACGCCTGCAGCCTGAACTCGCGATTTCCCAACATCGCCACTTCCCACACCAGCCGCCGGAAGTCTCAGGCCTAACTAACCATTTCGTGAGTGTTTTACAGCGCAGTTTGGTACCAGCAAAAATTGCATCTATCAAGTTTGATATTTATTAAGATCAACCATCGTAATACTGCGAGTGACTTTTTCAGTTCAGTTGTCGGACTTTTAATGGTTCTTTCTTTCTTGATGCAAGTACTGCAATTACATCCGACATTATTTACCAGCCGTTTACTTTATGTGCATGCACTGCAATAAAGCGTATAATTAATTCTTTTCAATTTTGCATATTTATCCGTGTAATTCCAAAATTACTGGCGCAGTTAGCCACGTAGGTAGCACACCTTAGCTAACTTTGTCCTGTCCGAATATCTATTTACGTCGTTTTCGGGAATTCCAGCAAATTTGCCGGCACGGCACTACAAGTCAGTCTCACGGTTCATTCTACCTTACACTTTACAGTACGTTCGCTTTGTCTTGCACTTTGCGTATTCCAGCCGTCTATCTTTTTGGCGCCGACTGAGTTGAGCACAAACCCATTAGCAGTCACGCTCCGCGTACGCAATGGAGTCCATAAAACAACAGCTTGACATTACATTCACTCGGAATGCTTTACGTGACATCTGTAAAAATTTTAATGTAAAAACCGCTTCAAAAAACACGAAGGCTAATATGATAAGCGCGCTCTCTACACATATGTTTGTAAACCACATTTCTGTGGATCAGCTCCACCGCTCCCATTCTCCTTTGGTCGATGAGTCAGTAACACCGACTGAGAACACTGTACAGAGCAACACCGCATCATCCACACGTTCTTACACGCAGAGGGATAGTCTGCCAGAGCAGATCACTGCAGAGCGTACTGAAGGCGCTCAATGCAGTTTCCCAACGCTCAGTGCAGCAGGGCGCACACAAGCCAGCACACATGCTGCAGAGCCGGTAGCGCGCAATGCTTTCGCACAATCAGCTAACAGAGAAATTAATCATATGGGTCGTTGTGAAAGTACTTCTAACGGCTTTGCTACCGACAATGACGGCTGCGCGTACCATCATCGTGCTTTTCACGAGTATCACAGTAAATCGGATGACCGCCGGTCAGATAATGCGCACCGAAATCGTTCTCACCGTGAATATTACAGTCGTTTCAGTGACTCAGATAGCAACCGGTCACCCAGTTTACACCGCTATCGCGCACGACACCGTTCGTACTCTGCCGATAGCAATTGTAGCGATGAAAATTACGCTGTACGTTTCCGTTATTCGCCCGAAAGTGATCGTAATTACGAATGTTATCGCAAACCGCACCGCCGTCAGTCGCCTGCCCGTGACCACACAAAGTATTATAATCGCAAAAATTATAACGTTGACAAGAAAATACATCCGAGGTATATTGACTTTGACAGCTACAGATTAGACAACGGCAAATTGTTTTGTCCAAAGTGCCTGGATATCTTCCATTCGTACGGAGAATGCACAAATTACAGTCGTGGTGACAAATACATTATACCGCGAATATGCCCAGATGACATAAAAGCAGATGTTCAGGCAGAATACGATGACTACGTACACTACATGGTGGGGCAAAAAGGAATGTCCTTCTTGTACAGTAAACAGTGGAAAAGAATGAGTTCCTACAGGAAAGGCGGACCGTATAGCTATGGCTATGTACCGCCTGTGTTCTACAGCGTTTCTGAAATTAACTTGCACAGTAATCGCTCAGATGATCCGGCATCTCGATGCAGGAAAATATTAACTGAGCAACGAGAAGAAATGCACACACCCGTTATTTTAAGACCACGCACACCATACATCAAAACTGCAGGCACTGCAAAATTAAATAATACCGTCTCGAATGCGACAACTTCAGGGGAAATAGCGAATACGATTCCGCAAAAACTCGAATTATGTGAAACCTTACTGAACGAAATTTCCGATGATTTGACAGCACCGGCATCACCGTCTGTTGCTAAGAAGGAGCACCCATCTCAGTCAGTAAACAATTCTGTAATGCAGAGAGTACCTCAGATTAACTATTCACCATCAACGCTGTTGAAAGAAAAACTAAATGAAATAATTTCTATCGTAAAAAGTATTCGTCAGTCTTCTTTCTACCAGACGTTAACGAGACGTGCGCACCACATTATCTCCCCAAACGCAGATGCACGGGCACTGTACGAAAGCTCCGCTACTTCGTTAAAAACGCCTTCGTTAGTGGCTGTACCTAACGCAGATCGCGAAATCATTAGTACGAGTACGTTACCGCCCAGGTCGGCCAAACATGCACTGTCGGTCGATGATTTGGATGCTACACTGGAGTATATCCGCACTTCTCCATTCTATCAGACATTGTTCACAAGCCCGCAGTTGCTAAACATACCTACTGCTACACTAACTTTTGCCGATGTTCCCACTCCATCCCCACGACGCCGGACGAACGCGAAAAATTTTCGGATACCGTGAGGGAACCAAATCAGCGGATCCTGAGCTGGAAGAAAACTACGAAAGTATTCACTGACCGGACCTGCCGGAACCACTGCCATGATCACCTTTAACAGCACACACCGTACCGTGGCGCCGCACCAGTCCCTTCCCCCTCCGGACACGCCATGCAAGCAAAACCAGTATTTAACCGCATTTAACCTTCTTCACTTTCTTTCTTAATTTCCATTTCTCTTATATTGTCTTGATGAGACAGGTATATCTCATCGCTACCGTGAGGGATGTAGCGATAGAAGTTGTACAACCATAAGACCACCCTGTTATGATTCATCATTAGTTATGCATTCTGTTCATTTTACCGGCTAGCTGTTCTTCTTCACAATTTCTAGAATTCAGTCTTGCCTTCGCTTGTTACAGCGTGCATCAGCTTGATCAGCTTGTTCTGCTTGTTAAACTCTTGTCTAAACCTTGGTCCCTGTGTTGCATTGTTCTTGTCATTAAACATGCCGTGAACTTCCGTTGTTACGTTCAGTAATTGTGTTAAGTCAGTAAGAGCGTCCACGACAGCGCCGTTGCCGGTCGTGCCAACCTTTCATCCCAACAGCCCACACAACATCGTGGTAAGGTCAACACGCCAACCCACTAGAACAGCAGCCAGATCGGCTACTGTTACAGTATTTACGGATGCTCAATTTGTCGACAGGCTTGTACACAAGCAGGATAATTACCACGCATTAAAGCAGTACTGAATACTGATTCTCTGCTTTAGGAATTGAGTGGACCTTTTCCCATGCGTCCCTCAAAAAGCATCTTACCGCGTGCAGCAACTTACAATTTACTTCGTTACCCCATAAAGGTAGTCTACGGTATCTATGTACAGTATTACGGTTCGTAACGTGCATACTTCCACTTTGCTCACTAACGTATCAGTTACTGTACAGTACATTCTGAACTACTGATAACCCGAGTGTACAATTTAGTTCCGAATAATTCCGATTTCTACCATGTTTTATAAGTAAAACTAATATCCCTACACTAGAAATTCGATTAATTTAACTGTGTATTTAATATTATAATGAATATATGTAATTCCTGAATATTTAGATAATTATTCAAGCGAATAAATTTGCACAATTCTACTGACATGTGCAGTATTCCATGACGATGGTGGTCTGCAGAATCGCGTCGAATCCATTGTCCGTATCGTCAACACGGGTATGGTAGTAAGCCACTACGTTGTCGCTGCGGATGCTGCGTATGCGGCGCAGTCTATCCTCGATATTCTCGCGCAGCTGCGCCTTATCCGTGCCGATATCCAGGACATGCTCGGTGATTTTCACGGCCACGGCGCGGTTGGTGGAGCGACCATCGCACCATTCGCTGGCCTCCCACACTTGTCCGAATCGACCGTGTCCAATCTCCGTGGTCAGCTTGTATTCCATCACGCGGTCAGCCTCCGTAAACTCATACACTTGCCCCGCCATCGTGGTGTCAGGGCACGTCAGTAAAATCAAGGCACGAGTGAAAGGCACAATGTTGTAGTTGGAAATTCCCTTTACAGTGCGTAGATAGTAGACACTATGTTACATGCCGGCAGGCTGGAGGCTTTAAAAACGCAAGACTACAGCAATAAAAGGCCGGAGCAATATGAGTACTCGTACTGCAAATTTGTTAACTGTACTACTGCCGTGTAAGCCTGTTGTTGTTACTGCAGTTGTTGATACTATCGCGCACAAGGATGCTCGGGGGCGATTGCGATAGTGATGATTCACGCAATCACGCGTGATCGCCGTCGATCTTGGCAACCTCTTTACCCGACAAGGCTGGCAATCAGCACGCAGTACCGCGCTATAATTAGTACATAGACTCTTTATCAATCGTCAGACTGATGTCAGTAATGTGGTTATTGTGGTATAACGCTCCTGACTCATCCGGCTAGGACGTGGACTGTAGTCGCACTCACGCCAATTCCATCGGCTTTTTCTTTGCGATAGCATCTAATTCAGTTAAGAAGCTTTGCTCTTACAACTTGGTGTCATTACCTTAGCGTACGCCGTATGGAGACGCCTAACTTAAGCGTGTTTTACTCTCTGGTCAAAACGTAATTAATTTTAACAATCATTTCATACTAGAACGCCAGAAAACGGCCGTGTACCAGTGTACCATTCTTTGCGTGCGCGGTGCGCGGAAGACAAATAAATATATTCCTGGATATCCACGGCTCATGCCACTACGCCAACGACTGGCGCAAATGCCCATTCAAGAGAGCATAATCGTAGGAAACGATTCCTATGCGTTCCAACGTGATCCGATTACTGGCAGAGCAGAATCTCTGGGTCGGGGCTCCTTCGGCGTCGTGTACCTTGTCAACCAAGAGATTGACACGACGGCGCGGTACGCCGCGAAGATCCTGCATCCGGCACTTCCCGCCATCGCGCAGCTCGAGACAAACTGGGCGCGGTTGCAGCGACTGGAGCATCCCAATCTAGTCCGGTACTTCCATGCGGAAATGTGCACCAACATCGGAAGGGTCGTGGTCATTATGGAGTACTGCTCGCGTAAGGTCTCTAGCGCATTCTCTGGCACTGCACACTTTTAGTGAGGTGACGAGTTTTGTGGTGTTATTAGTTGGGAATCTGGAGCAGTGTTTGACCCGCCTCCGCCGGAACCCCGCCCACCCGGCCCCGCCCCGAAGGCCCTCCGCGGCTGCACCCGCGACATCCTCCTCGGTCTGCATCACCTCCACACGCAGCGCATCGTCCACACCGATTTGAAACCGAGCAACATCCTCCTGGCCCCCTCCGAGGGCGGTGGCGTGGTGCTCAAGTTGGCGGACATGGACGACCACGTCGGGATCCTGTCCAGCGTCACCGGCTCGGAGATCCGCACCACGCGGGGAACTGTCCGCTACATGGCGCCGGAGATGTTCCGCTTGGCTGCGCAGTGGGATGTGGAGGAGCGGATCGGCCGGAAGTTGGACGTGTGGAGTGCCGGCGTGGTGGTGGTGGAGATGGCGCGCGGGGTGCGGCCGCTACGGCTGATCAAGATGGACAAGGGGCGGCCGGTGGAGACCGACTGGTTGGAGGTGACGGCTGACACACGTGCCTATGCAATCATGGATTTCATGCTCAACCACGGCGTCCCGGTGGTGCTCGACGGGGTACTGCGAGGGTTCGCCGGATTGCCCCGGTGTTTCCGCGAGATCGGAGCGGACCGGCCGACGGCGGAAGAATTGCTGCGGGATCCCTGGCTGGCGGATGAGAGCGACGGCGACACTGGCCAGTGGTGGCTTGGCGATGAGGAGCTTTAATTATATTGTAAGCACGATAAAACTTTGTAAATGGAACCTGTTTTACGTTTGCCGTTCGTACAGAAAAAGTCGTACGTAATTTAGAGATGTATGGACCCAGAGGCAATTTTTCTAGGTGTTCAGTAATTTCGGTACGCGTTTTGGTGTACTTATTTCAGAGGGTGTACGAACTTAAGGGTGTACGTAACACCGAGGTTTTACTGTACGATCACTTTTTTTAACAAGAGCTGTGTGTATCCTTGCACGAATAAAAGAGCCGGAACAATTTAAAATTACATAGCATCCGCTAGTGATTTGCCCACAATTAAGGGAAATGGTCCGGTACATGGTGCTAAAAGTGAGATACATTATACATACACCAAAACTTCCGCTTTCACGCACTCCGAATCACTTTTTTTGTATTACTTTATGTCATATTCTAAAGCTGCATGACATAAAATATTGCAAAAAAGTGATTCGCAGTGCGCGAAAGCGCAAGTTTTAGTGTACTATGTATCACATTTCTGAAGTTATATACCGGGCCATTCCGAGGATTCTCCTTAAAGAATGGGATCGTTCGTACGCTGCTCACACGAACATTGTAATAAAACGCAAAGACGTTATAAATACGTTAACTATATTGAAAACAGAACTTAAAGTAAGCGTCGTCAGACGTCATCGTGTATAAACAATCTTCAGACTGATATCTGTGCATTTATGCTGTGCAAAATTCGAAGAAAAACGGTCCGCAGTAAAGTACACATTACATGACTACAGACAACTGAAACGATGCAAAAAGATGTCTGACGATGCGCAAAAGTTAAAGATTACCGGCATCAACGTTCACGGGTTTAACTGTTTATCACTGTAAAATAATTATCATCCCGTGTTCTGTACTGCCTCATCCGTAGAAGAATGCTGGTTACATAATTGTGTATGCAACGTCTCAACTTTGACCTTTTACTACTTATGAAGACATCCGTGACATTTCTGCAATATTAATGATTCGTTTGAAAACTATAATAATCTGCTCGTTCCACCAGAAAAATAATTGCTGTACCGACGTTCTACCCGTATGGTCGCTTAAGTGAAACACTATGATAAGTGAATGGGCGATGGTCGTTTAAGTGAAACACCCGAAATAACATTTTCCACAAAACGATTTTCGTTTAGATTTTTTTCTCATACGGTTAAACAAGATGTACCCTTTACAGAGTACTTGAAACTTTTAAAAAAGCTTGAACCGTTTTCTTGCAAATGTCTCGTAAAGAAATCAGATACGAAAGCGCTTTAGCCACGCCACGACTGCCACTGCACTACGCTCAAATATTTGCGATCACCGCTATACATGGGTGGCTGTACCATCGCCGTGTAAGAAGTTTATTTAAACCAAAATAAATTTAGTTTGAAGACATCAGCTTTCAAAGAACGAAAAAAAATATTCCGTTGAACATAAATTTACCTGAAGTGAATTAACAGCCGCAAATGCGGTGATGCTACAGCCACCCTTGTATGGCGGTGATTGCAAATACTTGAGCGTAGTGCAGTGGCAGTCGTGGCGTGGCTAAAGCGCTTTCGTATCTGATTTCTTTACGAGACATTTGCAAGAAAACGGTTCAAGCTTTTTTAAAAATTTCAAGTACTCTGAAAAGGGCACATCTTGTTTAATCGTATAAGAAAAAAATCCAAACGAAAATCGTTTTGTAGAAAATGTTATTTCGGGTGTTTCACTTAACCGACCATCGCCTATTCACTTATCATAGTGTTTCACTTAAGCGACCATACGGGTAGATTTCGTAGTTTTGTATAATTAACACGTGCCATCTCATGCATAATTTGCAGTTTCTCCTTAACCGTCCCGAATTAAACGCGCAGCGGAAGTGCATTATTATTATCATTATCATTATTATTATTACCACACTCCTTTTAATGGAAGTGGCTGTTATAGTGCTACTGGAAAAGTGTCTTTGGTTAGTGTGGAAAATTTATTACTTTTTTGGTTTGATTTTATGAGATAAAAGTTACCCAACCTAGGAATCGAAACCAGGACATACAGTTTTAAAGCCAGACGTCCCAACACCAAGCTATGGGCAATTTACATTATTATGCATATTTAAAATAATGTATGATTATCGTTACGTATGCGGTATGAGGTGCTCGTACATACAATTGCGGTGGATGGTAATTGTCTTCGATCACCAGGAAAGTTGACCGGCGTTTCAACCAAGGAAATCTGACACGTATCGATCGCCGGCATGTGCAGTATGTAATTACGTAAAAAGGGCATCATCCGCACCACGTGCGCATGTGCTGGTATATATCGGCATTAACGGTACAATCGGCTGATAGATGACGCTGGCCGTGGCCGCAGATCCGTGTCATTCTCCGCCGCCGGGACAAACTAACCTTTCATGTATCATCCCAAACAAACGCATCACTTGTTAACTGATTGGTTTCTAGTATGGCTTTTAACCGGCATCCAGCCGCGTTTTTATTTGTTATGTGTTTCAGCGTGTGGCTGGATGTGTAGCTAGCCGCAGCTTAACCGAGTAGTTCTTTTATTATTTCTCGCCGTTTAACGATGCTAAAGTTCTCGGGAACTTTGTTTTGCATTCTGTAGTGAAATGATTTGTATACATCGGCGTAAAAATAATACCGGCGTTTACTTGTAAATCTGCCAGCAGATTTGCATACACCACAGTTAAAAAGTTGTCGGGATTTCTTCTTTGAATTTTGCACCCAGATTAGTGGCATACATCGCTGTCGATTTTGCCACAATTTCACCAACGTTTTTCTTTACATTCTGCAGCCAAATGATTTGTATACACTGGCCTTACAACTTTCCGGAAGTTTTTCTAAACCGTTTCTTTTTTCATTCTGTAGCAAAATTATTTGTATGTATCGGCATGAAAATTATACCGGTGTTTTCTCTGCAATCAGGCAGATGATAAGTTTTAGGCCGTCGTTAAAAAATTCCAGGAGTTTTTCTGGACGGTTTTATCTCATTCTGTAACCAAATGATTTGTATACATTTTGCACCGCACTTCAACACACCGGCAAGCATATGGCGACTCTGAACGGCAGCGAGCCGGTGCCGGTATGGATGGAATACAGCGGCTGGAGTGCGGCATGGTTTATCATCCATCTGACCATTAGCCAGGCAGGCGGCGCCGTGCATCTCCTGCTCATCGGGGTGCTACTGCTGGAGCGGCGGCTGCGCGGGGGTTCCGGCGGATTAGTACTGCATCTGGTGGTGTTAGAAGGGCTGGTGTGCGGGGTGCACATGCCCCTAGCCGCCATCTTATCCGATGGGATGCAACGCGGACGCTGGGATATTCGGCCGGTGTGCCCGGTGATACACTTCCTGTTCTTGACCACTAGTCAGGCCGGGTACTGGACGTCCTTTTTCTTGGCGGTAGGTGCCTGCGTATTTTATTGCCGGGTGTTGAGTGGTATTTTTACTAACTAATTCAGTCGACGTCTGGAAGATAATTAAGGACACTTTATTTCCCTTTCCGGGAGATATTACTCTTAAACGATTTTGTAATTATCGCTCATGCACGAAGACATTTCAGTAATTAAGGCCATGTTGACTGCGTCTGCTGGTTAAGCGTTCCGAACTTGCGCTAATCAAAATTCGGAGCAGGATTCCCTTTCTGACATCATAAAAAGTATAACATTTTTCCTTAAAGACTTTGTAAGTATCGCTCATAAACAAGGAATCGCCAACTAGGCTCATGTTTATGATGTCTGCTGATAAGGCGCGTTGTGTAAAGTAAAAATCTGGTAGAATATTCCCTTTCCGGTAGATATTAGGTACTCCTAGACGATTATGTAATTATCGCTCATGAACGAGGATTTCTCAGTAATTAAAGAAGCGTTGATTGCGCCTGCTGGTCAAACTTTGTGCTAATTAAAATTCGGGATAGAATTCCCTTTTTGACATCATACCAAGCATTACGTTTTTTCTAAAGGACTTGTAAGAATCGCTCATGAACGAGGAACCGCGCTTACCATAAGCTCACGTTAATTACGTCTGCTAATCAGACGTTTCGTCAAATAAAAGTCTGGGATAATATTCCCTTTCCGGTAGATATTAGTACTGCTTCAGGCGCAACCAGATGGTCAGTTCATACAAAGCCAATGAATTTTTCTCAGTGAAGACTGAAAAACGCCGGTATTTTCCTGTGTGAGTAATGTCGTAAATTGTATGTTTCTGTACTTAAGTATAGCAAGAATATCGAATCAAATAGTACTGGAAGATTGGCTGTACTTTGCCCTTTTGCGGAGCTGTTTATCAGTATATTGCAGTGATTATTGAGCCAGGAGTGACTAACGATACCGCAGCAACGCGTATCTGTTTTCTGTTTACTGTACTATGGTCAGCGTACGTACTTCGCACCTATTGCTTCGCGCGGTATATTAACGTGTTTTACGTGAGCATCTGTACAAAGGCTGACCAAAAGAGCGCAGTAATTTATTTTCTAACAAATTTAACAACTTTAGCTGTGCAGATTTACCGGCTTCCTCGGTAAACGTATAAGGTTAACAGCTTAAAACCGGTCAGCTTTTATTATTAAAAGTCCATATCAAACAGCCAAAAGCATTCACAAATTTATTAATTTAATATTCAAGGTGGATGCGCCCAGTTTTCGGTTCAACTGGTTATACAGTATGCAGTTTACCAACGGTGCATTAACAATTAACGCCGAATTAGCCAAGCAAATATCGGAAATTTGGAATAATTTTACACGGCTTCCTTGTGCATTTTATAAAGCAAAATTTAAAGGCAGTACCATATACTGCTGAGTGAAAAGACATCGCCGTGTTCATCCATGTGTATCTTTGCATCAGCACAGCGGCTTAAAAAGGGAAAATCTAATTAAGCATTTATAATCGGCCGTGATAAATACCAGGAGAACACCAGGCAATATAGGACAGTAATGCGATTAATCATGGATGACATCGAATGACGTCGGCACGCCTGTCTCCCTTAATTGCCATGATCCCGTACGTTCAACCCACTGGCATGCTCAGCGCCAAGGGCGGTCTTTAGGGTTGATGGCGTCGACGGCGCAGCAGTAGACCTTCCGCCCGGTGATGCAGCGTTTCCCGTCGCCCTTCCGGTCGTTCTTCGTCTCCACCATGTTATCCGGACATTCACCGTCGCAGAAGGGCGCCGTGCCGTACCACCGGCACGTCAAAATATCCGCTGCTCCCGTGGTTAAGATATTCGCCACGATCACCGTGATCATCGCGCAATATAGTAATTTATTCGACATTATCACTAACCGGCGAATAATGCCTATATGGCGAATAATAATCTAGAAATTATTTTTGTTGTAGTCGGGTAAAATCAGCCTAGTTAACAAGGATGGATAAATAATGTTCGAGACAAGTATTCGGTAATTATATTAGCTTGGAGATAACTGTGCAGTTTTGTGTATAATTAAAAGAAGAGAACGGCTGCCCAAGTTTGAAGTCATTCAGCAAGAAAGATGAGCACATTCTGAGCTTGTTAGGTGGCTTATGTCACTTTGTGTGAATAACAGCCGGCTAATCTGGCGGGTCATCAGCAGTGCAAAGGTCATATTAGCCGAATTGTTGCTCGGTGTACAGGTTTATACACGATTTAGGACATTAATTATTCTCTCCGTCAGACCAGTGGACTAGACTGTACAGCAGGTATTAACAAATAACAGTAATCAGTTATGCCACTATAAAAAAATTAAAAATTGTTAATTAAAAATTTTAATATGATTAATAATTAATTATTAAAATAATTAATAGAAGTATACTGCATTGAATAATTTTTAAATTCTCCTTCTAATAACGAGAACATCTTCTGTAGTTCATAAGGGCAGTACTTTATTTATCTTTTAGTTATTATTTCAACTGTAAATCGTACGTTAGTGTGACGCTTGACCAGCAGAATTATACACAACCTCACGACTCGCGTTCACTGGGAATTCCTCGTTCATGAGCGATAATTACAAAGTTCAATCCCAATACAGCAGTTAACTAACGGCATCGCCCACTGTTCACAGGTCAACCGGTTCATCGCGGCCGCCATCCCCCACCTCTACCCGCGCCTCACCCGCCCGCCGGCCATCCTGGCCATGCTCACCGCCAGCTGGACGGTAGCCGTCAGCACCACCGCGCCGCTCTTCGCGCAGCACGGCGGCGTGATGACGGTGCTGCCGCCGTGGATGGCCTGCGGGATCCGCGTCACTAGCGTCCCTTTGCGCACCGCCGCCCAGGTGGTGGGCGTGTATATCCCGCTCGTGGGGTCCGTGGTGTTGTATGCGGTGTCGGTGGTGTTGTTGAGCCGGCAGCGGCGGCGCCGTGTGGCGGAGGAGGGCCGGAAGGCGGTCCCGGAGCGGCGGCTGCGGGTGGCGCGGATGCTGTTGGTGTCGACGGTGGTGCTGGGGCTGGCGTATGTCCCGGGGGTGGTGCTGTTGGCGCAGTATAAGAGTGTCGTCGCGGGGCTGCCGGTGGTGGATCTGTGGATAAGGACGCTGTTTCTCCTGGCGTACGCCGTACAACCGGTAAATAAAAAGATGGAATAAAAGATTATAAATGCTGTAAAAAAAGTACCAAATTAATGCGAAATAAATTATCATAAAATACGAAAAAAAATGCAAATTAAGAACCAGTACAAGCTTGTCCGGTAATTTCCTACGTAAAGGTACAAACAGCACATATTTAGCGCTGAGTTTGTCCTATGGCAATTGCCACTACACTACGTCGTAAATTTGTGTATTTCGCTGTATTGATTCGTAAGAAATTACCGGACAAGCTTGTACTATGAACTACATATCTTACAAAACGCACGAGTACAATTAAAAGCAAACTAAATATCATCAAATTATAAGAAATCCGAACAGGTTGCAAATCAATAAAAAGCTGTGCTTTACTAAATGTGCAAGATTAATGCGGATAAATTACCACAGAACGCGAAATTCTCGCATATTGCAGGAATATCACAATAAATGCTGTACAGAATGTAAAAATGCGAATTAAGTATTTGCACTATAAAATTATGTAAGTCTAAACATATACATATAAAATTGTTTTATTTATTATTTCTATACATGATTTGAAATATCGCGACACTTTTCGTCATAGATGACTTAACTACACCTTAATTATACGTCTCTATATTGAATTACGGTTTTCAATTTTATAACCTGCATATATTTTAATTTAATTTTTTTTGTTCGTATTTAATTATAATTTTCTTAATTTTAATTGCACCCTGTTTTTAGATAGTTTTCAAAACATTTGAATAATAAACGGATTTATACTTTGCACCCATGGTTAAAAGCGCAAAGGTCACATGCGCATGTAGGAGAATTACGGTGCGTTTTTGCATAGACTGTACTCGGTAATATAATTAATTTTATGTAATGCGGTAATTATGTAAGTACCGAAATGGACATCAAATTAACGGAGCGTCACAGCGCCATGAATTGGCGGTTTTGGGATGAGGTGATGATGCAGCTCTTCCGGTGTCATTTCGGAACACCTTCGCGAAGGGCAACATGTACCGAGAAATTTATATACAGCATATCACGATAAATAAATCATCGGATTAACTACGGTATACGAAATTATTGATCGGTGAGAGCAGCTCACACCCACATAACGAGGTACGTGCACCGTGTGACTGTTACTGGCGCGAGATTAGCAGAAATTAATTTCGCTGGGTAGATGCACGTTTACCGATTTAGATACGGGAACATTTGTTGTCCCATCACTGCAAAGAGTAGTTTAATATATTAATTATCACACAATTGTGGAAAAATAATAACAACATTATGAGAAAACGAAAAAAAATTATTTCAAATTGTATTGCGTAAAAAAATAAATCCAAAATAAGCCTGTAGAGAATATTTCATTTATACATCCAAATAATAAAATACTCGTACATACCTACTCGTAGTTTGTTAGCTTAAGGGAAGTGGCCCGGTACATGGTGCCAAATTCGTGTACATGCATGAAAACTTTCACTTTTGCGCACTCCCAAACACATTTTGTTTCGGTTTATGACATTCTGTAGCCAGGAGATTTGTATACAGTGACGTGAAACCCCTTTGTGCGCGCAACATCTGTTTCGGGAGTTATGGCTGCTAGAAAATTCCAAAAAGTTAAAATGCATTCAAGTGTACCAAAAGTCTCATTATAGACCGATCCCTTTCAAATTTTGCACGTAAATGCGCATAACCATGATTTAACAGGGGCTCCACCAGACCCCTGACGACCTCGGGACATTTTTTTAGAGCAAATCTGACCTCGGGATAATTTTCAGCGCATTTTTCTGATACAGAAACCATTTTTCAAAATTTTTTTCGGAAGAAAAAATTTCTGACTGCCGGGGCCCCATACGCCCCTCAAATACCTTGGGCGGTTGCAATGGCGCCACAAAAATATCTTTTATTTTGGCCTTCTGAACACTTTTTCTAGGTAAATCGATATCGCTGATTCTGAATATGCTATCAGAAAAATGGTTTAATTCGAAGAAAATAATATTTTTTCGATAAAAACAAAATTTTGCGAAATCAATCCAAAAATTTTAAAACTTAAAATTCTTCTTTCGTATACCTAAAACAATTTTTCTGACAACATATTCAGAATCAGCGATATCGATTTACCTAGAAAAAGTGTTTAAAAGGCCAAAATAAAAGATATTTTTGTGCGGCCATTGCAACCGCCCAAGGTATTTGAGGGGCGTGTGGGCCCCGGCAGTCAGAAATTTTTTCTTCCGAAAAACATTTTGAGAAATGGTTTCTAAATCAGAAAAATGCGCTGAAAATTATCCCGAGGTCAGATTTGCTCTAAAAAAATGTCCCGAGGTCGTCAGGGGTCTCGTCTGACCATGAAGACCGTTCTTACACGGATCCAGACTTCCACGATTTTTTTCGAATTTCAAAATGAATTTTAAAAATTTGAAATTCATTTTAAAAGTTGAAATACGTGCTAGAACACTGGATCGGTGTAAAAACGGTGTTCATGATTATGCGCAGTTACGTTCAAAATTTGAAAGGGATCGGTCCATAATCAGACTTTTGCTACACCTGAATGCATTTGAACTTTGTGCATAATATTCCGGAGAAATCACCATAGCTTGCAAAACAGTCAACGGTAACTTTTTTTAATTGTTTAGGTGGTGTTTTTCGTCTTGAACTTCGATTACCAGCACGCACTGCGGCATTTACTGCGGTGGCGGCCGTGCGGCGGCCGGACGCCGGACACCCGGCAGCGTGTGTCCACGTTGTCGCAGCCCGCGGCGGATTCCGAGCAGCTGCACCGCAAGCCTCACAAGGACTCCACATAATTATATAGAAATACTAATTCGAATTATCAGCATTAATTTGTTTTACATTTAAATAGTTCATGCAGTTTTTATTTACTCAATCGGGTATTATTTTAATTTATTTTATTAATGCATTTCTGTAGTTTTAATTGCCATTGCAATAATGCCGCGAATGAACATTGAATTGTAAGATATAATTGTTTACATACGAGCGACTTTGTCGTCATTTTCTTGTGTCGGCATATTGTTGTTGTTTGCACTCAAATGCCGGTTGGTAAAAATTGAAAATTTGTAATGACCATTAATCAGTAATTGTTGTTGTTCGGAATGTGCATCAACCGTCGGCTGACTCGCTCAATTACGAAATAAAAACATGGGCTACCGTGTTTTTGTTAACACCGCCTCCGGCGCACCGCCGACACTTGCCGGAAAAAAATATGAATGGAAAAGCGAAAAATTCCACTCGCTGTGTTTACTGATCAACACTTTTTCATCCGTTCTATATACGCACATAATTTTGTCTATAAGGCAAACCACAATTTTCCGATAGCGATCGGCCGTATTAATTTCCCAGAAATCGAAATTTAATTTAAATTCCGCGCGTGTATTTTATCCATAATTAATTCCACTTTAATTACGAGTGTATTAAAAAAATCGAAATTTATCTAATTTATTTTCCGCGCGTGTATAATTTATCCATAATTAATTCCAATTAATTTATAATATTATGGAGCAGCTGCGCGGTCCCGTGGAGCATCTGGGCTTCGATATGTTCCACTGCGGGATGGAGTATGTGGATCAGCAGGATGCCGACGGGCCCAATCAGAATATGGTCATCGGGACGTTTGCGGCAGCCTCGGCCGCCGGATTAATTTATGTCGGATCCGGTGGGAAGGCCGAACGCCGGCTGTCGAAAATCCTGCATTTTGATAAGATTTTTGAGGAGCGGTGTACGCCGGAGTTGATTACCATCGCGTTCCGGCAGGCCGTCTCGGTTCTTACAAAACGCCACGACCGCCATTTTCCCATCAAGGTTAGCGCAGAATTTTTATGTACAAGTCAGTAGGATGCAGGGAAGAAATTAGAAAACGAATAGAATAGAAAAAATAAAAAATAAATGAATCGAGTAAGATAAACTATAGGTAAAATTACATTAAATATCAGTTATCACAGGTTTACAGTATACACAAAAAGTAAATGGACAAGAAATTTAAACTATAAGAAATAAATATAGTTTACACGTACGCCGGCAAAATATACGAGTAAATCCGGAAACAACACGACCGGTCAAATACATAATATTATAGTTATATTTATGTTGAATTTGTGGGAATATTATTTATTGTTATAATACACAAAATATGTTTTATTTAACTATCCATGTGTAGTACATATTTTTCCTGTACGAGCAGTTTTGCGCTCACGTGGAGGGCTTTCGTAATGTTTGCCCGCAACTTTTTCACGTACGGTTCCGTACACAAGTACATGTACATGTGCATGTATAAATACAAGTACAATATGTTACAAGTACATGTGCTGCTGTGCACTACATGTACATACGTTCTGCACCGTAAACTACTTGTACGATAATGATCGGAAGTATTACGGCAATACACTGAATACAGTAATCGCCACATGTTGCGCCTATAAGGCGTTACTAACAGTGTATTTACGTAGACGTTTTACGTGCGGTAAATACTGCGTATTTCAAATTTAAACCGCGTTACTGTAAGCATATACATACATTTTTTTTACCTATGTAATTAATTCCTAATTATCTTTTATAAAGTAAGGAATTATTTACACAGGTAAGAAATAATAATATTATGACATAAAAAATAATAATTCTGCAAATACAATATCTTGCGTACGAAATACTGTTTTATCAATAATTATTATTTTGAATATATATGCAAATACAATGTCTTGCGTACGAAATACTGTTTTATCAATAATTATTATTTTGAATATATATTTTGAATCCTTATTAATGTTATAATAATAAATTATCATATTTGGCTAAGTATGGCATATATAGAACGTTTATTTGCTAAATTATACAATTTTCAAATTAAATTAAAATAAATTTAATTAAATTACTTTTCAAATTATTAAATTATTTAAATAATAAATAATTAAATTATTATTTATTTTATTGAATAATTTTACTTACAGGAGGAGAAGATGTGTTCGGCGTTCCAGTTAGTCCTGGCGCACCGCGCCTTCTTCCGCAAGGGCATCCACGTGACCTCCGAGTTCTACAACAACGCCCGCGCCTTCAGTCTGGATGTCGGGAAGATCGAGGGCCTGAGCGACACCGCCGACCTGGAGACCCTCCGGCAGGAGATCAACGCCTGGGTATCGCAGAACACCCACGGCCAGGTCCCGGAGACCCTCCCGCCCCTGGCCTTCGTCGACCACGAGGAGGCCCTGACCAATATGTTCCTCATCAGTGTCACCTCGCTTCGCGGGCGCTGGATGGAGCCCTTCCCGCCGGAGCGGATCCAGCCCGACACCTTCCGCAACTTCAACGGCTCGGAGGCCAGAATTCACTTTCTGACCGCCCCGGTCGTCCACCTCCCGTATTTCGAGGACCGGCGCGCCAATGTCCGGTATTTGGAGATTCCGTATGCGAATAACGAGGCGTCGCTGTGTATTTGCCTGCCATATGATGAAAAGAAAAGGTCATTATTAACTGTAAAAATGCCTGCTACTTTTAATAAAATGGTTATTAATATAATATTCGTGACTGGTCAGTAATTGATAAGGCCGTAATTGATAAAGCAATCGCAAAGTACGGCTGTGTTTTAGTAGATATTAATTACTGTTTCACTTAGGGTTTGGTTTATGATAATTTAATTTGTTTAATTACATAGTATATTTTATTTTCGGTTAGAAATTCTTTTATAGACTTTTTTGTAAGTTTCTGTTTTTTTTTTAAATCAGATCAATTATTCTTATTCATTTTTCATTTATATATTTTTGTCGATTCTTTTTTAAGTTTTATTTATTTCTTATTTATTGTAGGCTGTTTTTATTTATTTTTGTTTATTTTTATTTTTATTTATTTATCTTTATTTATTTGATAAGGCAAATTATTTTTTAATTTTTCAAGATTGTTTGTTATTGATTGATTGTTTGTTTATTGATTGTTTGTTTATTAATTAATTTTGTTTTATTGAAAGGTCACTGAAACAAATGATGCAACAGCTGGAGTATGGTCAGCTGAAGAAGATTGGCCACCGGAAGCGGTTGCGGAAGGTGGATCTGAAGCTGCCCATCTTCCAGGTGCAGCACTGCTTCAATCTCAAAGGCTTCTTTGAGCGGATCGGCGTGGAAGACGGGCCGAATGATGATTTGTCCAAAATGGTCAATGGCGAGTTTCATGCCTTCCGACTGACCGGCGCCTATCACAAATGTACCTTTGGTGCGTCCACAAAGTTTTAAATTTTTACACGTTTTTCTATACATTTTAACACATAAATTACATACGGGCAATACTGTATTAAGCAAAGTCTTTTACGTTATCCGCTTTGAAACATCCAAAATAAAAATTCTTTGGACAATTTAGCAACGTTTTTACCTGAATGCTCGTGAATCAGTTTTTTGGTACAACAATCGTCATTTTACTTTCATTTTTAAACGTTTTGAGTGACTTTATTATGCATACTTGTATTAATTTAAATTTTTCCAAATATTTATCAAAAGTCGCTTTCCAGTATTTTCAAATTTATGCAAAATCAATTTCAGATCCTTTTCTCGTTTCATTTATGTGGTAAACTGGTAATTACGCAAGAAAACAAAACTACGGAGTATTTTATTTTATAAATATTTAAAGGTTTAAATAACTCGAATTATTTTTTTAAATATTTATACTGAAATTTATATACTGAAATTTAAAATAGATTTAATTAAACATTTTTTTATATTGTAGTCTTTATTGGGCAAAGGCCATCAGTGTAACAAAAAGTGCATTCGCGTAATGCTACTTAAAATGATGCAAACTTAAACGTTAAAAATTTTTGTATTTGATTTATTATGTTATGATTTAAAGTGAATTCCGCAGGAAATAAATTTTATGGTAGGTATTAATGAGCACGGGACCTGTGCGGAGTATTTCGACGAATCCAACCAACCGGCCACGGGCGACGAGAACACCGTGCAGCACCCGCCGGCACCGCGCCCGCGCAGCACCTCCTGCGCGTCCAACGTGGCGCCGGTGAAGCGCACCCTGAAATCCACGGTGCTGGAGCCGGTGACCTTTCACGCCACACACCCCTTCATCTTCGCCGTGCGGCACAACCTCACGGCCATGCTGCTGTTCTGTGGCCGCGTGGTGGATCTGACGCCGAGCGGCGACGCGCCGCAGATGCACGTCAACGGCTGTATGTCGGAGACGGCGGTGCGGCCGGTCACGGAGAAGGAGAAGACCTTCCTGGAGCGGACCAAGGAGTGGTTCATGCAGGAGAAGGGGCTCATTGGACGCAAACGCACCGGCACTTTATGATTATTATTTATTCAACGGTGAATTTGTAAACGATTTTCGTCACATAAAATTGACAAAATTGACCAATGATGATTTTTTTTTAATTTATTAAAAAAAGCTGACCAATCGCGTTAAATATCATGGAGCGTTTGAGCAACATGTTTAATTTGTGACCCTTTTGTACATAAATTTTAAGTACATGAATAAAAATAAAAATGCAAAAAATGCTGATTATAAACTTAAAAACGAACTGACACAAACAATTATGTATTTTAAAAAATTAAGAAAATTGAAAAATATTTATAAATAGCGCATTATAAGAAATTTATACCATCACGTTAATGCCGCATAAAACTTTGGCGTGGAAATAAGCTGCCCTGAAAAAATAAAACTATGAAAAAATTATAAAATTACAAAATAAATGCACCCATTGTATTTTTAAAATATTAATTAGCAAAAACATAATAAATGAAAAAAACTTGATCGATCACAATAATATCGGGAAAAACTTTGGCACGGCATATGTTTATGACCTTTAGAATGTAAAGCGAGATCATGACAATAAAAAGCGCGCCAAATTGAATAAAAATGTTGCCGGTGACCTTTGTTATGGTTTCCAGTACATATGAGCATATGAAGCACAAACAGTGTTTATGTTTTATGTCAAACAATGGAGATTTCTCTATCGATAGCGCATGCTTTGTCATCCTAATTGACGCCCCGGGCGGGCCATAGTACCGGCTTGGGTAATTAGCGGAAAAATGTAAGATTCCGTGTTTACATTCTGCCTCTCGTTGACGATGGTCTAGACACACAAACACACCAAAAATAATACCACACAATTTATTATCAGCATTTTATTCGGTGGAATATTGGGAATATTGATCATTTAATTTTTTTATTTGGAATGGAGCAGTTACGCGGTCCGGTGGAGCGTCTGGGATATGAGATGCTGCACGCCGGGATCCATTATATCGATCAGGAACTGGAGAGTCCCAATCAGAATTTCGTTTTCGGCACGTTTGCCACGGCGTCGGCCGCCGGATTGATTTATGTCGGATCCGGCGGAAAAGCGTCCCACCGTTTAGCCAGGATTCTGCATTTTGATAAATTGTTTGAAAATCGCTGCACACCGGAACTGATCACCATCGCCTTCCGGCAGGCGGTCAGCGCGCTGACCAAACGGCCCGATCGGCATTTTCCCATGCAGGTCATCGATGTCATAAACATTATGTCATTTATGGGTGTAAACAAATTAAATAAATTAAATAATATTATGCCAACAAATTAAATAATAAAACTCATTAATAATATTAATTTATTGCCGAAGACAATCATTATGGTAAACTGCTAATGTAAGAATTATGTTCCGTAAAAATGAAAAATTATAAACCTTTAGTTTTTTGGCAGTTTGCTGAGAAAAAGGCTTTTTTAGCCGTTACATTTTTGTTATTGGCGACATATACTTCAAAGAAATGAATTTATTTTACAATACTTTTCAATAAATTATTTATTTATTAAGGTTATCATTTTTATTTGTTTAGATAATTAATTTATTCAGGCTTATTTAATTTTTTTTTATTTTTTTATTCAGTTGCTCATCATTACTTAATTAAATATTTTTCTATTGTGTTAAATAATTGCAATTATCATTTTTTTAAAGGACAACTCTTATATATGTAGTAAACAACTTAATATGTGTGCATAGTAAGTTAAACACAATTCGTATATTAAATCTAAATGCATGGTTCTGCTTGTGATTTAAAAAATTAAAATTTGAGCTAAATACATTTTTGTAGGACGGGAAGTTGTCTACAGCGTTCCAGTTAGTCCTGGCGCACCGCGTCTTCTTCCGCAAAGGTGTCCAGGTGACCTCCGAGTTCTTCAACAAAGCGGCCGCCTTCAACCTGGACGTCGGGGAGATCGAGGGCCTGAGCGACGGGCAGGACATGGAGACCCTCCGCCGCGAGATCAACGCCTGGGTGGCCAAGAACACACACGGCCAGATTGCCGAGGCCCTGCCGGCCCTGGCGCTGGAGCAGCAGCAGGACGCCCTGACCAACATGTTCCTCATCAGCGTCACCTCCCTGCGCGGCCGCTGGCAAGAGCCCTTCCCCCCGGACTGCCTCCACTCCGACACCTTCCACAATCTGGACGGGACGACGGTGCCGGTGACCTTTATCAGCTGTCGGTCGGTGCATCTGCCGTACTACGAGGACGCCTATGTCCGCTACGTAGAGGTCCCGTACGCGGAGAATGAGGCGTCGCTGGCGCTGTGCATGCCTCTGGAGCCGACCAAGGTAACCGAGAGACGAGTACGCGATAGGAATAATTACCGTAATAATCTTTGCTACCGACCTACTAAACGACAGAGTATGAGCTGATAATCTCAACATGCCATAGCTAAGTCTATGAATCTACGCGAAGCGAGAATCTGCATTTTCGAAGATAATTTTAAGGAAAATGCCCGGTGCATAGTGTCAAAAATGGGATATATACACTAAAACTTTCGCTTTAAAATAAAATTTTTTTTTTAATTTTAAAATGAATTTAAACATTTTTAAAATTCATTTTCAAATCGGAAAAAATTGCTATATGAATCTGATATTGGTTCAGTTTCGACTTTATGACAATGTATCTTTTACAGCAAAGTTCCAAGAAGATCGGGTAATAACCAGACTTCTGGTACAAAACAATGCCTTTAAACTTTTCGCTCATTTTATTCGCCATATCTCGGCAACCGGATGTTGCGCGCCCAAACGGTTTTTAGAACAATGTATACAAATCTTTCAGCTATAGAATGACATAAAGTATTACAAAAAAGGGATTCGGAGTGCGCGAAAGCGAAAGGTTTAGTGTATGTATGCCATTTTTGGCAGTATGTACCAGTCCATTTTCCTTAATTCTCAGATGGCACTGATGATCCCCAAAGTACTGCCAATCACCGACTTAAATAGGCGTAAGGCGTATCTGTGTAGAAACCAAAGCTTAACCTAAAATAATAGAGAACATTCTAGAATGTACAAGGGATAACACCAAGTGCGAGTAAAGCCATAAAATACGTACAGTACTAATCCCCACGAGTACAGCTATTTTCCGCCAAAGGTGTCGATGGCGACGATGTTGAAAAGGATAAAATACGGCGATCTGACGAAGATTGGCAACCAGAAGCGGCTGCGCAAGGTGGATCTGAAGGTACCGGTGTTCCGCGTGGAGCATGTGCTGAATCTCAAGGAGTTCTTTGAGCGCATCGGCGTGGAGAGCCAGCAGGATGATGACCTTTCGCGGATGGTCCAGGCACCGCTGCATTCCTTCCGCTTAACCGGCGCCTACCATAAATGCACCTTCGGTGACCTTACATGTTTAATATTGCATTATACGCCTAACATCTGAAGTTACGTAACTTCAGAAATTTAGAATTATAGATTTAAAAAATTCTCTAAATCATAAATGCATAATATTTTAATAATTTTTATTAATAAAAAGGTAAATAAAAGTATTTAGTATTATCATTTTTTACTACAAAGTACTAAAAACTGGAGCACATGTACAGTACATAAATGTTAGACAGTTAAAAATAAGAGTATATCCGTGAAATGAATGGCGATAATTTGGAAAAATAATCTGGCCTAGTAATTGCATTAATTGATTGTTGATCTAAATTTTAGAATATCCAATTTATTCAACAGTAATATTATCCAATTTTATTTTGTAATTGAGCTTTTTAAATAAATGTTTTTAAAATAGGTATCGATTTATTTTTTACAAGTAACTATCGTTTTATTTAAATGTTAAGGACATTATTTGTATCAGTTAGTAGAATTACTGTACAAATGAAAAAATCAAGTACGTATTTGAGTAAAAATAATTATGATTGGCGACGTTGTACTGACGTTGTGTGGAATCCTTTCCAGAAATCGATGAAAAAGGAAGCAGCGCGGACTTCTTCGACAAAGAGGACTCTGCCGCCGGCACCGGCGCCCGGGGGCGGAGCCACTCCGTAAGCAGTGTGGCGCCGGTGCAGCGCCGTCTGAAATCGACCCTGTCCGACCCGGTGACCTTTCACGCCCAGTATCCCTTCATCTTCGCGGTGCGGCACAACCCCACAGGCATGCTGCTATGCTGCGGCCGCGTCGTGGATCTCAAGCCGGCGGCCGACGCGCAGCGCCCGGAGGACGACGCCGGCTTCGCGCGCACCGACGCCCAACCGGCGCCGCACGATCCGCGGGGATTCCTGCAACGGGCCAAAGATTTTCTGGAAAAGGAGCGCGGCTTAATTGGACGGAAACGCACCGAGACCCTGTAGCAATTGTTACCAGCCACACAGCCCCATGTGAGCTATTTTAAGATACAGCCTGGCGTAAACAAGATCATTAGCCACAAAGAGAACTGAGAGAATATCAGTTACATAGTTCTATATATGGACATAAGGTGATAAGATCTGAATTGACAGATTTTCAGTCTTCTCTGTATCTCTTGTTATGCCGTTTTAATGTTCTTATTGAGTGATGTAAGACTTTGGAAGTTTCTAGAAGTTTGTTAATGTGGTTGTTTGTCCGAATGTGGCTATATAAGCGCCAAGCTTGCAATAGCTAGAGGGTCCACTCTGGTTTAGTCCACTGGAAGTCATCTAGCAGTCACTTGAATTGTGTTTCGTAAATAAAGTCTCAAAATCCACGTTGGGATTTCTACGTTAAACTTAGCTACGTACAGTGCCTGGGGCAGCACATAACGCTAGTGGAGTTTATAACGTAACATTTGGTGCCGAAACCGTGGAACACGGGATACGGATTATCAAACGGAATATTGCCAACGATGCATCTTCAACGAAGGATGCGATTGTGGACTGTCGGAACCAGTAGTGTTGACCCGGCAACCAAGCGGACAGCGCGCAACGGAACATGGCGCGTAATGGAAAAGCGTTTGTTTAACATACGAGAGGATATAAGAGGTCATCGTTCCGCCCAGTTAAGAAGGCTGACCTTTGCTCTGTGGATACAAGATGAAGTGGGAACGGTTATGCCGCACAGTCTATGCCAATGGTTCTGTAAATGGCGCGATAAAGTCGCTGACCTACGGGAATTTGGATGTTCTGTCCAGTGCAGTAACTTTTGTATGGGCATTATGCCGAGACGAGGGCTGGAGGGAACCAGCAGTTTGTCGGACATCCCTGAAGAGGATGAGTTCCGTTACCGTCTCGAGGAGTGTGTCGCGTTTGGCAGCCAGAGAGGGCGTTTGCAACGGACACCGGAAGCCCGAGTACAGGATGCTGCAGCTGTGAAGCCTGATGAATGGCCCAGTGGTCTTGCCTACGAGGAGTTTGTAAGCGTGGATAGGATGAGCGGATTTACCACAGAGTATTCCAGAAAGGTCACTGGGAGAAACAAGTACAACAACAAAGGTTGCCTATACTTTTTTCCCTCGCCGTACGTCTTGGTTTGGAGGGCCAAACCCTTTAAGAAGGGAGGAATGTGACCAGCCGCACAGCCCCATGCGAGCTATATTAAGATCCAGCCTGGCGTAAACAAAATCATTAGCCACAAAGAGAACAGAGAATATCAATTAGTTCTATATTTGGGCATAAGTTGATAAGACCAGAATCGACAGATTTCCAGTCTTCTCTGTATCTCTTGTTATGTCGTTTTAATGTTCTTAATTGAGTGATCTATGGCTTTAAAAGTTTCTAGAAGTTTCTTAATGTCGATGTTTACCCGAATGTGGCTATATAAGCGCCAAGCTTGCCAATGCTAGATGGTCCACTCCGGTTTAGTCCACTGGAAGTCATCTAGCAGTCACTTGAATTGTGTTTCGTAAATAAAGTCTCAAAATCCACGTCGGGATTTCTACGTTAGACTTAGCTACGTACAGTGCGAGGGGCAGCACGTAACGCTAGTGGAGTTTATAACGTAACATTTCAATCATTATCATTAATTGCGATTTCTAAAAATTGTTAATGTAGTGTACAGCAATACAGTGTACTTACTTTCGTATTAATCTTTATTTATACAGTTTTCGCTTGTTTATAAACTGAGAACATCATTTACCACATAATGTTGTATAGCAGCAGCATATGTGTGTACAAATTGCCGCGCAAATTTCGCGGTTTCTTGAAACGTGAACATGTTGTATGTATCTGTAAAGTGTATGTATTTTTTTTAAAAGAAACCAATTTTGATCTAACTAAGGCGCTGTAATATCAACAAAAGAGCTGTTGGTTGATTAAAATCATTAACATGCAGATGTTGCCTGCATCCAACCGATGTGGGTGTACTGAACTTTGTTGTGTAAACAGACTGGCTTGCTGTGTTCTTGTTTAAATCTTGATCAGGAATGCTGTGTATTTCGGAACGCTTTTAATTCATGATCATGTTGTATTTAACAGACAACGGTATGGAGATTGTGGAAACAAAGTACTCGTATTATACGACATACGAGTACCTTGTTTTTTTTTTTATTTTGAAGTGGTAGTTTTACTGTTAATTTTTGCTAAGTGGTAATTTTTGCTGTCAGATTTTCACAGGATAGCAAAACATAAATTGTGCCGGCGTGGTATTTTTAATTGCATTAATTAGATTGGCAAGTTTGCAGCAAATAGTTGCTGCTCAAGTAGTCAGTATTTGAGTTGTAACTTGCTAATCGGGGCACGCAGTTATTACGTACTGTCCAGGCGCTTTGTAAAAATCGTTTGTTTTGTGTCTCCTTCACTTCTAGTGATTTCGGTACACCAGAGAGAATTTTCCTAATAATTTTCACGTTAAATTTGTGCATTATTTTCCAGCGCGTCAAAATGAGCGGTAACCGTACCGATTGGAAAACCTACCTATTTCCGCATCCACTCTGTGCACACTGTGGGTAAAGAGTGGGTTATCTTCCTTAAGATGGTGGAACGAACTTATGACCGCGGTGGGATATTTAGCCGGAGTCTGTAGCTTCTAATACTCGTAATAAACATTACAACAACGACGGTATGTGATATGGACCATTGATCGAGAACTGCCCAGCATATGGCGTCGTTGTCACTATAATAATAATTTTATTATTAGCAGTGATACTTTTTTGTCACCGTTACAGCCTTCGGAGGCGGTCCCGGCAGGCCTGTATTCTGATTTTCGACAATCCGCAAACATTTGTGTGAAAAGGGCACCGCGAATATTGCCCTTTCCACATTGGTGTTTTCGGATAACAGTCGCCTTAATAGGAGACGACAGCCAGATATGGGAGAAGCATCGGCGCCTTCACCAAGTACAGATACAGCTATCGATGTACAAGTACCGAGGAAAGAAGAAAGCCCATCCGCCCACAATACCGGATACGCAAAGGAAATGCCGGTGATGGTGGTGTAAGTGCTCGTATACAGGCCCGCGTTGGAGGGGGGCGGTGGGGGCGCCCGCCCGCACCAGTCTCGGTTTGGCGCCGCCGGGGGGGGGCGGACTTTTAAACTTGGCGCAGCCGAGCCGCCAGGGGGGCGCTTTAAATTTTTAATAATTTTTGATTTTTTCGAATTTTTTAAAAATATTAATTGCGTTTTTTTCAAGTTTTTAGGTTTCTTTTAAACTTATTATCATTCTTTCGTATTTTGTACACTTTTTTAAGCTTTTTTCTAATTTTTTGAAATTTTTTTATTAAAATTTTTTTGAAAAAATAGTCCGCCCCCGGGCGGATTTCCAAAATTTGGGCCGCCCCCCCGGCGATTTTTGGGCTCCACGCCGCCCCCCGGCGGCCTTCCGCCCCCCCTACCCAAAAGATGCAAGCGCGGGCCTGCTCGTATAATTATCTATATCGAATATCTGACGGCCAAAACCTGCGGCGCATATGGTTTTTTCGATAAAGAAAACTCCGCCGCCGGTGCCCGTGGGAGGAGCCACTCCGTAAGCAGCGTGGCGCCGGTGCAGCGCCGCCTGAAATCAACCCTGTCCGACCCGGTGACCTTTCATGCCCAGTACCTTTTCATCAATTCGCGGTGCGGCATAACCCCAATGGCATGCTGCTGTGCTGCGGCCGCGTCGTGGACTGCAAGCCGACGGCCGGCGCGCAGCGCTCGGAGGACGGACGATGCCGGCATCGATCGCCCAACCTGCGCCACACGATCCGTGGGGGTTCCTGCAGCAAGCGAAGTCGAGTTTCTGGAGAAGGAGGGTGGTTTTAACTGGGCGAAAGAGAACCGAGAGCATGTAGCAAAAATTACTATATCGACCGCACTTCCGTAAATGCCGGCGCAGCAGCCGAACTCGCTGAAAAGAAGAAACTTGCGAAACACGCTTGGATGCTAACAAGATACGCTTTCGTTGCTGCAGCCTTCGAAATTTACGGACCTTTTGGAGACGGTACTAAAAAGCTAGTGGATACGGTATAGTGGCTTCAACTGGCCACAAGCGGGAGAAGGAGTTTTTTAAACAGCGAATATCTATGCAAAATACAACGGGGAAACGCGATTTGTGTAATAGGTACGATCCCCGATCAGGATAGCATAGAGGAAGTGTTTCTTTTGTAAATGCTGCTTTGTTATGGTGCATAGTTTGTACTCATACCATGATACTTATTAAAGGTTATGTGGATACTATATCATTTATTTAGCTTTCTGAAGAATTAATAAGGCCGCAGTTATGTTTTACTTTTATTTGTACAATTTTTGCTAGTTCTGTACATGCAGTTTATATGTTTGTACAAATTGTTGTGCTAAGATCCGTAAAGTCTCGCGATCGAAAACATGTTGTGCGTGCTATAGACGAGTACCGAGTACGTACTGGACAGAGTGATTATTTTCTTGCTAGCAAATCAAGTTATTAAAATATTCAATTATATTCAGCACAAAATCGCTGCAGTAAATTTGTAATACTGTATTGCTGTAATTTTTCGCAAAATTGTTTGTACCTAATCGAAGAATTTTTATATGTCTAATTTTGATGTACCCAACTCTTTTTATATATACTCCATGTAATCTTATATTCCTAATTTTTTAAATACCTAATTTTTACATTATAATTTTTATACACCTAATTTTTATTTTTTCCCCCGGAATTGTTTTTGTTTTGTTTTTATATAGAAAACGTATCAGCGTAGTTGACGTCGTTAAAATAATCTGTTATAACACACGAGTGTACCACAAATACGCCGGCAAATTTTTTGTTTGTTGAAAAAAACTTGACATGTTGTTGTGTATCCCGCGGGTCTTCTTTTACTTAACACGCGCACCAACAGTGCACAGGGATTTTTGCTATTAGCTTTTAAAGTAATAGCGACGGAACATAGCCTCTAGCGACAAGTCATGGCACTGTTTTGGGGTGCGATTAGCAGCACCATTTTCCCGGTTCGCTGAATCAGTGTTTCAGTGGTGCAGTTTATTTTCTCCAGAGTGCGGCGTAATTGACGGACAATTCACTAAATTTACACGAGTCATCAAATGTGATGTTTTACTATTATCTGTAAAACCTCTCCATCCAACTTTGATTTTTTGCCGGCTTTATTTATTTATTCCCAGCGGAGCATACTTTCTAATTATTAGCCGGCCGATCGCAACTTTTTTGCGACCGATAACCAGGAATTATTATTGGACTTTTAAGGAAGATGATTTTTATTTTATTGGGAATTTTTATTATATAAGAGTGATATTGTTTTTAATAAATTCTGTTTTAACTGGGATTTTTTTATGGTATTTTATTTTTATAAAAAAATTATGGAGCAGCTGCGGAGTCCGGTGATGCGGCTGGGTTTCGACATGTTCCGCGCCACCCTGAAAATCGTCGACGACGAGGAGGGGATTAATCAGAACTTTGTCGTCGGCATTTTCGCGGCCGCTGCCGCTGCCGGTCTGATTTACGTTGGATCGGGTGGAAAGACCGCCGACAAGCTGGCCAGTATCCTGCATTTTGATAAACTGTTCGAGGCGCGCTGCACCCCCGAACTCATCACCATCGCCTTCCGCCAGGCGGTCGCCCATCTCACCAAACGCGCCGATGAACATTTTCCGCTGCACGTACGTATCTGATATCCAAAAATTATTATTTAAAATTAATTTATTAATATGCAGAAAAACAATTTGCCGGAAAATAATTTTTCAAGTTATTTGCTTGAATTTTCGAGAAACTTTTTAACTTTTGTAATTATTTTTGATTTTTTAAACTACTAAAAAAATTTATTAAACCTCTGGGTTACTGGAATTATTTCCTTACGGAAAGAAAAACCATATTTAAAATATTTAAAACTGATTAAAGGAAGTAGAAAAAATAAAAAAATGCGTCAATAAAAACTAAGATTAATTACGAAAAAAATAATTTTCAAAACGTGCATTGGCCTTCTCCGAATTTGTATTTTTTCTCTAGTGTAAACTGACCTTTTCTATTTATATTTATTTTAGTTATAAAATGTTTTTATTTTATATGTTTGTATTTTTTTTTAAATTTCTTTATCTGTCTTAAAATAATAAGCCGTGATCCGAACATCTCTGAACTTGAAATTATTTTTCAAAATAGTTTCAGTGTAATGAAACTGCCAGCGAATACTTTTTAGTAAATTCTATTTTTTCATTATAATTTTTGAAAAGAAACGATTTTTCTTCCAGGACATGCAGATGCGTTCGCCGTTCCAGCTAGTACTGGCCCATCGTGCCTTCTTCCGCAAAGGCCTGCGCGTCACAACAGAATTCTTCCACAACGCCAAATCCTTCAGCGTGGACGTGGGCGAGATCGCCGGGATGGACGATGACGAGGATTTCGAGCGTCTCCGCAGCGACATCAACACGTGGGTGCAGCGCAACACCCGCGGCCAAATCACCGAAGCCCTACCACCGTTGACACAGGTCGATCACAGCGAAGAACTGACCAATATGTTCTTGATCAGCGTCACCTCCGTCCGCGGGCGGTGGCAGCAAGCCTTCACCGAGCAGGACGTACAGCTGCAAGACTTCACCAATCTCGACGGCACCCGTGTGCGGACGCCGTTTCTGACGTGCGAAGCCATGCATCTGCCGTACTACCAGGAGGGGCGGTTGTGTTATCAGTATTTGGAGATTCCGTATGCCAATAATGAGGCGTCACTGTGTCTGATTCTGCCGTGTCAGACGCAAACCGGGAAGCGGGTGACGTTGAGTGAGCTGGTGAAGAGGTTCAGTTTGGAGGATTTCAAGAATATGGGGATTCAGAAGACGTTGAGGAAGGTGGATGTGCGGGTGCCCGTGTTTGAGATCGATCATACGTTCGATTTGAAGGATTTTTTTGGGAAGTTGGGCGTGAATAATCCCGAGAACGCGGATTTGTCCAGGATCGTCAATGAGCCGGTGCACAATTTCCGCTTGACCGGCGCGTATCACAAATGCTCGTTCGGTAAAATTTTTACTCTGATTTTTATTTTATTCCGTTTTTAATTTTTTTATTGTAATATATTAGTTACAATTCATTTTACTTTTCAATAAATTAAATTTTTTTAAACAATTTTTTAATTGTACTCGTATTTTTGTTTCTTGATTTATACATCTGCTGAATTTTATTTCAATTTTTATTTTAATTTCAATCTGAAGACTCTTTATTTCATTATAGATCTTGGATATAAAATTATTCATTTAGAGTTTTACTTCACTTTTTATTTCATTTTTCAAGTACATATGTATTTTGCAGGCTGCTAAAAATTACGGAAAAATAAATCTCCCTTTACAGGCATAAATTTAGTTGGTTTAATGTTTTACTGACTCCTTGTTTCTTTAAATATTACTGTATTATTCTGTAATAATTCTGTAGTTGCCAATTTTCCGGTTATTTGTAAATGATATAAATAAATTATTCCATCAAAAATTGTACTTTGCAGTTTATTAATTTTCTGGTTATTTATTTCCTGATTTCTGTGAAAATCAATGATACATTTTCGATTTATTACAGGCATCAATGAAAATGGCACGAGCGCGGAATTCTTCAACGAAGCCAACAAAGACGACGACGATTATTACGGACGGCGGCGCGCCAACAGCGGCGATGTGGCACCGGTCCGGCGCAGCCTACGGTCCACCGCCACCGAGACCGTTACGTTCCACGCCGACCGCCCGTTCATCTTCTGCGTCCGCCACAATCTCTCCGGGATGATTCTCTTTATTGGCCGCGTGGTGGACCTCTCTGCCGCCGAACAGACCCGCGATCTACCGGTGAAACAATCCGCGACAACGCCGCTGAAAGCGCTGTGGCAAAAATCCAAAGACTGGCTGGAAAACGAGACGGGACTGATCGGGCGCAAACGAACCGGTTCCATGTAGCATACGATCGAGTATCGCTAATAAAATTTGTTTGTTCTGTAATTTGCCATATTTGTGCATGAAATTAATAAGCAATATGTTTACTATATTATCTACCAGTTAAATAAAAATAACAAAATAAAATCATGCAAAAAACCGTTTCTGAGCCGAAAACAGCCGAGAATAAACATGAACGAACACGTTTGCAAGCAATTCCAATTCACAACTCCATCTGGAATGGTATTGGAGCGTGACGTCTGCCAGCAATTCCAAATTTACACTTCCACTGAAAATGGCGTTGGAATGTGACGTCTTCGTGGAAATGCCTGATCATGACAGAGCCGATGCGTGCCATCAGCGTGAACGCAAAATACATACAGCTCACAGTTTCCAGTTTTGGTATGCGCGACGTTTAGAAATTTTCTCTCTTCCGTTATCAAAACTGTTATTCGTGGAATCTCCTTCTTATCGGCGTGGATCTTCAGCCAGCCTTTGGAAAGTGTCATTCAGTGCGCTGTATAACCTGCTGATAGGCAATCAGGCAAAGGTAAAAGAGCGTGCACGGATAACCGAGTCATAACGCTGCTTTGCACTTTATCGCCGTGTCTTCAAATTAATTCTTGGCTGTGGAAATCAACTTAATAGCCTCCCCCATTTTCCAGATTTGTCGTTAAAGTATTAAAGAACCCTGACGATAATTTTTCCGCCTTAGAAGCCCACGATTCAGCCAGCGGTTTGACCTTCATTCGTTGGAGGAAGAATTTGCACAGGAGACAACCTCACGCGAGTTCGTCAACCATGGATTCGCTTCTCACCTTCGTCCTCCTCGCCTCCTCGGGCTTCCTCTTAGTATCCTCAGAGTAAGTGTTAGGAATATGTTTTTTCGAAAGTAAAAAACCCGTTTTCTGGAGTTGGCAGGCCGAGAGTTTGATTGGAGCTGTTGAACGTAAACAAAATCGTTTGAAAATTGTGCTCATTCAGGGAAAATCTGTTTGGTTGAGTGTGGTACAAAGAGTGTGAACAGGGTATTCTGGAGTCGCGTGGTGTTTACCCAGCGGAATTTGTTGATTTTGAAGAAATTGAATGACTGTGCTTTTCCGGAATATTTACCAACTGTTGTTTTCAGATTTTGATGGTTTTGTAACTTTTATTGATACAAAATTTTCGGAATACAAATTTAATGATAAAATTTCGATAGCAAAATGTTGGTTCGTGCTTGGCTCCGCTCAGATTTGAGAGTTATTGCGACTGTTGAATTTTGAAACCTGTTTGACCTTCGTCAGCTGATGCAGCCTAGTACAGGGATTTCGCAGTAGCGTTTTAGTTGAATCATTACAGATGTATTATGATCATTCTAGTGTTTTCTTGCGCTGGTAATTTATCCAGATGGTTTTGTTTGCACTTCCTACGTTCCCCGCGTCGCAGATACCGTTGACCTACTTTTCCGGAAGTTTCAGGACATTGTCCCGTGCAGGGTCGCGGAGCGTGCAGGCCGTTGTAGTCAGGGGGAGGGGTTGAGGCGGATGAATGAAAGCGGGAATTTTCCACTTGTCTCAAAGAATGAATGAGATGAAAAAGCGGTGAATAGCGATCATTTTGGAATTGATTTTTCTTTTTTTGTACATTGATATATTATTGAATATGGACCAATGATCTTCTAATTAATTTTGATAGTTTATTACAATCCTTTCTCCGATTTTACACCAATTTAAAAGCTCATTAAATTAATTTTTTAACAACGTTCTCATTTATGGTAATTAAATGGGAATTTTTTATTCATTTTGTTATTTTTTTGTTTACTGGTGTAATGATATTGATATGAATTTTTTCAGAGGGTGTGATACGTGTAGATAATTAAAAAAATAATGTAGATAACTTTTAGAGTATTTTCTCGGTTTATGATGTAAATTTTGGTTGTGTAATTTTTCCTTGATTTATAAAAGAATATTCAGTAATTCATGGTTAATTTCCAAAATGCATTATTCATGGTTTTGGATGGCTGCTGGTGCATAATGTGAGGGTCATGTGATGTTTGCTCGCTGCAGCGATGAGGGCCGATTCTTCGTGGGTTGACGATTACGGCGCGTTATCAGTTTGCGCCGATTTCAGGTGGAATTTCTGACAGTTTTATGGGGATATTTGTTGATTAAAAATATGCACAAGGCACACGTAGGGTGTAAACGTGTACGGGAGGCGTTTTTCCTTATGCTGTCATTATTGGAATAAATAGCGATATGAAGCTGTTCATCACATGCCTGCGGCGGGTAGTGTGCTGACGATTTAGTGCTCGAGCTGATTCACCAACAGGAAAATGAATGTGTCCTCATCCGCGCGTTTTTGTGCTCATCGGGGCGCATTCCGCGGCGGTGAAAAATAGTGAATTTCGTGACGATAAGGAAGCCAGTTTGGGGAACGTGCTTATGCGTGTCATTTCCGGCTGCGATCGTATCGCTCGCGCCCAATGACGTGGACATTTTTGAAAAATGCCTGAACCGCTAAATAATTAAGAATTTAGTGAACTAGTGTAATAAATTGTCCATTAATTTTCCGGTAATGTTTTCTGTTAATTAATTTGATAGTAAATAATCAGTAATTGTCTTCCAGCAAAAATAGTTTGGAGAAGTTATTATTTTATTACATAAAATTGTTAGACAGTTAATTTAGAAAATTGTTTGATTTGTTTCTTAAGCTTTCTGAAGACCTTACGTAAAATAAACATATTAATAATTTAGGGAATAAACAACAGAGTTCTCATTTTACCGGTGGGTTTTACACTGGGATTTCCTGTAATTTTGTAAAATTTTGGATCGATAGTTTCGCTGTTGATTTCATTTGAAATACGATGGATGTTGTTTCCCGGTATTTTTGTCTGCTCTCTGGTACGATGGAGAATCGAGAATTGCCGGTGAATAATCATCTCGTGGCGCTCGCGGCGAAGTAAATACCAAGTACTTACAGATACACCGACCAGTTTCGCGGTTGAAACGACTGTTGACCGCTGGTCACGAGTTGCATAGTCTGTTGACGATAATATTAACGATAAGCAATTCCACGCAAAGTCGTGGCAGGTTAACGATTTATTTTCTGAAATCGCATTATGGAATTTCATATCGTAATCTGACGTATTTCAGAGTTGTGAGAAATGTGCTGGCGTAAAAATCCTGTTAACAGAAACTGTGGATTAGATTGACTTTTATTTATACCACGCAGTCCTTCAGTAATTAAAAATATATGAAAAATGTATAAAATACGAGCATTGAGGAAGATAGGTAATCCGAGCAGACACACTAATTTGACATAATAATTGAGAAATCAAATAGAAATGAAATGAAATAATAGAATGAATGATGTTCGTACAACGTTGTAGAATGATGGCCGTAGTGATTTGACTCATGACTGTAATGTCGCGACGTAAAAGTAATAAAAGCTAACGTTGTAGAATTATGAGAAATATTCCTCGTTTTTTATATAAATAAATATTACTGAATTGTTTCTAGTATGACCACATGGCAGGTGGAGCAGGGCGGTAACGTATGCATACTAGCGGAGTTTAACGCAGACTTTAACATCTCCTACTGGGCCGAGGCATCCCAACGGGCGGGACCCTATCAGACCAACGTGACCCTGGCGGTGCCCAGTACCGCCACGGTGTCCCCGCGCAGCGTCTGTTCGCCCCCCGACCCCACCGCCCAGGATCTCGTTATCACGTGGCCGGCCAAGACCCCCGGCGCGCAGCCCTTCAACCTCACCGTCCACTTCACCTACACTGCACTCAACGCCACGTACACTATCGAAAAGGTGTCAGTGGAGTACGATCTGGCCGACAATGTGACGTTCCCGCTGGCCGTTGACCCGAAGACCCGCGAGGCCCATACCACTGGGGAATTGGTGCCGGTGGTCAAACAGAACAACACCTGGCAGTGTTTATCGCGGGAGAAGGTGACGCTGATTGCTGGCGACGGCCCGGCTTACGTCGTGTTCAGTAACGTCAAGGTGGAGGCCTTCCGGATGGGAAGCGACGCTACTTGGGTGGACCCCGTGGTGTCCTGCGCCGATGACCAACCCACGACGGTCTCGACACCCTCCACGACCGAAACGAGCACCACATCCACCGAGACCACCACCACATCGACCTCGACCACCTCCATGCCAACAACTATGTCCACGACCCTCGCGCCAGGTCCAGCGGCCGACTGGTGGGTGCAGAACCCCTCCAACACGTCCAAATGCGTCCTGGCCAGCTTCATCGCCCTCCTGGACATCCAGTACACCGCCAACAACGGCACGGCCAACTACACGGCCACCACCACCATCGGGACGGCCAACTCCACGTTGACCATCGCTCCCGGAAGCTCCTGCATGAACAGCACCGTCTACAACACCACGGAGAACCAGGCTATCGTCCTCCAATGGACCACCAAAGGGAACTATCAGTACATGCTGTCGTTCCTCTTCGAGAAGCAGGCCAACGGGACCACCGGGATCTCCCATGTCTCCGTGGTCTACGACCTCCGGGACGCTGCCAACTTCCCCAACGCGTTGATGGACCCGACGTACGGGCCGGTGCGCGTGGCGTCCAGTGATGCGACGGTCGCGGTGATCGAGAGCGGCATGTTTTTGCGGTGCAACACCGGGTTGTTGGCGAAGCTGAAGGAGACGAAGGAGATGCTGCCCGTGGGCGTGACGACGTTCTACAGTATGTTTGAGGCCTTCCGGATGAGTAATACCAGTACGTTCGACGATAAGGAGCAGGTGTGCCCGCAGGATTTGACCAGCACCACCGTGACCACGGCGGCGAGGTAGTCTTTCGGTGTTCGCGATGATTGGACGGTTCTTCTTCGTTTCGTGCTTGTTCAGCCCCTTATTTGTGCGCATCCCCCGAATTGCTGTCTTCCGTTGCGTGTAAATTGTGATTAGGAATTTTTAGTAATTATTATTTAATTTTAGTAATTATGTAGGGAATATTTTAGGATTTTCGTTGCGCTGCGTGTGTCGATGATTTATAGCTGAATTTAATTATTTATAGAAATTGCTGGAATAATTTACTGCGTGTTGCTTTGCAGGTTAAATTGCGCATTTTCTTAGCGCAATTAGCGTAGTGTAATTTTGTTCGCTGTTGCCGATTTATTTGCGCTCGAAACTCATTTAAAATTATTTTAAAATGATAGGAATCTGGCAAAGCACTATGCTGCTTAATTTTTGTACAGGGCTTTCTGCGCTTATTGCTAGCGCGGAATTTATTTGCCGATTTATTTTGCTCAGTATTTATTACCGATTTATTTTGCGTAGGATTGTTGCGAGATCTGTGGGCGTAATATTTATTGCGGATTTATTTAAGCATCGTATCTGTATTGTTGCCGAATATTTTTTATTTTTTTCGTTGCGTTTTATGGAAGCGTTACGTCTTTTCGTTAGTTCCCCCTATGTTGCGCCGTTCCCACGTGATTTATTAATTTTTCCACCATTTTTAATATTTATTCATTTATTTGCAGCACCACCCCCCAACCTGGCCCGAAAGCCCAGTGGATGGTGAAGGACCCGGCCACCGGCGACCAGTGCATCCTGTCGACCCTCAACGCCACCTTCTTAATCACCTACAACGCCACCAACACCCAGACCAAGGCCTTCTACAACCGCAACACCACCTTCACCCTCCCGGACACTTCCATGCTCTCCGTCGACACCGGACGGTCCTTCTGCAACGCCGGGACCACCGTGCCCACCCAGCGCCTCGTTCTGACCTGGACCCACGCCACCACCTACCGCTACAACCTCACCCTGGACTTCCAGACGGACAACACCACCGGGAAGACGGCGGTGGACCGGGTGACCCTGGAGTATGATCTGAACGATCAGGAGTACTTCCCGGAGGCCACGATGGACGAGAAGCTGGGGAACCTCCGCACGGCGGTCAGCGACGGGGTCGTGGTGAGGATCGGGGGGCATATGTACCTGAAGTGTGATTCGGGCGTCCCGGCCAGTCTGACGGAGACCCGGGAGAAGAAGAGTGTCGGGGTGATGATGACGGGAGTGAAGTTGGAGGCGTTTAGGATGAGTAAGACGGAGACGTTTGATGATGCGGCGGATGTGTGCCCCGGGGATTTGGTGCCGACCACCACGCCCATGCCCGTCACCTCCACCAAGAAACCGGTGCAGTTGCCCGTCTACAATGTGACGGAGGGTGGTGTCGTGTGTCTGCAGGCCACGTTCGATATGAGTAAGTCAGCCACATGCGTGACATTCAGTAGAAATCACTATGTATCGATTACTACGCATTATTTGTATTTATTGATTATTAGCCATTTATTGGTGGTGAAGTAACTAGTTCAATCGGGAATTATAATCACTGTTATTTACTTTTAAATTACTGGCTATTTATTGCGAGTGAATTTCTAATTAATCGCTAATTATTATCAGTAATTTCTAAGTTATTAGTGTAATGCATGGGTGATTAATTGTGCAGTAATAATGGATTGGGGAGTAATTAGTAATATTTTAATGTTGTCCCTATTAATAATGTTTCATTTTGTACCGGGCTTGGCTACCCGAAAATAAATTAAATCAAATCAGTAATCTGTTGTCGAAACTCGAAGCAATACGAATAAAAAATAGCATAAATAATAATGAATATTATGAATATTTGGTTTACGGGCTTGGCCACTCGAAAATAGATGGAATTAAATCAATAATTTGTTGGCGAAACGTTACGAATAAAAAATGGAATAAATAATTATAAATATTATGAATATGTGGTTTACGGGCTTGGCTACTTGAAAATAAATCAAAATAATAAAATCAATAATTTGTTGTCGAAACAATACGAATAAAAAAATAGAATAAATAATCATGAATATTTGATTTACGGGCTTTGGCTACTCGAAAATAAATCAGAATAATTAAAGCAATAGTTTGTTGTCGAAACAATAGGAATAAACATTGGAATAAATAATTAGTGAAGGAATAATGGGATAATGCATCATTTCCTCCGTGTAGCGATGATCATCCAGTACTTCAACCACTCGGGCGCCGTGATGACCGATACGCAGAACAACCTGAACAACGCCACCGTAGACCAGACGCTGTCGCGCTGCGGCAACGAATCCTCCATCCTGGCTCTGCACAACTTCTTCCCCGACTGGATTCTCATGTTCAACTTCACCCACACCCCCACGCAGTTCTACCTGACCAACATCAACCTGCAGTACAATCTCTCCAACTACCCGGCGGCCAACGACACCCGCCCGTATTATCTGCAGACGGATGTGAAGGACTTCACGGCGGATCTGGGACGGTCGTACGTCTGCCACGCCGCCACGAAATGGGCGTTGAATACGACGAATTCGGGGCATTCGCTCAAGGAGCTGGATGTGGAGTTGGCGCAGGTGAAAGTGCAGGCGTTCATGGTCAACGGGACGCTGGGCAGTGAGCAGGAGTGCGCCGCGGACGGCGGGGATACCTCGGAGATTGTCCCCATCGCCGTGGGGTGCGCGTTGGCGGCCCTGGTGATTATTGTGCTGATTGCCTATGTTATCGGGCGACGGAGGAATCGGGCGCGCGGCTACGAGAGCATGTAGAACGGATTCCGCAAAAATGCCGCGGAAAAAATGCAGAAAATAAATACTGATTACAAAAATCCGCGGAAAAAATACAGTGTGCGGAAAACATGCGGCTTTTTGACGGCAAGTTGCAAAAACAATCAAATGGGCTTTCCGAGTTTTCTCCTCTGTTCGATTTCGTCGTTTTGGTTGACTGTTTGTTCTCCTTCTCTATCCGGTTTTCGTGTCGCTCGCGTTGTAATTTTGTCTTTTATTTCGATTGTAACTATAATTCATATTTATCGCCTGGACATACGTTAGTGTTCTTCTGTTTTTTTTTTCGGATTTGATTTCGGATCGGCGTACCAAAAAAATTGAATGTTCTGTGTTTTTGATCGATGATGAATGATGATGTGTATTAGGTATTCCACGTATAATGATATTCCTCGTTTTTTGCTAATGCGTGTGTGGTGGTTCGTGCTGCTCATAATAAATATTAAATAGAAATTTTATTCCGACTTTACGGGGTTTTTTTACCTGCAGTAAAAAATCACGCATATTAAGTACAAATAAAATCATTAATTTTGCGATAATTAATATCCAAAAAACAAATATCCGAAAAATATATTAATATCCAAAATATATGTGTATCTTTATATATTAATATCCGAAAACATCCCATTTTATGCGACATTTTTTTTCATTAAAATATGGACTGGATTTTTGACAAAATACCGGTCATCAATTTGGCCTCGCTGAAATCAGAAAATATCATTATCAGGAAAAAACTGCAATACAGAATAGTTACTCTATTTTTAATACAAGTATATTTTACAGAGTAACGCAACCTAGCAATGACAACATCACGACGACGGTGATTCCCAGCAGCACCGCGACCGTCCCGACGCCGGCTCCGTGGCAGATGTACCGGGTGATGGATGCCAACGGGACGCTCTGCATCACCGCCAACTTCAGCCTCAGTATTACACAAAAATCGAAAAATGATTAACCTAGAATATTAATTTTTAATCAAATTTTCGCACAATTTCTTTTGATTTATTTGATTTTGATTTATAGTTTTTGAAAATCAATTTTATTTATTTATTTTAAATATTCTTTATCTATTTCTTTTTAATTTTTTTATTTAAAAAATAATAATTAACCTTGAATAAAATATTTCTCATTCAAGTTTTTAATTAGTTTTTTATTAATATTTTGGAACTCAATTTCATTTATTTCATTTTTTATTTGTCTTAATTTATTTTTATTTAATTTCATTTTTATGAAGTTAAACTGTTTATTTGTTTATTTACCTTACTTGTTTAATTCCGTTTCATTTCGATTTATTCAATTTTGTTTAATTTTTGTTTCATTTTATAGGTGTCTCGGTGACCTTTCTGGACATGACTTACGGTGGCTACCAGGACACCACCGTCAACCTCCCTTTTCTCAACACCGGCCGCGTCCATCCCGACCGCTCCCGGTGCGGCGCCACGCCCACCCTGGCCCTGGACACCTTCCTGCCCGACTGGCTCCTGGAGCTCCGTTTCGCCAGGAACGGCTCCACCGGCAACGACACCGACTCGATCTACTACCTGGACACCGTCCAGCTGCGCTACACCCTCAACAGCAGCCGCTTTCCGGGGGCGGCCGACACCCGCGACCGTCTCAGCGAGGCCGGCGACCTGGCGCTGGCGGTGAGGCCCTTCGGCGCGACCTTCCACAGTCCGGAGGTGGTCGTGGAGCTCAACGCCAATCCCGAGGGGGTCGTGGTGCCCAGTGTGGCCGAGCTGAAGGTCACCCTGACGGAGGTCACGTGGGAGGCGTTTGTTGGGGAGGTGTGCGAGGAGCCGACGGCGGGCACGACCGCGGAGGTGCCGGTGACGGCGACGCCGGTGCCGGTGGTTGTTCCTAGTTATGTGGTCCGAAGCAACGACGGGAATGTCTGTATTCGCGCGGACTTTATCTGGCGTAGGTGACCTTTTGCAAAATGCCGAAAAAAACCCAAACAGACTAACATTAAGGTAATTAAATTCAAAAATTAATAAAACAGATCGAAAAAGGCGAGAATAAAATACTATAATATTTTTAACAAAAACATCTAAAAAGGTATTACTATTTTAGTAGGCTGCTGCGTCGTGAGAAAAATGAAAACAAAGTGAAATAAAAAAATAGTACTCCGAAATAAATAATATGAAATAATAAACAAAAATAAATATTATAAAATAATAAATCAATATAAAATATAAAGGAATAAAACATAGAATCGGTAATTATTAAATATTAAGCAATAATTAATAAAAGGTATTTATTTTGGCGCGTATTTGCAACAAGTCGCGCGACTTGTTGCAAATACACCGGTGCTGTATTAACAGGAGAGTGGCAGTTCGTGTACACGGTCGGCAACACCACCATGACCTTTCCCACCTTCGCCTTCGACACCGGAAGTGTCGCGCCGACTTCCAACTGCACCTTATTAGAGGTCACTGGCACCTCCGGTTACCAAAGCACTCCTTGGAGACTCTGCCTGTCCTTCGCTCAGCTGCAGGACGAGTGGTCCGTCGGTGACCTTTCCCTTTCCGTCTTCCTGCCGCTGCCCGACACCACCGGGATGCTCCTGTACAACGCCACCACCCCCGGCGACCACTTCCGGACGCCCCTCGGGGCCTCCTACCACTGCGACGCTAACACCACCCTGACGCTGGAGGGGATCCCGTTGATCCGCGGGATGGAGTTGGTTATCTCCGGGGGACTCCAGTTGGAGGCCTTCCTGCCGCCGGGGAACGACGGGAACTTCTCGACGTCCGCGGGGCGGTGCGACGGCGAGACCACGCCCACGGCGTCCTACATCATCGCCATCGTCATCGCGGCGGGGCTAGCGACGCTCGTGGCGCTGGTGGTCGGGTGTTACGTGCTGGGACGGGCCTGTATGAAAAGGTCACACTATGATCAAATGTAAAAACATGATCGATTGAGCAGTGGCATAATAAGTAATTTACTTTCAGTGTTTGGTTTTAGTTTGATTAGTTTCTATTTTTTAATACGTTTTCGTAATTGGAAGACTGGTCTGGGTGGTACTCCGATGTGTACCCAAATTTTAACCTGACAGGTTAAGGTTGCTCGCAATATGTAAGTTGCTCGCATAAACGTCATTTCAGAATACTGTGATTAAAATATATATATGCATGTACTGTATAGTGTATACCACGTTTTTTTTAACCGGCAGTCGACACACTGATACAGTGTAAGCAATAAAACGAATTCGATACGAATGCTCTAGTGCCACTGGCACTATCATACCATACGCGCGAGGAAGCAGAAAACCCAACCGATAAATATCTATATTTGGTAGATAAAGTGGGAAAAATAGGAATAATGTGTATGTACAGTATGTATTTCTTATGCCCTAAAACGGCCACAGACCACGAGTAAGAACTATAAACGAAACGCCATGGTAAAACGATTAACCAGCAATATACGTACTATACTACATGTACAATACATTAATAAGATCTGAAAGATGTTAGTATTCACATATATGTGACAATTATATAATTGTTGACTTCTGATAGGTACTCGTATATACAGATACACACACTTATGTTTTCGCTGCATGTGCAAGAGACGAGAGTTATGGTATCATAATATAATATGTATTTAGCTTTAGAATAACATAAAGTATTACAAAAAGTAATCTAGAGTGCGCGAAAGCGAATGTCTTGGTGTATGTATCCCATTTTTGACACTATGTACCGGGCCATTTTTTAATGCGACAGAAATTATATGGCGCGGGAGAAACTCGTAGAATGTACAGTAGATGTACACAGTAGCTCGAGATACAACTGCAGTGCACATCTTGTACTCTATTACCAAGTCGAAAATTTGATGACAGTCCAAACAATGGCGATCAGTGATGCTATCGAGTAAAAGTCATTTGAGAAATTTAATGTAATTGCCTGGCGGAATCTGGCTATAAAAACGGTCGGTGCAGTAAGGGACAATCTAACTGCAAAGCGCTGTTAAGCACTGCGATCAACGTAGTGCAGTGGGCATCATCGAAGCGCCAGCATCGCGCAAATATCGCTCTACATATCTGTATCTTTACATGCTGAATTGGTCGACAGGCTTGTACAATACATGTACCTTTACGCAAGAAATTATTCACCCGACTAGTACACGTCGGTCCCGCAGTGCCCTGCGCCGGCAGCGGTTACTCCGCTTGGAAAAGGATTCTCCCTGGATGCAGTCAATTAGGAGAATAGGAGACATCCCGGACGTTGAAGGCGCCGCGACCAACCAACGATGAAGATGCACCTTCAGTGGCACGGTTCCCGCGTTCCCGGCGGCCGTTAACGCTTTCCAGCTGGACCTCGGATCCTCGGGCAGCCGGGAAGATGCACCATTTAGCTGTACCGCCAAGATCGTGGAAGGTCACAGTGTAATCCGCAAACGTTTTGTACAATTTCTAAATCGCGGCGAAAGTACAGTAAATGCTTGACAGTGCTACTGTCCAGTTGCTCATACGTATGTATATACGGGTAAATAATTGTCGGGAATCAGGTTAATTCGATAGTGTCGCTGAGGGCAGATATTGAAATATGCTCGCAGTCGTAACTGCGGGCTGGATATTACGTAATATCCAGAGGTAGAATTAAGTAATACTGATTTGATAATTAGCAATAAGTATACATAGATTGGACATTAAGCGTAACTGTAGTATCTAACTAGCACAACTGCAAAATAAACCAAGGTGGCGTTTTCTTGTCTGCTTCGCAGTCAGCGAAAACATTCCGTCGCGGACTCGCTGTGTCCTCGGGAGCCCGTACGGCTCCTTCCAGGGACCCTGGACGACGCGGCCCTGATGGAGCCACATCAAGTGGTTGCGCAGATCCCGGGGAAAGTCTCCGCCCGGTCGTCCAAATGCATGATGTTTGCCTGCATGATTGTGTGCTGTTTAGACCGATGTATGACGTTTGCCTTGAAATGCGGCACGTGCTTAGCATGGAACGTCGCCTGCATCAACACCGTCGCATATCAAGGCCACTTCGACAGCCGCGGTAGCCGCCGCCCAAGCCGAAGACAGGAACACCACTTAGACCAGACGTATCTGGACGGCAGATGCATACAGACTATGAATATCTGGACGGCAGATACATTTTCGCGCCGCTAGCCTTCGAAAACCTCTGGCCTTGGGGAAAGCCGGTATCCGTTTTAGCAAAGGACATCGGCAAGCGACTGCAACAGCACACGGGCGAACCTCGAGCACACAAATTCTTGCGCCAGCATCTATCGATCGAAATTCAACGGGTCAATGCGGTGTCCATTCTTGGAACCATAGATGTAACGGATAACTTGAGAGAAATTTTTCTGTTATAATGAATCCTCTTATTGTTAACAAAATTTGCAATGTGACTGGCTTGTGCTAATAGAGACACGTTATAACTCATCTGTCTGAAAACTGAAAAAAGCCAATAATCTTCAAAGATATCAGAATTTTCTACCATCAGTAAATATATGGCTTGCAATTGCCCGGTGTCTGAAACACAATCTTCCTGATAAATTGACCATCGCCCGATCCAAGCAAAAAGGGGTCGGCCAAGATTACCTTTGCCTCCCCTTTGCCTTTGCCTTTTTCAATGTCAGAGACCGCACACTCGAGGCGGTAGACACCTCTTGTGGCTTTGCTCTGTCGCCCGCCCGCACATGGCTACTCCATTCGTGCCGCGCTATTACGCTGCTCACTCAGCGTATACTTTGTCTACGCTGACCAATCAGCGTATTTCTGCACTCTTGGGGGCGTAGCCCAGCGCTTACGAGCGATTCCATGCTTTACGGCATCAGCTGTTGCATACCTGCAGCACGCTGAATCATTAATCACGATTCTCACGAGCTCGCTGGCAGCTACTTTCCACAGCTTAGACCGCATTGGTTTTCTGTGTTTGTTTGTGGTTGCTTTATTGTTACCAATAAAGGCATATTTTGCCCCATTTTCCATCTGCTTCTGTGTCTTATCTGACATGGTAGCAGTATCGCTCGGTTTTCCTTCCTGCGAACCTCTGATCTCCCAGTGAAGGCATCATCTCGGTCGAACTACGCTGATCGCCTATAAGTAGGCCAGCAAACCCGCGACCACCATCTGTCTCCCGCATCATACAGGTTTCATTGGAAACCTGCAGCGCGACGGAATAATCATACGGGTCAGGCTTATAAGTAAGCCTCCCGCAGCTTTGGCTCCCCGCACAAAAACTGTGTTGGGTACGATCCTGTTGACCAAATAAGCGCCCTACCGGGTTGCGTTGATACGGGTCGGTGCCTATCAGTAGGTCCCCCGCAGCTTTGGCTCCCGGCGCAAAAACTGCGTTCGGTACGGTCCTGTCACATCTGACGCCCTATCGGGTGCGCTGCGGCCCTCACGGAAGAAGAGGGTGAAGGGGATCGACGGAGCAGCATTGTCTGGAGCGAATAACCGCCGGTAAGACCTGCTGTGACGCGTAGGTTTTCGTAGAACTCTTGAAAATTTCGAGGTTTTCGCGTAACTTTAAAATCCCATAACTTTCGAACCTTTTATCCGATTTGCTCAAAAATAGCTTTTTCGGATTCCTCGTGAAATTCTGTCCTAAAAAAGTAAAACAGAACTCTCGAGAAAATTTTACCTGATTTTTTACGAATTATCGGCGAAAAACAACCGCCATTTTGTCCAGCCGGAATTTTCGCGAAAAAGTCGCGTGACGTCAGAGTGGTAACTTTCCATAAAATTTCGACCAATCAGAACACGTGGGAAACTTCCCCGTGTTATAACAGTCGTAGTGACTCATATTATTTTTTGAATTTTGCTCACGGCACGCTACTCGTGACGTAGAGCTAATTGCAAGACCATGTTGTAACTGACGTCACACTGGTCAATAACGTAACATAGGGCCATAGGAAGCTAACGCTAAACCTGAGCTCTAGCGTACCTGACCAGCACCGACAGCGATTCAACCCAACGTTCCGGTCCGGACCAAGACCAAAGAAATTCTCTAAGTCCCAATACCATGGGCCAAACTCAAAGCGCCTTGGCCAAGGTGATGCCATACACCAGCCATGAGCAACTCCAACGGAGATTGCTCAGTCCTATGGACAGGCGCCAGCAAAACGATTATGCCAAACCTCGCGGGAAGAACTACGCCACGCGCGAACCAACGGGGCCTTACGGGCTTCGTAGCGCAAGGCCAACCAGTTCTGACCCGGACGAGCCAAACTCGGCCGGCTCTACGAGTTCGGTCGAGGCCAGAGCCAGGCGGGACAACCAAATCCTGCCGGCTGACCTGGAGACAAGCGACGAAAGTCTGGACGCCACCCGGGACGATACATTCCTGGAAGCGTCCGACGGGTTGTCCGAGGCCAACCAGCCTCAGGACAGCCAACCTGGCGGCGATAAACCGGCCCAGGCCAACAGTGTCCCTCGGGACTTGGCACAACAACCGGCCATACCTGGCTCGGGCCAAGTCCAACTTGAGGCGCCAACGGCGGCCACAAGTGAGGACAAGACACGCACCGATGGACCAGGGCCAAACAACTTGGCCTGGTCCAACCTTGACGTCCAGGGTCTGACAACAAGTCCAACCCTATCGGGCTTGGACCAGATCCAACCTGAGGCACCAACGGTGGCCAAAGGTGGACGCAAGGCAAAGGGCCAAGCCAAAAAGGCTGGTCCAAAGGCACATGACCAGGGCCAACAGCCCGTGAGTCAGTCGCCAATCATGTTCGAAGTCGATGGCTCAACCCCCACAACGCCATCGCCGACCAATGACGTCATCGGCGCGTCTGGCCCGTCCAAACCGGACCGAGAGCCAATTGTGGACCTGGCCCAACTTAATAGGGCCACAGCCAGGATGGACCTTAACCAGCCCTCCAGGGACACAAGCCGCGCCAACGTCAGCCCGCCAAAGCTGATCCAGGCAACCCGGCCCGAGGAGATCGACGAAGTCGACCAACTTCGGACCACAGTAAGGTACCTGACCAAACAGCTGGCGGACATAGCAGAAGCAGCCCTGTCATCCGAACGTTGGATGCAGGACGAGATCTGCAAACACAAAGACCTTGCGTCCAAATCGGACGCAGAGGCTAAAAGCGTCTCGGCCATACTGGCCCAGACCCAACTTGAGCTGACCCAGCTCAAGTTGTCACCATGTCCCAATGCTGAGCGGGACCAGCTCGGCAGGACAATCCACAGCCTAGAAATGGCAGTGGCGGGACTTGAAGCCTTGCTCACCTCTACGAGGACTGAGCTGGCCAAAGCCAAGGATGACTTGACTGCGGCCCGGACCACCATTGACGAAACCGATTCAGAGGCGGACCGCCTCTTGAATGAAAATGAGCGTCTTACCGACGACTTGGCCAACCTGCAGGACGAAATCAACCGCCTGCGGAACGGCTACAATCTTCTTTATGAGAGCCACCAAAATCTCATGAAGACGATCCAACAAGGAGGACTGTTGAGCCAAACGGTTCAACAGAAGGAGGCACAGAACGTGCAACTCCAGCAACAGATCGTTGCCCTCCAGAGCCAGCTCAAGACCGAATCAACCATTCGGGTCCAACTTGAGCAAAACAGCGCCATTGGACATCAAAACTTTGTCCAACTGGAGCAGGCCTTCAACCAAGCCAAACAGGTGATCCAGGGCCAATATGACCGGATCATTACATTGGAGGCCAATAATGCCAGCCTGGTCAAAGACTACCAGGCGGCCACCCAACGTATTACGGAACTCAACGAGGACCTGGAAAGGCTAAGCACGGAGAACGCCTGCTTAGATGCGGAAAAATTACACCTTGCAGACATAAACTCCGAGTTGTCCGCAGAACCACCGTCCTACCATACCTTTCCGGACTCGGATACACAGCGTCGACAAGAAAAAGTCGACGAGGCTTTGCGGCAGGGCCAACGGTTCTACCGCCAGCCAGTGTATCACCAGCAGAACTATCATGTCAACATGGCTGTGGAAGGACCATCGGTTGGACATCCCCCAACAGGGCCAACCATACCAGCGCCTCCCAGCCCGGTGAACCAGGGATCGTCCACGGCGACAGTAACGCTGCCGCCACCACCGATCCCGGTCACCACATCCGCCACTATTGGTCCAACGACGATAGTGACACCCGCAACGCAGACTTACCCGTCTATGTCAAGCGGGCCAGGCTTCGACCCAAGCCAGGCAACACCCAGCCACAGCTACTTTGGGTCAAGGCCATCGTACCCGTCCTTGTATCCATCCATATTCCCGAACATGGACTTTAACTTTAGTCCACATCCGGCCACAGGCCAGGCTCATACCAGCGGCGTGGATCCAAACCGGACCAACCCGCTGAGCCCAATGTTCGGGCCACCGGCCACACAAGGACAGATGGGAGGCCAAAGTGGTACACCAACGGTGCAACAACCACTAGTAGGCCAAATAAGCCTATTTGGCCCTCCTATCTCGGCGGCAGCCCAAACGGGCCAAGCTCAGCCGCAGACGGGCCAGAATGTGCCCATGGGCCAAAGCGTGCCCCAACCACTAGGCGGACCGCCAACGGCGGCCACGCCACCAGGACCCGCAGCCCAACCAGGCCAGGGCCAGAACGCGCCCATGCTGGTCTAGCTCCCGAATGGAGCATATGGATGGATGGCGTCCAACGGGGCCATCCAGATTATACCGGGACAGCCAATGTTGGCTCAACCCCAGCAGGTGCCGCAGATACCACTGCAACAGCTGACACCTGCCCCGTCGCCACCGGCCAGTCCTTCTCTCTCAACCAGAGAGCAAATCAAGGAGATGGCCCAAGAGATGGGAAAAGCAAATGCGAGAGCTCAAGTCCGCACCGTGTTGCCAAAATTTGACGGCAACAAAACAATGGTGAAAGGATGGCTTGCACAGGTCCGACGGATCTGTAAGCAGTCGTCCGATCTGAATAAACCAGATTCGGACTTTATGAGCCGAATTTACATGGCCCTATCGGACCCTGTAAAGGAATGGTACACTGGCCAAGCCAATCGTGAAGACGAAGACGGCTGGACGGTGGAAGAGTGGCTCCAAAAATTCGCCACTCGCTACGGCGATGACAATCAGCAGGCCACTGCCATGGGGGAAATCACACACCGGTGTTATCAACACGGGTTCGAAACCCCAGAGCAGTACTACGACGCCATGCTGACACTCCAGACGCGTGCTGGCCTAGACGAAACGATGACCCTTCACTTTCTGAGGGAAAACGTGAAAGAGCCAGAACTGCGCCGCGCTCTGGACATCCGGATACCGAAGTCACCGGCAGATTTCCGGGACTATGTCCGGCAATATACTATGGGAAAGCCGGAGTACGAGGGAAAGGCGGGCCGAGGATACCCAATCATCCGATCGGCTGTACAAACGCCATTAGCCCAGGTCGTACCACAACAACCGGCACTCTATCCTCCGCAAGCGACACAGGCCCAAATTGAGGCAACATACGCCGCTATCGCGGCTCTGAACTTGGCCTCCCCACAGCGTGGGCCCACACCGCCCAACGGCGGTGGTGGTGGCTATGGCCAGGCCCGGAACCAGGGCAACTTTGGCTATAGCCAGGGCAACAGTAGCGGAGGGCCAAAGGGCAAATTCTCCAAGGGCCAAAACGCCAGCTTTAGCGGAAACCAAGCCGACAATAGCCCTGGGGGACAGAACCGAAGCCCAGGAGGTAACGGAGGCCAGAGTGGCCAACGCCAAACTCTGAGCCTTGAAGAGGCCCGCAGACAAGAGGACATGTACATCGACCGAGTCGAGCGCATGTTCGAACGATGGGCCAAAGACGGGTTCATCACTTGCAGCCACTGCCTGTGGGGAAACCACACAACCGAAGGCTGTGGCTATGCAAACAGGCCATACGGCGAAAATCCAAACCGAAAGTGGTACTTGGATTGGCGGAGCCGTTACACAAAGGGCTACCCTACCGGGTCAGCAAACCCTAACCGCTTCGGCTTAGTGCCACCCAAACAACCCAGACCACAACGTGGTAATGGGGGGAATGGCAGCCGAAGACAGTCCACCGGCTCAGGAAATGGGTCTGGTGGCGGCAATCGCCAGAATGGTCCAAAGCAGGGATACCAAACGCCAGCCAATGAAAGGCCAGCGCTACCACCCATACCGGACCAGCTGGTAAAGCCAAACGGCAATGGCGGCGGCCTCAACCGGGCCAGCCCCATCGCGGGAAACGCTTAAGGTCGGGGAGTATCGGCAACTCACCTGACCTAAGACCGGAACCTAAACCGCCGGACATAACCCCTGTACAGTTACTAACCCCCATGGATCCCAAATCGATGGCTCAACAGCCTACCGGCGGATCCAGGTTTAGCGCCAAACCAGCGACTAAGCCACCTGGCTCTAAAAGTGATGCCAGACCGACAGTCGCACTGCAGGCGACCAAGTCGATTTTCGGAGCCTCAACTAACCCCAAGGCCAACCGATCACCAAAACTCGGAGCCTCAACCAACCTTAAGGCCAACCGACTACGTGGCAAAGCGAGACGTCGCACCACGAACATGACGTACCCACAATCGGCGTCAGACACATCCTCCGACAGCGCACCGGAAGGATGGTCCGTAGGAAGTACGGACAGCGAGGTTGATCCACCGGAAGAGTGGACAGCCGAACCTCTTGAGGCGTCTACCCCTCGGATCTGTGAGCTCCAGACCCGTGGACGACCCCTCGGCACCACACCAACGGTGCGTACCATCAACAGTTCACGGACCTTCCTAAACACCAAAAATATGTTCTCGACCCTACGGGTAGCGGAAACATCACCGCAGGAAGAGTCTGTCCAACAGGAGCTAGCAGCACCCAAGCATGCTCCTAACGATCCAGGACCAGTGTCGCTAATCCCCATTGTACCGGTGATGCGGGAAGTGACAGTTGGTCTCGACGAAAATCGCAAACCAAAGACCGTAAGAGCATGGACACACAAAGTCCAGATTGGACCAGTCCACACGCTCGCTATGCTGGACACCGGAGCGGAGACATCCCTCATCAGCCAGCAATTCTGCACCGCCAATGGCATCAAAACAGAGCCATTACGTCGGAACACCAAAATCCTTGGTGTTGGCGGACAAACCGCCTTTGTGGTCTCCCTATGCTGCACCGTACCGGTGACATTGCAGGGATACAAGAGCCACCACACGTTCTTCGTCCAACCGACGTTAACGGACGTGCACGTATTACTTGGCTGTGACTATCTCCACTCCAAGTTTACGTTTATCCTCAAGCCAAACGAAGAAATCGTTTGGGACGCGGTAAAGTCAATCCCGATACCAGAGGCACCGGGACCCGACAATGAGGTGCGGATAAATCGGCTTCGCGAACCGACTGTCCAAACTTTTACCTGTTGGGAATGCCTGAACACCATTGAAAGCCTAATATGGGAGCTGCGCGTCCATAACGCAATCGAGCGTTACATGACTCAATTCCGTGCAGGCATACTCAAGCCAAATCACGGGATAGTAAAGACTATCCCGATACCAGAGGCACCGGGCCAACGGCCGGTGCCTGATAGTGAAATTGAGGAGAAACTGGTCCAGCAATACAAAACTTGGTTTACAGGAGTAAGAAATTTCCTGGAATACCGAGCTGACCGACTCCTTGCCCTAGAAGAGGGCTGGCTTGAAGAAAAAGGCGCACCACTAACGTGGCCGCAGATTGCCGAACAATACGGACCATTCGCCCAAGAACTGGATGACTTGATCCAAGAAGGAGCTGTATGGGAGGACGAACGTCTAGCCCTAGTGTGGGAATACAGAGAGTACCACATGGAAGCTCCAAAAGCACTCCAAAGATGTGCACGGATCTCTTCGATAACATAATAACACTCCGAAGACAAGTGGCCCAACATCCTGGCTTAACCGTCAGCATATGGCCGAAATATGATCTGAGCCTGACTTACGTCAGGACCATACCGGAACCATTGCCAGAAGCAGCACCGCATATAGCGACAAAAGTGCGCTTCAATGATGGCCCACACCCGGAACAGGGAGGCCATCGAAGGGACACCAGCCAGAACGAGCAGGACCCTTCGTCGGAGGAAGTCCAACTGACCTGTCCTCTATGTGGAGACGGCGTTGAAGCAGTAATACGGGCCATACAGACCCGTTCGGCTCAACGTTGGGCAGGAGGCCGACCAGCCTCGCCACTCCCTAACGGGAGCCGTCCAACCACTTTGGCGGAACCGGACGAACCTGAGAAACAGGAGATCGCAACCGGGACGCCAGAGATCCAAAAAGTGGATCCTATGACCACACCGACACCAACGGTGACCGGCAGGCCGCCAACCTCTAACGAGGACAATGGCGAGCCAAAACATGAGCAGGACGATAAACCCGAGTCTACCGATTCGGACGTCCAAAGCTCAAGTGACTCACCGGACACGGACTCCGATAACCAATCATCGGAGGAGTCAAGTGATGACGAAGAGGACACAGAAATTCTCCAACTCCGGGCCGAGGCACCCATAATCCGCAAACTGCGGACCGAACGTCCAACGGACTGCCTTAAGGAGGAGAGAAGCTGTCTTCGTCCACCAGCGGTACACCTTACCGGCATACTCAACCTGCTGGATTAAGGTCCGGTCCTATCGGACTATGGACCCGGGACGGCCAATCCACTTCAAATCGCTGAGACGACCACACCGCTTGGTCCTACCGATCGAAGCGGAGGTCCAAACTCGAAATAGCGAACATGCGTGGATCCAGGTCCAAAATAAGTCCCGACGCGACCAAATCCTCCGTAAAGGTGCAAAAATCGGCCACATGTACTACAGTGACATGTATGAGCCAGACATCAAGGAGGATGGAGTAGATTGGTCAATTCCCAATGCCGACGCCCTACCATGGCCAAAAGTGGCAGGGAACAATCCTAATCGGTACCGCATCATTAATGACCATGCTATGGTCCGGGCAACTGTAAAAGTGGAACTCCCACCGGAGTCCATCACCCCGGTCCAAGTCAGCATTGACTTCCCTGTCGACCCAAGACAGAAACTTATGTACCTCGGAAGCCAAGACACCAAACGGAGTCTGGCCATGCTCGACGGACCAGTCCAGCATGATGGCACTAGTTTCACCATACTGGTGTCAAACTACTCCAAAGAGCCCCATATACTCCGGAAAGGAGTCAACATGGGCCAAGTGGAGCCATACGAGGAAATCTCGGACGAAGATTACGCCAAGATCAATTCCCTCCAAACCGGAGAGGAAGATCCAGAAGTGGAACGCGAAATTCGCGCCCACATCGCCAATGCACATTTTGGCGACCACCTGACCGAGGAGCAGACCGCTCTACTCCGTCAGGACTTATGGGAACTCAGGGCCATATTCCCGACGTCCAAAAAGCCTTACGGCGACGTCAAAGGAGTGACCCACGTCATAGAAGTTGGCGACGCTGCACCAATCAAAATGAACCCAACCCGAACGAGTTGGAAGGGACGAGAGTTCATCAATAAGCACGTCCAGGAAATGTTGGACCAAGGCGTGATTGAACCGTCCATGGCAGCGTGGAGTTTCCCAGTGGTCCTCGCTTCAAAGAAAAACGGCGACGGGACCATGGGCACCCGGTTCTGCATAAATTATATAAAGCTGAACACG